CCTATTAATTATTACTCAAGTTATTAAACCCTCGGAAACTAATATAAAGGCACTTAATAAGTATATTTAATAGTAAATTAAAAATATTACTAGAGAACTAAGATTTATAAAGCTAGTAAAGAAGTTCTTATATTTAATTATTTTTATAAATGCTTTATTTGCAAATAATAGAGATCTTTTCTCTTAAATTAGATATATTCTAGTTCTAGTAAATAGAACTAGATATACTAATATTATTTACTAGTTCTTTACTAAATACAAGAGAATTACTAGAAGTATTCTAGTTTCGGAACTCTATAATATAGCTTATAGCTTTAATATAGGCGCTTTAGTTAAATCTATAATTAATAAAGTACTAGAAATAAAACTATTACTAGTAGTCTATATAAATTCGAAGTTATTATATAAATGTCTTATTAAATTGGGAATTACTTGAGAAAAGCATTTAATAATTAATATAATATACTTCTACTAGATATATAAATAATAAGAAATTATAGAAGTTAAATAGATTAAGAAAGAATTGAATCCTGCTAATTCTATAACGAAATTAAAGCTAATAAATGCCCTCAAGTACCTAATTAATATGAATATCATATAATTAGATATAGAGAAATAGGTTAAGTATAAATAAGATAGGAAATAGATATATGAAATAAGAGAATATTATAAGAGGGAAAGTTATATATAAAAGGCTGCGGCTTTTAGTATATAACTAAAACCTTAGAAGTAATATAAATATATAGAGTATTTGGGAAATCTGGTACTAGGCCGGATTAGGGAATTTGTATATAATTAGAAAAAAACCCTATTTTTTGCGTTTTTTAGAGAGTTTCTAGTATTAGTATAGCTATTTCTTTGGGAGTTACGTATATAATTACGGGATATAGAATACGGGATATAGGTAATAGGATATAAGTAATAGGATATGGAATACGAGATATAGTTATATAATCTCGTATTTTATTAGTAACTCGACTAGTAGACTAGACTCCTTTAGGATTAGCAGATTTAGGGATTATATATTAATACTATAATACTATAATTCTTACTTCTAAATAATAACTTTACTAATTAATACAAATAGTATTCCACGAATATATAATAGTACTATATATTACTAGTAAACTAATAATAATAAAGTAATATATGAGTAATTAAAATGAATAAGCTATAAAATAATACTTATAAATATAATTAATTCTAAGAAGTAATTTTAATAAAAGACTAATTAATAGCTCTTTACTTAATTAAGAAATATAATCTAGTATAATTCATATAATTCTAATATAAGTAATACCCAAAATAAGAAACCAAATCTATAATATTTAATATTTGCTTATATATATCTATTATATATTTTCTTTTAAAAATAGATATATTATTATATTTTTTAAACTTTAAAATATTAATTATTATTGTTTTGAATCAATTGTATTAAAATATGTGGTTTAATTACTATTAAAAGTAGTAAAGGAACAGAATTTGCTTCTTAAAAGAGTGAGTGTTCTTAAATGCCTCAATGGAGGAATGCTGTCTGGGGAATCGTGAGCAAGAATAATCGTACCTGACCAATTACACCTAGCTTCTCCACGCCCATTCCAGTTCACCGAGTATGGCGGCCAGACCTATCAAAGGCGAAGGTTCGGGCTTCAGCTTTATTTGGAATGCCACAGCTTTTGCACGTTAGGTGGCACAGGGGTAGCAATCTGTGTCATACAAAAGCGCGCGGCATTGAAATCCGTCCAACTCGCTAAGCGAGGACGGGCGCGATTTTAATGCTGCATTACAAAAATTCTCATAATTCCGCCTTATATTCTATTATTATAAACTTTCGCCAAAGTTAGATCTGCTTCTTTTTTATTATGTAAAGCACTTTTGAGGAGTTTCGGGCGTTCTATTGAGATTTGGTGTGATTTTCTAAATGTAGCGATTTTGGTGTTCCTCGCATTTTGGCAGATGGACGGTTTTCAACGCCGCGCGCTTTCGTAGAAGCGAAAAATGGCTGTCAAAAGTCGACAGGCAGATTTTTTGCTTTCCCAACCCCTCCCTGCAGCATACGATGCAAAATTGGGGCCATTTCAACTCGAGACAACCTCTTCCCCAGCCTCGTGCTCAAGACAGCTGGATCCTGCCGAAAAGGGAGTGCTCGAGTGTCTGTAGGATTTATCGATAGCCATCGCCAAGAGATCAGTCTGGAGTCTGGACAAACTGGCCGTCAACAGCTCAGGTTGGAAGCCACAAGACGTGAGCTGCCTTTTCAGTTTGAGGACAGACAGGGGCAGCCCAGAAAATCCTTTCCCCCATTTGTAGATCAAATTAATCTCATCCAAGAAGGGTGAGGTAAAATCACGTGCCAGTAGTGGCTCACAATGCATGCTCAAAAGTACTGCGAATCAAATGTAAGGGAACGCGACCCTTCGTGTAACGGGAATGTGCACTTCTCCCAATCACCGCTGTGAAATCGTTTGTGCTTTTTGACGGCTCAACCAGTGAAATTTACTACAGGTGTGCAGGGATGCGGAGAGAATGCCTCCAGTATTGTGAGCAACTTGACGCTGTTCCGCGTTGTGCGTTTTCGGAGACTTTGTCGCACGAACAAGCGCTATTTGTCAGTTGTTGCCGATCTCCTGAAAATTGCCCTCAGAAGTATCTTACGCTGCGTAGGTCTGAAGGATATTATTGCCGTCCGTTTTCGTGGTCATCGGTGAGGCCTCTCACGCTCAGGCAGGCGCTGCAGGCTTTGCAGGCTTCAGCGACGCCCTTACGCTGTGAGGCTTGCGATTCGAGGTTCGCCCCATCGTTTTCAAATTTGTTTGGTGCTCGGGCACCAAGGATGAGTGAGTTCTCCCCCCCACCCTGAAGAAACTTGCACCGAAGATTGGTGACACTTCATGTGATACACAACCGAAGTGATAATTACCCGAGCAGATAGTAAGTGAGCCCATTGCCCTCGGAGAGGAGCATCAACACGAGTCTCGACGAGTGGTCAAACGCGCAAAAGCCTCTGAGGCTCTGGGGGCTGATCCCGGCAACAGTTTCCTTCCCAGTATCCTACGGTATGATTCTCATACGTACGAGACATTCCAGAAATCACACCACTCTGCAATTGTAACTTTGTAACCGTTCAGTCATGATCGGAGACATCGGAAACGTTTTCACACCTTGGATTTCAAGCTCAGTCATTCGCACTTCTACTCGAGCCCGTAACAAGCGACTCAATGCGGCTGTCTTTGTTAAAGATCCTGTCAGAGATGGATTTCTGCTGAACCCGGACTGCCGACCGAAGCAAGCCCTGCAGCGTTGGCCTTGCCTGAAAATTTCGGGCGAGCCCTGAAATACTGGGGACGCGGCGAGCTAACACGCTGAAGTGGCACTCAACCCGTGATGATGGTTGCGCACATTTGGGACTCGATGAGTGCTCTGCCTTTCTCCCGAAGCCGCCGAATGGTGTGCCGCGTTGTCGCTGCTCGTTGGTGATGGATGCATTGAGGGAGTGAGGTTGAACTTGAATCGTTTGCCAATCATTTCAATCCCTGGGATCTAAACCCTTTTCGGAACATAAAGACCGTCCCCTGCGCGGAACACGGAGTTACTGCCTGATCCGGCTAGGTGAAACCATAAGCAAGCGCTCGGGTGGCTTTCCTCTCCGCCGTCCCAGCATCTTCGCTGCCCCAATCTGGCGAATGTCTCAGCGTGTGGGTGGGCTGCATATTCCTATGGTGGGCTGCATATGGTGGGCTGGAATCTCGTTAGGTGAGTTCAAGTCTTGCTCAAATGTCACGGGATTATGAGTCGAGTGAAAGTTGTCGCATACCCCAGAGAGACCACTGAAGAAGGTTTGTTCTCCTGATAAGAAGAGAAAATAGACTTAGAGTGCCGAGTGCAAGAAACTGGAGGACGCAGCAGCTAAGAAACATTAATTACGTGAGAGTCCCATATCTATGAGGCGCGGATCCCACTATGCACCCTTCTCCTGTGAAGCCCCGTGTCTGTGAAGCCTGAAATTTGCCTCGTTCTCTTTCGCTCTCACCTTCTCTCCCACTCCTTGCAACCTCTTTTCTCGACTGAGGAATTTTGCAAATTGCCACACATCCTCAACGACCGATGCGCCGTCCGATTCTACGACCAGCGGAGCCTCTGCTTGCCCGTGTTTTTGGCCATCTACCAAACAATGTTCGCCAGGCCTTGGTTCCAGGACCTGCACCGGATATCCGCGACCTGACCTGAAGCCAACTCCAGAGCATCCTTTCAAATGAGTGTCCATCAGTCTCCAGTCTCGGCTTTCCAACAATGCACCTGACCACGAACTCTACCTGGACATCGACCATGCCTGGGCGTTGAACCATTCCTTGGTATCCAACTTCACCTATACTTGGCCGAGGACTCTGATCGTCCTTGCAGCCTCACCTAGTACCAATCCACTCAAAACCAAGCTCGAATACATATTCAATAGTTTGAGAGTCGGTTGATCGCGAAACTGTGTCAAAGTCATGGAAACAGAAGCGCGCACTCGTGGCCGAGTGACCCCCGCCGTCGAATGTGGCAGCAGTCACAGAAACGCACCAAGATCTCTGTTCACTCTCACGGCACGCAACAATCCGATGGCGTGTAATTCGATGCTAGCTTCAATCGACGACAGCAGTTAGCTTTCGTTCTTATAATTGGAAGCGTCATCAAAGGGAGCTGTATAGTATGCAAACGTACAAGTTTAAAATTGTGCTGATTGACTTGCAGATGGCATGACAACCTGCTCGAAATGTGTGTTGACAAGAGAAATCCCACCATCCCAAGCCTGGGGACACCATATGACGGGACGACCGAACCGGCTTTATAGCTCAAGGATTTCAAGCAGGCTTATGATGAACCGACCTTTCCAGTAACGTGGTGTTCGTGGCTTCTATGCGCGTTGATAAAGCCATCGCTGACAGAAATCAGTGAGGTCAACGATTGAGCATAGGAGCTATCTCCAATGATTTCGGCAGTGGCAAGCAGGCCTAGACAAGTAGCACCTTGTGCGAGGTAGAAATGTCGAGTACTTCCCAAACCTCCCCTCCATAACCAAGAAGGGCCGGCACCAACGAGCGTTCTCCGACGCCCCAACCGAAGGAAACAGGAGCTTCAGACTGCTAACAAGTCCCAACCTCGCACGCCTTCCACCCATAACAAAGATACATGACCGCGTCAAGATATCTCCACACATCGAAACCAGAAGTTCACAGGTCGACCTGTTCTCTCCACGTCAGAATCTCCGCTGCAGTTCTCAAAGCACTTGCATATAGAACCTACGATATCTGCGAGTATGATGCAGGCGAAGCACATTTGGCAAACCCGCCGACGTCGATTTGCGGATTCTTCGAATACCAAACCACACCTCCATCCGGATCTTTCGCTTCGGCAGACTGGCAAGGCACACTCGAAGAGATACCCTCCCAATCAAGACCCTCGATACGAATCGACTCGATTTGCGATAGTATACCATCATTTCCATACATATCCAACGAATTGCAATTGTGCCAGGCACTTCAGGATGTCTGGTACCCCGATTCGGCGCTCAGGGATCCTCGCCCCGGTCCGTTTGATATCACGTGACATTAATTACCGACATCAAAAACGCGCTCAAATCGACGGGTATATCTCTGCGGTTTTACATTATCTGAGCGTGTCGGGTATGGTATAGCATCGGGGCAGGGACGTAGCAGAGCTAATAATCCGCAAGAAGATGTTTGACTGTACAGCACTTAACGACGAGAAGCTTTCCTGGGCATTTTGGCTGCCGTTCACCTCTTCGACAGCCCACCCGTGTTCATACACTGTAAAATATACACGAACTTGTGGCGTAACTAGGGGTTATGGTGTTTTGTCCGGAACTGAACTGTTCTTGTTCAAAGTGATGGTGGGGAACGTTGGAAATTACCCCCTGGAGGATTGGCGCACGCGTGCAACAGCGGACGCTACGCTAGAAGCTCATGGACGACGAGATTCAAGGGAAAAGTGACATTGGCCAGCAACTCTATCCAGAATCGCAATTCAACTCCTAAAACCATCCCAGAAGACCAAGAAAGAGTCCTGCAGCGCTTGTACGACAAAGGCCCCACTTGCCCCGAATATGAACCCTCAATCTGCAGCTTCCCGTGAGGGAGACACCAAACACACTTGGGTGGTAACGGCTCGAGAACTAGTCTGTAACCAAGCTGAAGTTGCACCTCCCGTGGTTGTTCCACCGGTAAGTCTTTGAGCACAATAAACATTGCAAATAGTGTCTGACGAAGCACCTAGCATCCCGAACCAGAATTCCCTAAATCCACGTCGAAATCCAAGCCGAAGTCCAATTAGATCCACTTGAAGAAACGGCTCCCCTTTCCGAAAATCACATTCTCGAACAAGGCGAATAGATGGGGAACTGGCGTACATACAGCTGGCGTAAATGGACATAATGGTTAATGGAAACGGATTAGATTCTTTGTGGGCTCTGTGGAACTCGCTGTTTGGCAAGCCAGATTAGGGACGAAAGGGGTGTATACGGATTGAGATCTGTTCTGGCCCTCGGCAGATATGATTTCTGGAACACAACTTGGGCAGATTGGACTGGCTCTCTAGAAAAGCAGCCAAGAAATCAAAAACAAATTGGGAAGCTTGTCTCAACAGATGGTGGGCCAGATACATGTGATAGCGTTTGCGAATGCTGCGTATAGAACTTGTGCCAAAGGTGTTTGGTCTACGCTTTCAAGGGAGGCGAATTCGCAAGCATAATTTACCCACAAGCGAGGTCAAGAAAAGGGGGGGGGGGGGGGGGGGGGGGGGGGGGGGGGGGAGCCGGCACCAGGCACGCATCAAGGCGCCTGGCCAATCGGCCATGGGCCTGAGGTAGTGTTTGCCTTCAGCCTCCAGGCTTCAGGTCCTTGACTCGGCCCAGTGGTCAAACCAAGTTTCTTGGTCAGTCGTTGAGGAAGAAAATAAGAACTGGGTGAAATGAACGAGGGGTCGCGACTTCACCCAGGACGGCACCCAGCATTCAAGGAACCGACCGACCTTCAACACCAATGATCCACGAAAGGAGCATTTGCAAGCTGTATCGTGACTTGGTTTGAATGTCATGCGAGTTTTCGGTTGTGATTTAAGTGTACAGTACATTCCTGAACGCTGCTCCCTCCCTGTCTTGGTTTCGCGCATCCGCATTCCTCGGGTATTACCTGAGCACTAAACACTTGAGAAGCAATCGTACCTCTCGCAAATTTCTCCGTCCAGCTTTTTATTGCTTCTAATGTAGTGATGGGGAGTGGCAGTGAGGGCAACAAAATACAGGTTTGGGCTGGTCGAAGTAATGGTGGCAGTGACTTGGGCATTAACTTGTGTCCCCTCACAGACCTCTCGAAACGCGCCGACGCTGTCCACACATCCATCACATATTGCCATCACGCATTAGATACCTCACGACCTACTCATCTTTCATACATTTTAGAACCCTGACGGAGCCTAACCTGGCGGAAGCTCAAGTAGACGGCGTGCCCACCCCTTGAGCTTCCAACGCTCCGGGCAACGTCGACAACGATGAGGCGTTTGGGGGGGATTGCCGAGGAACGGTTCAATGGGTCTTCTTAGAGAGTGCCAAAAATGGTTCCCCTTCATGGGGACTTGCTAACGTATAATATATAAATAGTCCTTTTATTATCGGGTCGTTGAGAAGTTCGAGGGAATTCCGTGATAAACATTCATCCGTTGGAGGCTGCAAATGTGACCCCGCAATACCCCGCACCTGTATCCCTGAGCCCTCTCGCATCACCAATCCCTATCTTCTCACTTCCACACCCTTCTGAGTTGTTATTCTCCTTCTTATGAATGCTTAAATGTCCTTATTCTTTTGCGCACAATTCTGGTTGGCTTGAAATCATTCTGGTTGGTCTTTCAACTAAGACCAACCAAACGTCTATTAGATCTAGCATTACACTCAAGAAACTTCTTTCAGACTTTGATTTTCAAGCCGAAAAAAATACCCTATTTCAATTCAATCACAATTTACTAATTCGTTTCCTTCTTGCAATTATAAGAAAAGACTCGTCACTCTTTTTTGCTATAGATTTTGCACCCCGGAACAATTGTACTTGCTTCAGTCGATATTTCGAACTTTACCAGGTAAAATTGTGAGTCAATGCCATCCCACAGTTGACAATTTGAGGGTGAGGAATGGACCTTAATATCCCAAGAAATGAGGGACACTGGTTGTTTCTAGCTCAGAGTGATGCGACTCAAGCAAGTCGCGTGTCGGCTCCTAGCAGAATGCCATCCTATACAAACCTCCTCCTATCTCAATACGAAAGTCTGCCAGCGGCTGTCTAGGAAGGCGAAGTAAGACTAATGAAGAGATAAGTTCTCTGTTTCCCAGGCACTGCTCGATTTAGAGCTCAGAAGCAATTCACAATGAATCCTTACCGTGTCCTCCTCGATTGCACTGGTCCTAAGCAGTTACGCCGAGTTATCTACTAGACAATCGGCATCTAGAGGAAGTTCAGATCATTGTATTTGAGCACTTGCCAAAGTAATAAAGAACCCTAGGTCCAAATTCAGCATCTTACAAGTGGTAATGCCCCGCTCACGTGCCTTCTCACTCGAAAGTGCAACATGAAGATATATCCCCTTTGCTTGTGCAAGCCACACGCGCTAAAATAATCTCAGTTATTCCTTGGTCAGGTAAAGAAATGAGTCGAGATTTTGGATCAAAATGTCTGAAACTCATCTCGTGTGGCATAGGTTCAAAGGGTTTAATTCTCCAGATTTGGATGCATGCTGGCTGGAGAATTTCTTCACGATGTCCTCAAACCTCAGATTTTTGTGCTGCCACCAACTTCGTTTTGGTCTTTGCTGATTCGGCGATCCTAGAAATATTTCCTTCTCGACTATTTCTGAGCGTTGATGGCGTCTACTGAGGTTGTGATCCAACTGATTTGCTATGTCACGTCGTTCAGGTTGGAAAGATTGTGCTTCATACCAGAAGTGGTTAAACGGCATACACTGCGTATGACTGGTACCCCAATGGCTGCTGCGAATGCCTAACTTGCATGTGCATTACATACACTTACAACCAACACGGCTCACTCAAAAAACCGGAATGTCCAGCAGCGGACCTGCCACGAAAACAACACTCCAATTAGCGGGGAAAAGTAAAACGGCCCCCCAGCGTGTATGAATGCGGAATACAGAAGCTTGTGCTCAGAGACTTTGGCCGACGTTTCCTGGGAGGTGACGTTGTTGATACGGGAATCCACAAGCGAGGTCCGAAAAGGGGGAGCCAGGCCCAAGCACCAGGCCTGCACCATGGTTTCTTGAACCGAAGGTGTACCCCAGCGGCCAAACAAAGATCCCCAGGGGTGAAACCCGGAAGGGGCAATTGAACCATTATCTTCAACACTCCCCTCTTTCGGGGGTTACTAAGTGCTTTACCCAAACTGTATGCAGTGAAGCTTGAAATTCCACGAAAGTTTCAGGTTCAATTTAGGCGCACATTCTTGAAAGCAGTTCTGTCCCTTCCCCTTTCAGCTTGCCGCATCCCTCGGGAAGGTCCCGAGTCTCGCTTGGTGCGTTGCGAGCAAACGTACTTCACAAGGGAACATGCTCAATATCGAAGGAGAAGAAGAAAAAAGAAAAAAAGGGGGAAGATCATTTACTGGCACTGAGACATTAATGAGGAGTTCAAGAGAAGTACTCGTAAAATCTTACTTCAGATCCTGTCTCTTGAGCATCACCCCGCCAGACCCACCCACACACCTGTGATCCATTCCCGAATATCCACAGACCACCCCCCTCCTATCCCCTCCTCTCCTTCCTCCCCGCCCCCCCGCCCCTTGATCTTCCTACATACATCAGAACGACTCTCATCTCCCCTCCCCCAGTTTTCAGCGATGACATCGAATACCCTGAGCGAAAACCTTATGAAAGCACAACCTCGCTTCTCCAAGATTCTATATACTATAAGATAGACAGTAGTTTCTTTCTTAGCGTTCCTTAGATTTGTTAGGGCGGACACAGACTGGAGACATCGAGGTCTTGGACTCGTACTCGGACTGGGTTGCAGACACTCGTCTCAAAACCAAGCACCCGCCACTACCCCTTTTCCTTGGACTTGGCCATGATCCGGGGTGAGTTTATAAAGAGACAGAAAAGCGGCCGAGAAGGGACCTGTAGAACAAACTTCATTCTTCATCAGTAGCAGCATTAGCTATATACATCTCCACTCGTTTCTCATCATCAAACCCCGTCACCCCTACCCCTTTTCCGAACAGTATGCGAGAAAGGAACTTAAAATGCCGTTCTCCAGAAAAGCAAGAACCCGTTCAGTGTACAGACCAAACTATGCACCTTCCCAGTCCATCCCATGCGTCATCACCTTTTCCTTTCCCTTTTCCTGTTCTGTCCACGCAATGCCAATTTCAATCATTCGTCACCTCCGCTCTCAATATCTCGGGCTCCCTGAATGAGCTCTCTGGTGATGCCCTGGAACCGGCGGCCCATTGTCCCCATCAAATAGGTCCTCGAGAAACGCACTCGGTGCGCGTTCCTGCGCACCATACCCCAGGCTTAAATTCAGCGTACTCGAGCTCTGCGCACCATCCGCTGGACTATCAGGCGGCGTCTCACCCATACGGCTTGCTCTGGGGTATCCCTGCGTTTGCTGGAGGTTAGAGAGACTGATAGATGGTTGGTGGCCGAGAGTAACATGTGATTGACCTGCTCCAGCTTGGGCGGCGCCCGCAGCGTAGTAGCCTGCTGGGAGGTAGTTGGAACCGCGGTTCCCTGCGTTGGAGAGGGAGGCTGTTGCTGCGCCTGCGGTAGGGGAGAAGAAAAGGTTGCTTGCGCTTACGCCGGCTCCGGTGCCTGCTGTTGATGTGGTTCTATTCCCTCTCTTTTCCTTCTTGCCACCCTTGTGTCCCATAAGGCCTAGGGAAATGGTAGACTTGCGGTCCTTGTATTTGTAGAATTCTGGGGGTGGCGGACCGGGTGTGCGGAAGAGGGTCTTGGTGTCGTTCATTGTAGTGTTTTGAGCGAGGGCGGCGCGTTTGACGGAGCGGTGGAGGGCCCAGGCGACCAGGCCACGCCAGAGGAGGACGCTCGTGGCCATGAAGCCGAGGATGGCTCCGACGATAATGAAGACTGTGCCATCGGGCATGGTACTTTGTTGCATGAAGGGGGCTTGGTTGGTGTTGGGTACGACGGGAGTGACGATTGTAGGTACACCCGTCAATGTTGGCAGATCCGTTGGCAGTGACGGAAGTCCGCTGTTGCTGGGCCCTGAAGATGGGAGTTTTGGGAGCGCCGCAGTAGTTGCCGCCGATGTGCCAGTATTGGTATCAGCACTCGTTTTCCCATTTACTTGTGTAGCCGTCGAGAGATTGGGAAGATCTGAAGCAGCAGCATCTTGCGCGGATGCACCCGTCGCCAGCAGCGAGACCGCAAGGGCCGCGGAGAGAACTGATGATTTTTGTAAGAGCCTCATGATGACTCTGCTATCCAATTGCTGTACAAAGCGTTCGAGACGTTCGTGGACGAGCGAGGGAGAGAGGCGTCTTGCAGTGAGGCGAGGGTGGCCTCCGAGGGTTCTTTGTTTGCAGACCACAACCACGATCGAGGTTTGATGGCGAGTGAGGAAGAAAAGTGAATCACAGCCAGCAATTGCCTTGGTCTTGCGGATCTGCGTCTGCCGTAATCAAATAGTAAACCGTGATGTACCCCAGGTTGAGCGCTGGTCGTACAAGCAACTGGCAAGTTTTTTGTCGTGGTGTCAAGGGATGCAGGCTAATTGCCCCTCCAACTCTGAAACTGGAAGACAGAGAGAATCGCAGTAATCGCGAATACGAATTCGTATGCTCGAATTGATGCGCGTAGAGGCGTAACGAGCGTGGGCAGGATGTTGGTCAAATCCTGCTGTTGGCCTCGTAAAGGGATGAGGAGTTCCCGCCGGCGATGTCTTCACTTAACCTGTCTTGGTCTTGATTTCTCGTGTTGCTCGTGATCTCGGCATTTGGTTCCTGCATTCCAAAGCTGTGGCCTGATAAGGCTTAGTCTGGGGTGGCATCACTATTAATAGTCGCCTTGGCAACGCGGGGCGGCAGAACGTTAATCCCGGTCTTCAAAGATTTTGAGATTTTGATATTTTGAAGTTTGGGTATCGAGAAATCTTGAGCCGCAGAGGAAGGGCGAGAAAACGACGACAACCATTCGATTCGCACCACTCGAATCTTGCACTCCGGTATTCAGAGGCAGATATCTAACATGGGAGTCGCAAAGAAGACCCGCAAGTTCGGCGCCGTAAGAACTCTTCTCTTCCCCTCCCCCTCCGGAGAAAGTCCTTCAAAAAGCTAACACGCCACACCAGGTCAAGCGAGTGATCGGGCAAAACGACGCGAGACTGAAGAAAAACCAAGCCAAGGGAGAACTCGAATCCAAGAAGAAAGAAAAGGGCGCAGATGTTGTCCGCGAAGTGTACATCTGCCTTCCCTCCCTCGCCATTCCCAGCTAACTCCCCCTCTCCAGACCACAGGTCTCCTCCGCCCTCTTCTTTCAGTACAATACAGCTTTGGTTCCGCCGTACAATATACTGGTAGACACGAACTTCCTGTCGCATTGTGTACAGAGAAAACTGCCTCTTTTGGAGACATTGATGTACGTCCTCCACTCCCCCAGCACACTCCTCTCATTCCCTCTTGGAGCACGTCCACCCCTTCCCTGCATCCGCGGTTCTCCGCCACCAAAATACTAACCACCACCACAGGGACACGCTATACGCCAAATGCATCCCCATCATCACATCCTGCGGTTCGAAACCCCCGTTCCACCTTCCCCCCCACCCCCCTCCCTCCCCTCCAAACTAACTCCATCCCCCAGTCATGGCCGAACTCGAAAAGCTCGGCCCAAAATACCGCATCGCCCTCCGAATAGCCAGAGATGAAAGATGGGAGCGACTAAAGTGCGATCACAAGGGAACATACGCAGACGACTGCATCGTGGACCGAGTCATGAAGAGCAAGATCTATATTGTCGGGACCAATGATCGAGATTTGAAGAGGAGGGTGAGGAAGGTGCCTGGTGTGCCTATAATTAGCGTTGCTAGAGGCAAGATGGTCGTTGAGAGGCTGCCGGATGCGCCTGAGAAGTAGGTGGATGGCTGGGAAGAAAGAGGAGAGGGAGGGGGACTGCATTGTCTGGCGTTTTTCGGAGCGGGAAATGGTGGCATTTTGTGGAGTTTTGTTGGAGTTGGTGGTTTGGTGGGATATCAGTGGCGTTTTAGCTGGCTGCTGTTGTGCCTTTGCAACATATTTGCCCTTGCAGAGATGAAGAATGCATCCTGTCCATGTGGACAGGGACACTGGAGACATTGGTTGCTGTAGAACTTTCAATTAAGTATCTCGCTTCAGCAAGTGATAAAAGAACTACAGAAGGTGTCAGACTCATCACAATGATGCTTTCAAGGATCTTGCTTTCGATTATTAGCAACCTATCTATGTCTCGCACCCCAAAACCGGCCAGCAATATCTTGGCACCAGTAGAGCAAAGAAGAGCCCTTGTCCCATACTTTATACAGCCCGTACAATCGTACAATGAACTCCGTCCTCCCCACTTCCCGTTCCCCTCGCTCTGCCTCGATATTTCACAATCACTGCGCCTTCTTCTGCGCCGCCGGCCCCATCTCCTTCTCAAACGCCGCATAACTGACCCTCAAGCTCCCAATCGCACTAATCCCCACACTCAATATCGCAACCAATATCAAGCCCACCAGCAGCCCCATAAACAGCCCGGGGTTAAAGAACTGGTACTGCTCAAACAGCGGCCTCTGATCCGAAAACGGCCCATCGCCTCTCGATGGCGCGAGGTTGCGCTTCAAGTCCATGTGTACTGCGTCGTTGTCGAAGTCGGGTTGGTAGACAATCGATTTCTCTTTTGCTTTCGACTTCTCGGCGTCTTTTTCCATTGGCGAAGGGGATGCAGGCAGAGAGGAGGGAGGTGCCGTGCTGAGGAAGAGGAGCGTGTATGTCTTTCCTAGCGGGAGCTGTTGGAGCTCTTTTTGAAGCGCCGCATCTGTGGTGCCATCTATCAGTATCATTTGTACAATTGGCGGGGAATAGGGAAGAGTAAGGGCGTACCATGATCACCAACCAGCGCCTCCCTCTCCTCTCCCTTCCCACTCAACGCCGGGAACTCCTTTAACACAACACTCTTCCCCTCCCCATTCTCCTCTAAACTCTGCGAGAAAGTAGCACGGCACTTCTGTTGAATGTACCGCACGAGATCCATGCTCTCTGCACCGTTGAATCCAAGCACTTCCCGCATAACCACACCCGGGTTCCCAGCTTTCTTCTGCTCGACCATAGATTTCAGGAATGGGGAGAAGGCAATGTCCTGTATCGCCATCTCGGGCTGCGAGAAGATGACATAGAGATCACTCGAGCACCTGCTCAGGATCTCTTTCGTAGATTGCACGACTTCTTTGCTGAGCCCTAGGCCGCCGGTTGAGGATTCGAGTTTGGGGAGTCTATTCATTTGTTAGTTTGTAGGTTCTTAAGGATTGTTGAACGAGGATGGGGCAGGCAGCTGCAAGTGAAAGGGGGGGGAGGAAGAGCGTACGGAGAACTCGATACCATCAGGAAGGGCGAGGTGTCTTTGAATGCCTGCGCTGTGGCAGCCAGGGCCGCGAGCGCAAGGAGTGTGGCCTTCATCTTGTATGCTGCTGGTTGATCAAGAGCAATGATGAAGTTAACGCGAGCTCTCGATAAGTGTGGCTCCCTGCTGAGATCTCAGGCTCCCGCTTTCGGCAAGCTCCGCTGGGATTCCCTTCCCCGCCAAAAAATAATCTCGAATTCCTTCCCCGATCCCAATTCCCCCAATCCACGATCACGTCCTCCAATTCCCGAGAATCGATTGATGAGAAGGGAGACAAATATGGCGACCTCAATGCTCCAGCCAGGAATCTTCAACAATCCTCGACCGAAGAGGAATCTACTCCCAAATCCGAACAAGAAGCGAAAAACAGAGCACAATGTCGACGAGATTTCCTTTGATGACAATGCGAGGGCGGATTATCTGACCGGATTTCATAAGAGGAAGGTGGAGCGCGCGAAGAGAGCAAAGGCGGAGGCGGAGAAGAAGATGAGGGAGGAGAGGGTGGGGATGAGGAAGCAGGTTCGTTCTACCCTTCCCTTTCTATTCTACACTTTTTTGTGAATGCGGCTTTAACTGGATGGGTGCTGATTTTGTTGGAAATAGTTAAGGGAAGAGAGGAAACAGGAGCTGGAGGAGCATGTTAATGCCGTGAACGCTATATTGAAGGAGGTTTCGGGGTTTGGTGCGGGATTGGATAGTGAAGAGGAGGGCGAGGTGTGGGGTGGGATTCAAGAGGAAGAGGAAACGGCAGAGGCGGAGGAGGTGTTGGATAGGGAAGAGGAGTATGTGGACGAGGATCGCTGGACGACTGTTACGGTTGAGGCGGTTGATGTTTCGAAGGAGGGGTTGAAGAAGGTTGGAGAGGAGGACAGTGATGATGCTGAAGCACCAAACCTTGTATCTTTGGAGGAGAAAGGAGAGGGTAAGGAAAAGAAGAAATGGCCCAAGAAGGAGAAGAAGAAGAAGTTTCGGTATGAGAGTAAAGCAGAGAGAAAGTTCACGCGGGGAAAGCAAAAGGCTGGGAATAAGGCGAGAGCTGATGCCAGGAAGGGCAATAGCTGAATATACCTAATGGATGGCGACGATAATTCTGATATACGACCTTCATTGATATCTACCTAACAAGCAAAGCCAGAGCCATCCGTGGAGACATTCGCATTCGCACGTCTACGAGAACCAGAGCACATTGCCAATCGAATATGCCTCTCCGTATGGTGTACCCATTCCATGCATCCATCCATCATCCACTCATCATGAACACCCTCTAATAAATCATTCCTTCACTGTGCCGAGACTTCCAATGTGCATGCGCAAGCAGATCAAATGTTGCCAATCTCTGCCTGGAAGTCCTCCAACTCCTTTTGCACCGCGGCGTACTTCTTGGCCATCTCCTCGTACTTCGACTCCCACTGATCGCGGTCTTGCTCGAGGGCTTGGACTTTGCGTTCGAAGTGGCCGGCTTTGACATCTGTTTGACGAAGCCTGAGGATGGTCAGCTTACGCGGTCTCCTGAATGGCACTCCCGCAGCCACAATGGAGCGAGAAGAGCAGGTTTTGATATGCCATAAACGTACTTGTCGTTAGTCTCTCTGAGATTCTTATCGGCCTCCTCAGCTTCCTCCTCCAAGAGTTGCAGTCTCCGCTGAAGGGTCTCGTTCTGTGTGCCATGCATACCGCTCTCCTCAGCCATCGCCTTCGCGTCCTTGAGCTGAGTCTCCAACTTGTCAACCTCAGCCTCGAGTCCAGAATTCTTGTGTGTCAGGGAGGTGATTTCGTGCTCCTTCTGGAGGTTCTCCTGCTCGAGCGTCTTGACCTGCTTCTGGAGATCTTCAACCTTGGAAGAAGCCTCATCGGCCTCGATGCGCAGAGAGTTCATTTTCTACGTCCCCTGGGTCAGCATGCTTCGAATGGAGGCGAAACGCAGGAAGTCTGGTGACGCTTGGAGCTCTGCTCGATTTCTGCCTCAAATGGCGGGGTTGTGTGGTGGGATGAACTCACTTCCTTGATGCGATCCATGTTGGCGGTTGGTCTGTAGTCAGCGGTATCTGGGGTATGCGCAGGTAGGAAAGAAGTGCAAGGCAGAAAATTGTCGATCGTGATGCTGTTACAGGAGGTGGAGTTGAAGTATCATGAGCTTTCTTGACGAGGTTGCAGTGTCGGATTTGGAGACACGAGCCACCGAATGGAGTGCTTCTGCAGGGGTAAATTAGTCGGAGTCCCAAAGGAGTGGCCGATCGGAAGTGGCCAATTGGAGTGCGAGCTCGTTGCTGGGGAAACCCGCCTAAACAAGAACTTCAAGCTCGTCAAGGTTTGCCTCCTTTTCACACCATCGAAATCTCGACTCGCACTCAATGTAATACATCCAATCCATCAATCCATTATTGTCGCGAATAATTACAACCATGTTGGCTGCGCGCGATCAGGAGAATTTGGTCCATGGCCATCACCAGGCCGCTGCATCGAAGCCGCTGAACCAGAGCACGAGAGGTGGCCTTCAACCTAAGACACCGGGAAATAAGTATCCCAAGACACCACTGAAGATTCCTCTCAACGACGAAAATGCGCCGACAGGATTTGGAAAGTCGGTAAAGGGCAAGGGACTGGAGAATTTGGTCACTGGAAAGAAGGGCGCGACTTTCGACAAGAATGCCTTTATTACTCCTATGGGTACGCGTCTTTTTTGGTGTGAATACGATGGCAGAGCTGATGAGGCAACAGGTCCAAGAACAAGAGCTCCTCTTGGTATGAAAACAACAAATGCCAAGACCAAAGGTTTCCAGACCCCTGGCCCCGCGCTCGAGAAGGAAATAGAGAAGACTCAACCCATGCAAACGAGCGCCCGTCGCCCAAAGAAAGTCATACACGCCGATTCAGTCAAGTTAGAAGTACATGGAGACGAGAGTCCATTAGCAGAGAGAGACGTCGAATACTGCCCCCCGAAACCCAAAGACCTCCCCTACGCATCCGAGGACTTTCCCGATGGCTGCCTCAACTACGATGTCCTCAAGAAAGGCAATTTGATGAGAGGGATCTACAACAAATATTATAATGACCTCGACGAGAACGGCATGTCGAAACAAGACCATGTGAACGAGGAAGCATATCAGAAGTCTGCAGCAAAAGCTGATGAGCAGATCCGCAAGATGATGGAGGAAGAGTGGACCGTTGGAGATGTACCCGAGACATTCAGACATCTGCGCAAGAAACAGTCACAACCAAAAGAAAAGACGGATGGCCCATCACAACTGAAGAAGATACCCGCTCTTCCTAACAAAGGACCAGCAACAATTGCCGCGAGAAAGGCTGCCGGTGCGCTGTCAGTTGTCCCCAAATCCGCTCCAGCGCCACCGAAGGCAACAAAACCAACTCCCAAGCCATCCTTTCTCTCCCGCGCGAAACCTGCCTCACCACCCACCATCCAAAGTAACGCCTCAACCATGCGCCATGCAGCCGCAACCGCTGCTTCGAGATCCACAATCGGCTACACAAAAGGACGATCTGCGTTCAGCCAAGTCCAGAAGACGGAGCGAAGTGGTTTGACACGGAGTATCAGCAACCTTAGTCAAGGCTCCGATACGACCATCACCCCGGAGAGATTTTTTGCGTTGGAGAATGAGCAGGAGTCAAAGAGCCCGGCTTTCTTGAAGGCGTTTGAGGTTGATGATGAAGATTTGGAGCCGGGATTGAGGGGCATCTTGCCGGAGTGCTTGAGGAGACCCGATGATGAGGATGAGGAGTTTGTTTTCACATTGGGAGAGAGTGAGGCGAAGGAATAAAGGCATAGAGCGCTATATGATTATGGATACGGAGTGTTCTGGTATGGCGTTCTGGAGTTGGAGTTGCGCTGGTGTACTGCGTTGGTTGCACTGGAGCACAGCTTACCTGTCGGATGGTGTGTGAAGCAACAATATGGATACATTATATCTTAGGAAGATTACTACTGTACGCATAATTCTGTCTTGAATAGACTCTTTCTCTCAAGAAATACAACCATGAATCGATGTGCTGGCTTTCATACTCTCGGTAGGCATAAATCATCTTACTCTCTCTTCCTTTCACATCTCAATTGTCAAAACCTTTAAGTTTAAGTTCAAGCGGACCTTCATATAAACTCTGCTCGGAACATGGCTCTCGTCGGCACTGAGACAGTTCTCATTTCGTTCTGAAATGCTTGTCTTATCTGCAGTCAATCCTCCAACTCTTCAATTCATTTAAATGGGTTCCGGAACAGCTCTCATTGTGTTCTGAATGAAATCTCGATATAATGCACCCGATGCCCGAAGTCGACAGAGAAAACGGGAGCGCTCAAGAGCGCGGTCGCTTCTCGTTTGGTAACCAATATTCTCATCTGAATGTCTCTTCGACTGGATTACGATAAAAGCACATGTTGACATATTCACTTCACAGTCGAGCATCAGATGGGAAAGTATTATATCTGTCTCATTTTGCCTTACGCCCAAATACACACTATGCTCCTTCTCCCCGACCAGTAGCCCTCGTGTGCGAAGCGTAGTTATGTTGGTCTATTTTCATTCCTTACCTGGCTTGATTGGATTGTTTTGGAGCCGGCCTATCACATCACTTGGGGAGGGCTTCTCTCAACACACGAAACCACCAACTCTGGCCTCGCTTGGCGCACGAAGAATATTAAACCAGACTCACCAATTGCCAACTGACAATTTCCAACGCTCGATTCCAATACAGCAAATCTGGCAAATTGTAAAACTTGTTCGTAATGAATCGTGGAGCCCGCTGGGGAATTTCACTCATTTCCCACACCCGCGGAACCACTTTTCCGAATGAGATATTAGACTTTTTTGCACTGAGCGACGGTACCACTTTCAATCCACACGCCCGATGTAGATGTTTTTTCTGTCTTCTTGAAATTGTGCATCCATGTTCGTGAGGGAGCAGAGTACTGGGAAAGGTTATGTTTGGCACTTTCCACTTCTCTATCTGGCCTTTTTCGCCTACAGGGCCACTGATATAGGACAATCAGCCGCAAATAAGAACCTTTACTTTCATTGTAGAAGCATAGACCACCTGGTAATTCTGTGGAGGCATTAATATGGTCGAAGATCCTGAGTCATCCAAAGCTTCCTTTATCAAACCCAGAGCTTTGTGAATCTTGCGCATCCAGGATAAAGTCGAGTCTTTCTGCGTGGTTTTCAAACCCATTACGATAGAACAATCTCCGGGATATTCCGAGCAAGGAAGACGACTAGTCTACTCCATTTGCCTCCCTGCAGCAGTCCGAGGTGAACACACGGAACCCATACACTCTGTCCCGACGATATTCGCATTTTGAAGGTCTATACTTGGTGCAGAGGTCAAACAACGGTCGAGACTTCACTGCCTCGCGCTTTTGCTCACGAACAATGCTTCTGTGCGCACTCCCGACTGTGAGGGAAAATGTCTCTTTGCTCTTACGAGCACTAAAGTCCATTGAATATGCACGATTCTGAATAAATACGGTGCCTGCTACTTAGAATTGATTCCGAGTAGCATTTCTGGCTCTAGAAAAGAAACCCCAGTGAGTGAAGGAGCTCTCTCATCCTTCCTGCGTCAAGCGGTGGGAGAAGTGAGGTGAGGTGAATAAGGAGCCCGACTAAGATCTCGCTTAGCTTGACCCCTATTCTTCGCGAGCCCCGGCGATTTGCGGACCCACTTTTAAATCATACGATGTACAAACAACATGAGATGATTTGAATAACTGAACGGAAGGCCCGAATCCAAGTACCTTCGCTGCACCTATCAGGAGACATTCGATCAATCACGAAAATATCATGAGGCGCACGAACGACGCACGTTAGCAGTGAGCTGCTATATTTAAAGGACTTCGATCCCTCCGGTCTCATACGAGTAAAGCAAACGCTAGTAATGCTTCCATACAGATCAAATTCTACCAGCTCAAAACAAACATTCATGGGCGAATATATGGCCTCTTCAACTTTCACCGTCGGCGACTACCTCGCTGAGAGGCTCGTGCAGATCGGTATCCGGCATCATTTCGTCGTCCCCGGCGATTATAACCTCATTCTCCTCGACAAGCTCGGGGGAAAACTCGACCTCTTTGGAAAGCCTGCCCTCACCGAAGTCGGATGTGCCAACGAACTCAACTGCTCGATGGCCGCTGAAGGCTACGCCCGTGCCAATGGCGCTGCAGCATGCGTCGTGACCTACAGCGTTGGTGCACTCTCAGCATTCAACGGCACCGGATCTGCATACGCAGAAAACCTCCCTCTCATCCTAATCAGCGGGTCTCCTAACACCAACGATGCGGGACAGTTCCATCTGCTACACCACACGCTCGGGACCAGCGATTTCACGTACCAGCTGGAAATGGCCAAGAAAATCACTTGTTGCGCGGTAGCAATAGACAGAGCCTCTGACGCACCGCGCCTGATCGATCGAGCGCTCCACGCCGCGCTCCAGGCGAAGAAACCAGCCTATATTGAGATCCCGACGAACTTGGCAGGAGCGCCATGTATGCGCCCCGGCCCCATCAGCGCGGTTCTCGAGCCTGTGTCCAGCAATGCCGCCGTGCTCGCAGCGACGATTGGTGAGGCAGCAGCCTACTTACATGGCAAGCAGAAGATTGCCATTTTGGTCGGTCCTAAGCTGCGTAGAGCAGGTCCCGAGGCGGAGGAAGCATTGCTGAAGCTTGCTGAAGCAATGGGTTGTACAGTTGCTGTACAACCCGCTGCCAAGGGCATGTTCCCGGAGGATCATCCGCAGTACACTGGCGTATTTTGGGGCCAGGTCAGCACCCTCGCTGCAGATTCAATCATTAATTGGGCGGATGCTATTCTCTGTGTCGGCACCGTCTTCACGGACTACAGCACTGTCGGTTGGACTGCTATGCCAAGTGTACCTCTCATGGTCGCCCAGATGGACCATGTCACCTTTCCCGGATCTACCTTTGGACGCGTACGGCTCTGCGACTTCCTGGGCGGCTTGGCAAACCAGGTAGACCGGAATACTGCCACGATGGTCGAGTACCATCGTCTTCGCCCCGATCCAGTCCTCATCCATGTAGCCGGTGAGAACGACGCCCTTAGCCGGAAAGAAATCCAGAGGCAAGTTCAGCCGATGTTGGACGCAGACACCACGCTGTTTGTGGAGACCGGAGACTCTTGGTTCAACGGCATCCAGATGAAGCTGCCCAAGGGGGCCGACTTCGAGATCGAAATGCAATGGGGCCACATCGGGTGGTCGATCCCGGCGTCCTTCGGCTATGCTCTCTCAAAACCGGAGCGGAAAGTCATTACCATGGTCGGTGACGGATCGTTCCAGGTCACCGCGCAGGAAGTCAGCCAGATGGTGAGATGGAAATTGCCGATTATCATCTTCCTTATCAACAACAAAGGTTACACGATTGAGGTTGAGATCCATGATGGACTGTACAACCGCATCAAGAATTGGGACTACGCAGCATTGGTACAGGCTTTCAATTCTACGGATGGAAATGCGGCGAGTTGTCGGGTGGAGACGGGAGGCGAGTTGGCGAGTGCGATTGAGATGGCCAAGGGTCATAAGGATGGGCCGACGTTGATTGAGTGTGTGATTCACCAGGATGATTGTAGTCGGGAGTTGATCACTTGGGGGCATTACGTTGCAGCGGCTAATGCAAGACCGCCGGTGCAGATGTGATGAGTTGGGATGTTTGGAAGAGTCACTATCATCTAATGTAATCATTTCTCTAGAATCTTGCCGAGTTCTCTGTCCATAAGTAGAAGTAAGGGTTTGATTATGTAGCACTCAGATCCGCAATCGGCGTCCCGATCTCCTGAAGCTGACTTAACAACTTTTTCAATTCTTGCTTTTCATTTTATATTTTCAATCTCCTATTGACACTTGCCTTTCAAACATTACCAGATTTGCCAGTTCCAAGCACCAATTTGACTCTCATTGTCACCTTCCTGCCTCTCCTAATCTACCTCCACAACGGCCATAACGTCGATCTCAAACAACAACTGCGGCGCTGCCAACATTTCAACCGGGACCAAAGTTCCTGGAGGTCTATGCCCATCCAAAAACTCTACTATCCCCCCCCTTGAACAATTTCGAGTGGGTCCAAGGATAACACCACCCAAGCACTGGCCATGTCAAGGGCCTTCAGCGAATAGTACTTCTCACAAGCACCTGAGATTCCCCAACTCGGGAATATAAACGAGGTTTCAGGGTGGCGTTACCCAAGGACCCACTCGAAATTGTTCATGGGGGGGGATAGTACAAAAAGCACATTCCTCGTCGTGTCCGCCGGATCATAATTCAAAACATAATGTGTATTCGACATGATATTGCGGGGAGTCGCACCAGCAGCTGTCAGGCAGGTTTTCACATTTCTGATGGCATTCGAGACTTGGGAAGGAAATCGGGTGGGATGAAACCGCCGGAGAAGGTGCCGATTTGGCCCACGATGGTGACGATTTTGGCAGTTCCGAGAGGGAAGAAGCTGGCGTGAGAGAAAGTTGGTTTTGATAGGGGTGCCACTCCAGGTGGGTTGAAGGTTTGTGGGAAGGACTTGGAAGACATCATGATTGATGGTTGGCCTAGCGAATGAATTAGGCCGGAAACGGGATTATTATAGATCTTGGTTATTGTATCTGAATTAGTGAACTTCCCAATGCTTTCTTCAGGAACGTGGTTATGCTTATATTTATCTTCTGCTTTAGAAGCGTTGAAATCTGATATACGCATTGCAGCGTGTACTTGGCTTGGGGATGCGAAGTGGGTTGGAGGCACAAGAGCGAATAAGGGGCGAATAGACGCAGAATTAGGCGTAGCCTGCAATTAAACGACCATTAAGATACATCTCGAAGTTAACTGAAGCTGTTTGAATAATGGTACCAATCGTCACGATGATACACATGATCTGCATGAACCGGCTACGTCCGAGTCTATCACCAACGGCGACCTGTGTAATTGCGCCCAACGCGTCACCCGCGATGTAAACGGCGACGACCCATGATTATTAGGTGTGCCTTCATGAGAGAGTTTAAGTAAACTGACAGCGCCAGTCGAAGCGGTTAATGGGTGTCCCATGTAGTCAATCCAACTCTGGTGAGCAATCGTTGTGGTTGCAATGCCCGTATCGAACCCCTATTTATGATTCGGAGCCAAATTCAGGGGCAACTTCACATACAAACAGGAATGATCCAATCGCAGCGAACATAGCAACTGCAATGATGTATGCGCTAACCATCCTGACGGTATTGGCGATGTTTTCTCAATAAATGATCCAGAGGTTCGTAGCAATAACCAGTAAAAAGAAAACCAAAAAAGGAGTAAGTAAGCTCTCATATATGATTCTCAAAAACATGTCCAGGACACCATTGCGGAGTTCGAAAGAAAAGGGGTTGGTGCCGTGGGGAACGGGGCCTCTATGGAGCCCCATAAGGGCTCCAATAGATGAGATGACGAGGTCACCAGGGTCTAGGAACTCCAATCTCATCATCAACCATGCCAAAAGTGGATAGATAATTACCAACGTCATATGTTTACCTTGAATTCCGAAATTCTGTTGTTGGCATCTTGAAGAATGGGGAGGAAGTGTGGATCGGCATCGCGTCGGCTCGCAATATGTCGGCGACTGACGGTGTCGGCTCGGATCGCCAGTTTTGGACTAGGATTTTCGGTTTTGAAGGGATTAATGCATGACTCGTGGACCAGACTGAATTAAGAACCCGCTGAGTCATATCGCATGATGTATTGCTTATTGGAGTGAGACTGAAGAGCCCATGATGAATTTCGTGCTCAATTCTCGGATGCAGTTTCGGGCGACAACCAGCGCTCACTCCCTTCTCTTAAGGTACTTCATGAACTGCACCTGAATATCTTGTTTACAAATAAAGAGAGACAATTTTTTGAAATCAGATGCTATTACGAAGACAACGGCATAAAGTATCGGGAATACAGGGCATTGGGAGACTTTCAGGCTCTCTAGCGCACAGATGAAGGTAGCAAACTCGCTATAAGACCCTATATTTCCAGGCCCTTCCCCTAATCGTAGGCATTTACGCCTTCGACAAGGGGTACCACACCTTTTCAGGGCTTCTCCCCTGTACTTACAAGGAAGTCTTCGCTAAAGAGACCTATAATAGTTGCTTGTTTAGTGTCCGAGCGCTGTGGTTGCTCTACCAACAGCGCTATAACCCTAGAAGATCTACTTACCCCATGCGAATGTCTTATAGCGCCTCTTTATGTAAATTTAGGGAGCACTACCTAGAGTTATAGGGGCTTATAGCGAGCTTCTGCCCTAAATTCACACCCTGTAGAGCGCTGAGGGTCAAAATGCCCTGTATTCCCGATACTTTATGCCGTTGTCTTCGTAAATTTATAGTTCCTCATGATCTGATATACTTTATTAAGGTGACGGGGTGGGAATTTTGAAGTGTTATGGGAATTGTACAGTACCCGATTTGCGAATGGCACAATTCGACTTGATGTATTCCATTTCACAACACCAAAGCCTCAACTACCGCCCAATCCATCCGCCCAAGGAATTGAACTCTGTGCTCCCTTCTTTCCAATCGTTAACGCCGCCGCTCGATTCGCCATCTCCACCGCACTCTTCGCATTGAACTCTCCTTTCACAACCTCCAACGCATAAGCTCCAACAAAAGTATCCCCCGCAGCCGTGGTATCAACAACCTCCACCTTCTTCGCCTCAACCAACCCATTCTCCCCTCCTTTGACCGAGAAAAACACTCCTCTCCCTCCCAAAGTAACAATCACATTCTTCACTCCCTTCTCGTGAAACTGCCTCCCAACAGTTGGTAAATTCTCCACATCTTCAATCTCCTCCGCACTACAACCACACAAGATAACCACTTCACTCTCATTCACAATCAAGTAATCTAGCCCTTCGTAGACCTCTTCCGGTAACTCCACAGCAGGTGCAGGATTCAGCAGAACCGGGACGCTCGCCTTCCTCGCAGCACGAAGAATCTGCACCGTCGTCTCAACGGGGACCTCCAGTTGCAAAATAATCAAATCCGGGTATGGCTCCTGCAACTCCTCAAATTGGAGAGGACTAATCGAATAGTTAGCTCCAGCATTCAACAAGATCCGGTTCTCGCCCGAGGATTCCTCGACGATGATAATTGCAACGCCAGTCTCAACATCGTCTTTCACCACAACGCCGGAGGTATTGACGCCTGTTGCTTGGAGATCTTTCAAGAGCATGGAGCCATGTTGGTCATTGCCAACAGCTCCAACCATCTTTACTGTTGCTGAGCCAGTGAGTAAATTGGTTGATGATCGAGATAGCTTTGCACAAGCGCAAGCTTGGTTGCCACCTTTGCCTCCAGAACCGGTTTTGAAGGAGGTTCCGTGGAGTGTTTCTCCGCCATTGGGAATCCGAGATGTGTAGGATGTGAGGTCTGCGTTGAGGGAACCGATTACTGCTATGACTGGGAGAGAAGATCTTGTTGACATTGTGTTCAAGGTATTTAGGGAGAGGGGTGTGAGATGCGGGGAAGTGGTTGCCGGTGCGTCGAACTGGAACCGGGACGGACACTCGTGGACAGCTGACTTTGGTTCTTGGAATGAAGGGCTACTTTTGGGGGATCTAGGATGTTGAGTTACTCGTGCAAGGATGCTAGTCCGTAAGCCAGAAGCAAAGCACTGTGATCGCCTCGCGTCGCATCGGCTTTAACACCAGACTCCGGGGTAGAGTCGAATCTGTCTTGACTCGTCATAGAGCTGCAACCATGGAAAAGCCCTGGATCTCGTAGCACTAATCGGTATGTGTGAGCTGGGCTATGAGGGATATAGGCGTCTGCATGTACCTTGAAAAAGAAACCTGGAAACACCTCCCTTAAAACTCCCACGCCAACTGTTGATGCCTCCTGATTTCACCTCTTGTGGGTAGCCATCAAACAATAGCAAAACAGCTATTGAAAATATCATGCATAACCATTCTAATATCGACCCTCACCTTCCCCACATCCTGCCTCCTCTGCACCTCCCCCAACACTTGCGCGGTAATCCTCGCATTAGTAGCCACGCCCTCCATCCCTCGAATCTGCACAAGAATCCAATCCCTCATCTCTTTATCATTCTCCTCACACCCCCACATCAAAAGTGGCCACAGCATATTAACCGGCAGCATTTTCTGCTCTCCGCCCATATTCTCCCTCTCCCCAGCATCAACCATTAACCGCGCCGTGTTACGAATATTGGCGATCGCTTGCTCGGTATCAACAGATAAGGGGAGATGTTTGTATGCTACGCGATGCAAGTGTATCTTCGAGGCATTAAAATTCGCAAAATATGTACGGGATGTCCTGGTGATCGTGAACACAAGACTGGATGAGATGTGAGCAGAGGTTAGTTTCCCATCGAGTGCGTAATCCATAAGTGGAGGCCGCATAGCCCACAGCGTTCCCAGATCTCTCGATATTTTCGCCGCGATGTTCATTACCTCTGTCTCATCATCCACTGTACCCCGAGATCGATGCCAGGGGTCAATTTTGGAGATCCGCCCCATGAAGGATTGGATGCGTTGAAAGAAGTAGAAGCCGGGTTGGTAAAGAGTGTCGAAGAGCACATCTTCGACGTTTGCTTCCGAGCCTTCGTTGTTCTCGGTCATTTCTGTGCTGGCTGGAGAGGACTGAGTGAGGTTATCGTCGATCTCGGACAGGAAGAGGCCTTCGCCGCCTGCAGACACGGCGCGAGCGTCGAGGAGACGGAACCAGGAAATGAGACGTTTGCTAACGAGGCGGAGTTGGGATTTGTCTGTTTCTTGAAATGCCTCGTAGGCTTCTTTGAGGTTAGAATGCGCATCTACTATTCGACCTTCTAGCAGGTCGATGTAGCTGAGAAAGAACAGAGCTGCGAGCATATGCTCCAGTGCGGTTGAAGAGGAGTTCTCTTTCGTAAACATTCTCTGGTTCTGTTGTTTTGAAAGCTCCAATCGCGCATTTTCGTAGTATCTTTGGTACTTTGGAGGCTGGTTGTTGGACTTTCGACCCAGAAGAAGCTCTGCGAACGCCAATATTGCATAATGAACCATGGCCGAGGTTGAGGACATAGAGATCAGAACCTGCCTCATCGAAGACCACCTCAGCTGAGTTTCCACCTGGGCGATGATAGGCGGCACCACACTTCGGATAAAGTAATCCTTTAGCAACCGCTCCTCAGAAGAATCGTCCGGATCATTTCGGTTTCTGGTGACTGCTCCCTGAGATCCATTTAGGTTCGGGGAATCCAAGAATGGCTGAGGCTGCTGGAAATTAATGTTCTGGCCGTTGGGTAGGTATGTTGAGGAAGCCAGGGGCTGTTCGGTCTCCTCCCCCGCGTCCAGAAAGTCCATGTCAGGAAAGCCCAAGTCCCGCCACCGAGTTGGTTGCATATTCCCACCTTGCAACTCATTCTCCCACATGAAGCTCGCATAATCAAACGTATCATTGAAGGGTCCATTAACAATGTTCTGCCTTGACTCCTGCAGCATGGGGCTGTTTCCACCATCCAAAGGATTCGAGCCACCAATGTTGGTATCCGGCCCCACTTCATGGTGAGAAATTGTACTTTCGGAAGATTGCCTTGGCGTTTGGGACAAGCTCGTAGAAGGCCTCCAGCTACATTGGAGATTGAGGCGCTCACAGTGAGAACAGCGTGGTCTCTGTTCATTGCAGCGCACTTTGCGTCGACGACAAGTCAAGCAGCCGGACTTTGACCTCGGAGCACGAGCTCGACGAGGAGAAGTGACGTCCGGGGGTGAGTATGCGGCTGTGGACATGGTGTATCATCCCTGTGCGGCTCCTTGATATGTGACTAGGAAGCTGGAGGGCAGTGGCATGTCAGGGGCCGTCTGTTCAAGGCGAGAATGTTGAAGGTGGGATTGCTTCGGCCACCAAACCTGTCGTGAGATGCCGAGGTGGTTGACGTCAGCGGTGAGCAGCTTGTTCTTCCGTGCCCTTTGCAACGAACTCACATTACATGCAAATAGAGATTTGGATGGAGCTACAATATAAGGGATATGGGACCTCGCGTCAGCCCATCCATCACTCTGGGGAAAATCCTAAAATAGTGGGGTAAAGGGGGCCACTAGGCCGTTTTTAGTAAAGCGACCCTCCCTTTTCAAAGCAAGCATATCCCTGCAGAGCCCGAGAAGCCTCTGTTCTCCGTGATTTCGTTCAATTTGTCAGGAAAGAAGTCCTCCTGTGTGTTCATACTTTCGCCAAACTCTTCTCCTTCCCTTCCAAAGGCCTCATGATATCCATAATCCACACCTGCTTCTTCACGTCACTGTACCTAGGATACGGTCTCCTCGTGTGGCAGCTAGCTTCCGGATACCCCAAATACTTGGCAACAACCCACTTCGTGCCATTGATTCCTCCCTTGGCAAAGCCCCATTCAACGGCGGCAAGTTCAATTTGGGCTTTCTCTGCTTCTTTGGTTCTGCCGCTGATGGCGAGGTCGTAGAGTTCGAGGCATGCCTGGAGGAGAAGGCGAGATTTAGGCTGTGGCTTGGAACGAACACGGGAAATGGGGAGACACTCACTCTTGGGTAGATATTTGCAAGACCGGTGATCGTGCCAGTTCCACCAATTGAAATAGCAGGTAATAACCAATCGCTCTGACCGGCCAGGGCACAGAACTGTTCTGGCTCGAATCTCGAGCGTATGCGGGCTACCTTGGCGATACCACCACAGGTCAACTTCACGCCGATGATATTGGGGTGATGGCCAAGCTTTTCGAGCATTTCTGAATTGACATCGAGACCAGCGGAGACGCCGGGGAAGTTGTAGATTAGGACTGGGATCGGGCTGGCATCTGCAAGCTGGGCGTCATGTCAGCAGTTCCACGGTGAGGTGGAAGGAAAATATGAACCTCTTCAAAAAATGCTACAATGGCATCTTCGTTCATCGCAAAGTGGAAATAGCTGGGGACGAGCACGAGAGCGAAATCAGCGCCTGAATCTTTGGCCAGTCGAGTTTCATCGATGACTTGACGTGTTGATCCTCCTCCACAGCCGAGGATGACTGTCAATTCTGGTCGCCCCAGCCGGATCGAAAGTTCTCGTGTTGTTTTCACGAGCTGAGACTTTTCCGAGGGACTGAGTGTGACGGCTTCACCGTTGGTACCAGCGAGGACGACTATGACAAGTGATCAGAATTACCGCAACCCAATTGGAAAGGGGGGGACAGACTTCCATGCAACCCCGACTCGATCAAGAAGCTAAGATGCTTCTCTTGCACCTCCCAGTCGATCTCTTGGTTAGGAGTATCGCTAAACCAGGTCAAACTTGGGACATGAACCCCGGGAGGGAAAGGTTTCCCAGCTTTCTTTCCATTTGTTCCATTTGAGATCGCCATATTGAAGTGTAACTAAAACGATATGGGATAAACAAAGGTGGTAAAATATACAACGAGCAAGAAGAGGAGTGCCTTTTATTTGGAATAGAAGGACGGCCGAAGAACAGAAAGATTTGATCTTATCGTTAGTGGAATACCCCACCTCCACAACAATGTATGTGAGCCGACAGTAGAATTGAGTGCCCTTACATAAGAGCTCCATTTCTCTTAAGTCGATGGTCTGTGGTTGATCAGAGGGAATGGGGAGCTCTAAGATGGGGCCCCATCTAAGGCATAATCTCTATTATTGATTGGCGATCGCTTTCTTCTCGCATTCTCCAGCTGCCAAGTGGGAAAAAGGATAATCTGTGAGCTGGAATCGTTATAGCAATTGGCCGCAAGTTTCACTGAACCTCATCATCGTAACGAATCGTGGGGCTGAAGCCAACCCAGGTGGGGAATGTTGTTGGAGTCTCCGACAGGGAAGGCAAGCGACGCGAGCCGAGGCGATGGAAGTAGCCGACCTATGGACGACAAATGACCCCTACCTGGCTCACACCATGCACATATACAAGTCAGTCCGAGCAGTTGATATCATCTGATAGAGTTGGCAAACTTCGGCAGCCGGGTTTTTATGCCACACAAGGTGCCTTGAAAATGAATCAACTTCTTTGCTCGGCATACTTGAATCCTTTGAATCCCGGAGGCAAACCCGAATTTTGGATCACATCCATAGGAATCGAAAAGCAGTAATATTTTTCTTCTGGACAACGGGACTTTCCAGGTATTTGTCATGATATCTGGAGTTGAGATGAAGTTGACACCTAGGCGAGGAGGACCGGTTGACCGCAAGTGAGGAAGAGAGAAGAATCATCATGTCAACTCCCTGGGATTAGAGTTCAGAACTCCGATTGACTACCCCAGCTCAACCGCCACAGACGAGGCTCTTTCGTTGATGTGAATTTTAACAACCAGCCGCGACAAGATCTTTCTGATAGAGACATTGACAGCTCCAACATGTGGGATTTGCTTCTTGGCACGATCGACAGGAACACTGGGAACGAAATTTTCATAAGCCTTCCAGGAATCCCATTTACCAGAGCGATTGTGACTGACAACGTAAGGTGAGGACGATTCGTCTGCAAGGAGAACACAGCACCAAAGACTGCCAGATTTGCAGCCAAACATTACTAAGAAATTGCTTCCGCATCCTAGAGCTGGGAAAATAAATAGTGCCCCGGCCTGAAACGAGGAACCGCCCATTGTATCTGGTAGTGTTGTTTTCCATGGCAAGACCCCTGTGTTGCTTCCCCAGCTGGTCTGGATCTTGCATTTCTGCGCGAATTCTGGACCTGTGAAAACCTCGAAAATGAACGAGACAACGACTCGCATTCTGAAATTCAATGGATGAACTTCTAGCGGTTTTTGTCGAACGAATATTCTGGTTAAACGAAAAAGTTGGAGGTTTTTAATTGGGACCAAATAATGATGAGCAGGATCTCCATCAGATTCCGAGACTCTTCGCTCGAATCGATTGAAGTCGATTCGTACAAGAGGCATGCACATCAGATGCTTGGTCGTCTTCAACTTGCAGTAAAGATACGCAAGATACTGGCCATCGGCGTTCTCCATAATCGGAAGACATATATGAAGTCCTTTGGCAGTTAATGTCGGAGTAGAGTCGGCTGCAACATCCCGACCGTCTGCAAATTTTGCGGCAAAGGCGCGTAGAAACATGTCCACGTATGAATCTTTGTCCAATTCAAGATCGGAATATCTCCAATCATTCTCGGCTGGTATTGTGAACTCGGAAAGGCTGGAAGCCAACGCATTTTTGCTCTTGGGAGCGATCAAAAAGGGGCTTGGCTGAAGGACAGTGGGGAACGCTCGTTTGTATGCGCCCCGAGCAAGAAGGGTATAATCCTCGGTTGTCTTGAAGATTTCTTCTTGTAGGCGAATTATCGCACACTCGCCCTCTCCATATAGAAGAGGCATGTGAACTTGGAAAATTCCCAGAAGGCAATACGCTCCATCCTCGACCCTGGTCGTTGCTCTTGAGGCAGCCCAAGAAAACCTCTCAGCGACATTGCAAATAGCCGGATTCTCTCCGCCAAGAACACGAACGTCGATACCGGTGATGATAGATAATTCTTCGCGGCGGCTGGACCTGGTGCCGATTTCAGTCCAATCTTCTGCATAGAACTCGACGAAGCGTGGAGCTATGAGCTCTTGGAGAGTCCATCCTCGAGTGAACCACTTGCTCGTCTTGAAACGTCCGGCTAATTGCGTATCGTCCGGAATATCGGCGGTAACAACATCGGATAGATATGCGTAGCATATGTCTGCTTGCTGATACCACTTGTACATGGAATTGATGGCTTCTGAGAGCTCCGCACTACTCGTTTTATCTATGCTGTAGGCATTGCACCAGGTGAGAATTTTGGTCACTTTTTAGTTGCAGAGTTTGGCACGTACCAGCAAGTATCGATCCACACGTACTTGTATCCATCCCGCCCGGCTCTGGCACAACATCCTCGGAGTTTGGCAAAGCCAGCGTGGTGGTAAGGAGGCTCCGTTGACGATGCAAGGTCCTGAAAAGTGACCTCTTCTCTTCCCCAGGTATGAGAGAGGATAGCATAAGGAGGAATGCCAGAGCCGAAATATTCCTCGAGCTTTGGCGGGTCGCCCCGATCCTTGGTGAAGCTTGTGGTGAGCAGTCTCATGGCGGGGGTTCGTGATGATTGGGGAACTGGGATTCGGGTTATCGCAATATAAGGCACCAAAGCTGAAAATTCGTGCCGCCCTGTCTTGGTATTGTTAGGTGTTGATGTCGAAGTCGACGACGCAGGAATGATGTGGGAGGTCGGAAAAGCAAGAGCTCTTCGTGAAGTAGCACCACGTGACCATGATCCAATGAAAAACGCGGCCGTGGGCAATTTGGGCAGTTCTTGCTTCTACAGACAATTATTAGATTGAGCAAGCACGTCTTGCAACTGTTTGATCAGTTTGGATATGGTTTATATCACAGCAAACCTCTGAAAGCTTGTATCACGTGATAGAGGCGTCCATGGAACACATAACTTCATCAAAGGACCCCGTGAACCACCAAGAAAAGGACACCAGACCGTACACATATATTATGAGAAGGAGAATACATCGTTGGCTGGAATATATTCAGAGAAGAGAATGACACGTGCTCAGCTTGAAAGGAGTTTCAGGGGTCAATTGGCCGGAAGACTTTCTAAGGAGTCGCCACTGCTGAGGGGCTGAAAAGCACAAAAAGGTAGAGACCCCAATCAACATCAACATACGACTCCTCTCCGTGCCGTGTTGCTTTCTGTACATGGCCATGTCGCGTCAAACAACTGGATATCAGCGGCGCAAAACTTTCGTGATACCTGCGCGTTCCGGATCTTCGCTTGAAAGTGACGCAACATATTAATCCTGGCAGTTCCCAGGGTACCTGATCAACAACGCCAGAGCAGCATTGAGCGTATGAGGTGAACAGAAGTATTGTGTCCAGCAATTGAAGTCAAAACATCGTTAGAGTGAATCAATAAAATACATTCGACTGGTGAATAACCAATATATGACGCAGAGGGCCGACTCCTGGAAGTTGACCGCCAATGATAACTCGCTAAGCGCATTTCGGTAGCCACCTTGGCTAAAGGCTTTTGACGAGAGATCGAACTTCAAGCATTCCCATTCCACGACAACAACCGCCCTCAACCACCACGACTACGACTTCTATCCCCTTCTTTACAACTGCATCGATTCATCGCCATCGCTGCCATCAAGGCCTCACCTTTTGTGACGACGTCGGGTTCCTCGCCTTCATTCCAGAGGAGCGCAAGACATCTGTCCCTCGGCCAGGAGGCGCGTGCACCTCCTCCCCCATAGTCGCGCGTACAGCCCATCGCCGTCACTGCTTGGATGGATGCAGTCGCACACTAGATACTGGCTCAGAGATGATGGTTGGCAGACCCAGGGCGAGGTAGATCGATCACCGTGTCACGATGTCTCGCGCGCCTGGGGCGAGCTTCGCGCAGTTCTTTCCATCAGCCCCTCGAGCTGCCAAGGACAAGGCGAAGGAACGGGAGAAGTCGAAGTCACAGAGCATCGACTCGCCGAGCATACGACCGGTTGCTGACACGAAGCCGGCGGCATCAAATTTTCGTGTTGACGATGGCGGGTCTTCCCGTGGGGGCGGAGAAAGCATCCTTCCTACACCAGATGCAGCAGCAGCCCCTCAGGTGGAGGATAACGAGTCATTACAAGGGGACCTACTGAATGGCGTTGGATCGGCCAGTTCACATACAAGCGCAGGGTCATCGGTCTTCAGCGCGCCCGCCCAACAACCAAATACATCGACGTCTGGGGCATCTCGGAATGTGAGCAGTCTTACTCCATTGACGAACGCCGACTCCTCTCCAAGTCGTACCACAAGTCCCAACCACTACAAGGCGGGAGCTCCAACCACAAGTTCAGCGTGGTCCTTCACCGAGAAAGCCGTCGGTCAAGATGACGTCCTCCAAGCGCAACCTGCCCTCGCAGACCAACCTCCTCCAGAGCCACGAGTCTACGCTCGAGATCCAAACAAGGGCGTAAAAGGAATAATATGCACATATGATCCGCTGCTCGACCGCAAGCTTTCCTCGAACGAGAAGAAAAAGGCGAAACCCATATATAAGGAGTTTGGTTTGGTACGTATACTACAATCCCTGGGGAGCGTCATCTTGCTTGTGTGAATGTCTGGCTAATAGCTATGCAGGAAGATGACGCTCCCCCGGCGGATCCACGATTGGCCCAGCGGGGTACCATACTGGATTATATCAATGTTGATTACCACAACGCCAAATCCCGATTACGGCATGCGCCGTACCTTCTTCGACCATACCCATATGATCCAAAGACATCACTCGGTCCTGGGCCTCCGACACAAGTCGTTGTGACCGGATTCGACCCCCTACATAATTTCGCAAATGTTTCTGCCATCTTTTCCAGCTTCGGCGAGATCGCAGAGAGCAGCAACAAACTGCATCCTGAGACTGGCAGCTGTTTGGGATTTGCTACATTTCGTTATCGGGACTCAAAGTCGGCGAAGAGTCGGTTCGTTTCGGCTATCGAGGCTGCAAAGACTGCTGTGCGAAAAGGCTCGAGCATGCGAATTGGCCCGCATGATGTCAAGGTGGAATTTGATCCTGATGGAAATAAGAGTAGACGGATGATGGAGAGCATTCTTGCGACTTCGAAGCCTGCGGCCATTCCGCAGATCGCCAAACCTCCGGCAGCGCCCAAGCCTGCAGACGCTGTTAAGTCCTCGGGCCCCCCGCCAACGGCACCCAAAGGTCCTGCGGCGTCGAGACCCATCTTCCGGCCGCCAATAGCACCTGCTGCTGTTCCTACGCAGCCAAAATCTCTGCGAGCGCTTGCTATCGAACCTATCGCCATGCAACTCCATCAGCCATACCTGTTTGTGCCCCATGAGTCAGTTCCTGTGATGACATCCACGCCTCCGCACATGGCAAAGCGCGTGCGCCATTTCAACATCGAGGAAGTGAAGATGGACAAACTCGGATACTACATCACATTCCCTGATACGGACTGGGGAAGAGGTGATGCGCAGCGGTGTTATAAAGCTCTGGATCGGACCTTGATGTTCAGCTACACGATGGTTATGCAGCCGTTCTTCTATGGCACACAAGGTGCTCGTCGGTATTCCACACACCGAGTTCCTGATGTGCCATACAAGCGAAGCCACAGCCCAACCCGAAGAGAGATCGAGGAGCGGGAGAAGAGAGACGAAGAAGCCCGCCGAAAAGAAGAAGAGAATGATCTCGAGGAAGAGAAAAAGGAGCGAGCGAGGAACTTCGATCCTGCGAGAGAGGCTATCGAAGTCATACGGAAAGAGTTGAAGGAGCAGCTAGTCAGGAACATACGTGAGAAGATTGCAGCTCCCATGCTGCATAATTTCATGGACCCAGCAAATCACGTGGCCAAAAGACGAAAACTCAACATTGCGGATCCGAAAGATCTGAAATTGCCTCTCATCCACGAGGATGATGACCGCGAGGACAGCCCCGTGGTTGGAACACCAAATTCACGTGTTGACGGCACTGATCGAAAGCCAATGGGCCCGGGTCGTCTCAATATCTCTTCATTACCGAGAATTCGAAAAGCTAAGAATGGGAAGAAACTCAATGTTGGCTTTCAAGATCCATTTGGCAGAGCACGACCTGAGGCTCGGAGAACTATTTTCAGACCACTGGCTCATCGCTTCATCCACAGTGACGATGACGATTCAGATGATGATACTGAGACCAGGTCTCGCATTCGTGATACCGAAGAGCCAGACTCGAGACCACGCAGTCGAATGAGCACGGATGATGAAGCTTCAGACGAAGATACTGATATAGTCCCCCGACGCCGCATCAGGGATGATGTTGGTTCTGTGGATACTCGAGACGATGATTCAATGAGTGAGGCGAACTTTGTCGTTGGGGAGCCGATTGTGCCAACGAAGAAACGAAAACTTGACCTGCAGGTTGAAGCTGCTCTTAAGCGCCAGAAGAAGACCGATGAAGAACTGTTTGGCGTGGCGCAAGATAAGATTGAGGAAGAATTTCCCTTGTCTGCGAGCACCGTTGATGGAGACACAATTATGCGAGACATCAGTGGTGTTCTCAAGACTGAGACCGAAGAAGAGGAGCTTGCCAGTAAGAAGAAGGCCGCCGCAGCAGCAGCAAAGAAAAAGAAGAAGTCCAAGAAGCAGATCTTCGAGGAGCGCGAAGCACTCAAAAGACAGCAAGAAGGTATTTATATGGAAGAACTTCTTCGACAACCGAGCGAAGCCCCTGAAGAAGATGAGGAAGACGTTATCTTTGAGAGCGCTCCTGTGGAGACTTCTGTCGAATGGGGCATGTCTGGCGAATCACCTCGACCCACCGTCGATGATGACTTTGCCAATATTCTTGATCTGGATGGTCTCCAAAATCTTCTCAAGGACGAGGAAGACTCGCCAATTGCCGTAGAGCTTTTCAAGGCTGCTGCAACTGCTCAAACCGGATGGGCACACAGCTGGTCTTGGAAACAGGAAGACATCAAAGGCTTGAATCGGAATGGACACAAGGGCCTCTGTACCGACGAGACGTCTGTGGAGGGATATTACGTGCCGAACAATTCTGGGTGTGCACGTACTGAAGGCACCAAGAAGATTCTGAATTCCGAGAAGTCTTTGTACTTGCCTCACCGCATCAAGGTCCAAAGAGCCAGAGAGGCGCATGAAGCTCAGGCAAAGAAAGCTGGGAAGGACTTTGTTACTGAAGCTGCGGAGGCTGCCAAGATTGCTGCTGAGAAGTTGCTCGCCAAAGGAAATTCTCGAGCCAGTCGTGTCAACAATCGTCGCTACGTTGCCGATCTCAACGACCAGAAGAAGACCCTTGGTGGTAATACGGATATTCTTCAATTCAACCAACTGAAGAAACGAAAGAAACCCGTCAAGTTTGCACGATCAGCAATCCACAACTGGGGTCTGTACGCCATGGAGAATATCCCCACGAACGACATGATCATCGAATACGTTGGTGAGAAAGTCCGACAGCAAGTTGCAGATCTCCGCGAAAACCGCTACCTGAAGAGCGGCATCGGAAGCAGTTACCTTTTCCGAATCGACGAGAACACCGTCATTGATGCGACCAAAAAGGGCGGCATTGCGAGATTCATCAACCACAGCTGCATGCCCAACTGTACAGCCAAGATCATCACAGTGGAAAAGAGCAAACGGATCGTCATCTACGCGCTTCGTGACATCGCCCAGAGTAGGTTCCCTTCTCTCCTTCCCATTAATCAGTACTAATCTGGCACAGATGAGGAACTCACCTACGACTACAAATTCGAGCGTGAGATCGGGAGCACGGACCGCATTCCCTGCCTCTGCGGCACAGCCGCGTGTAAAGGATTCCTCAACTAATCGCATCTCTCATTGTGTCATTCGCATCACTCATCACATTCAGCAAGCTTTATTTTCAGCAGGGAGTTATCGTTTCGTCGTCGTTGGCCTTTTCCCTTTTTACAGCGCAAATGCATCAGAGGGTGGGGGTCTGGGGCGGTTTCGGGACACACAAAAATGTACTCTTTCAACCGAGTCTTTTGAGGCGTTTGATGAATTGACATTTGAATGGACGATTCGAGGGGTGTTTGATGGGGGAGGGGTAATAAGCTTCATCAGCTGGTGATCAGGAGAAGTGGAGAAACGGGGACATGAGCAATGGGCCGGGTGGTGGAGGACCTTGTACTAATAGAGAGGCTAGGCACGAGGCTGGCGCATGTAGGGATAGTTTGGGGATGATGAGATCTGCCGTTTGTAGCAGGTAGAGAATCGATAGATCGCGAGTGAGATATGACAATTACCCAGAAATGCTGTCGGCTCTTAATTGTGATGTGACTCCTGGATACTGGCATTTCCTGAAGCTACCCTTCAATGCCATAAAGTGTATGGTCCTCCACCTCCGTCTGCCGTTGTGCGAAGACTCTATGCAAAGAATTCCTCAAGTCTGTCTCAGGCGGCATCGTGTCTGCCTCCCGCACCTTGGACGCTGGTATGCCCACATCCTCGATCCTTCAACAAGCACAGCCAACACCATCCGCAATTCAGCAGCTTCAAAAGGGTATCATAACTCCATATCCCCGCCGTATTTCTTCCTCAATACACGCCATTCCTCCGGCTTGCATCTTTCCCTCCTGCCGTCCATCCTCCATCATTTCCCTTGCTCCACTCCCCATCCCCCCTTCCGCCTCAAAGATTTCCTTAGCATGTCTTGAAGAAATCAAACTAGATGATTCGGCAGCAAGAAATTCGCAATCCCCTCTTTCACCCGGTATTCATGCCCGCAGTTCCCACACACCAGCATCCCCTCGCTGACACTCGTCTCCAGTAGCAGTGTATGCAGCTCGCTCATCATATTCTCGTCTTTCTCTAGCTCTTCTTGTGTCGGCGCCGCAGGGGGTAGGGATGGGAATCCTAGCTATTCGCAGACACCCATTAGCATCCAAGATCAAAGTGGAGCAGAAGTAGGGGGGAGGGGGAGGGGAAAGAGGGAGGAAGGCACATACCTCTGAAGCAGTAACAACCAGCGCATTCCAATCAACCCGTGGCAGGATGTTATAGATCAGCTTCGGGTTCGGCGCGATGGTGTCGGAGACGAGCTCGCATTCTTTGGGGTGGAGGGGGAAGCTGGCGGAGGACGACTTGCAGGCTTTTACTGCACAGGTTAGGAAGTTGAGGGTTAGGAGCTTCATTGCGTTCTGCGTGAGGAGTTGAGAGGTATATTGGTTGGTTGATTGGGTCGATTGGGTCGATTGGGTCGATTGGGTCGATTGGGGAGAGAGGGTGGTGAGGTCGAGGAGGAGCGTGTTTGAGTTGATAATTTTTTGAGATCGTGGGGTGCCGATTAGATAAGATTAGATCGGGACAGAGTTTATTTGATGCCCAGCACGTGACCAATTCCCCTTCCCCGTGCGTGAAGGAGTTCTCAGATGGAACGATGTACTCAGTACAAATATTACAGTCTTTTGGGATGGTATGGGTCATTTTGCCTGTGGCTTCAGTCTTTAGAAGTTTCTAGGAAAGTAATTATTGGGAAGTTGGGAACTTTTGAAGTGTTTACGCAAAAGACGATGATTTGGGGATCCGCTGTCAGTGCAACAATTATTGTTCATTGACCCAGTGGAACATTGGATATGCACCAGCTTTCATTGTTCCAACTCCCCAGGGACAATGTACATACCTTGGATGAACACGGCTTTACTTGATCTTTATTATTATCCAGCCACATGACTGCTTGAGGTACCTCACCACGCGCCATTTCCTGGATCAGCACTCAGAGTAAAGAGCTTGTCCTTCATCTCAGTCTTCTCAATCTCATACGGCTTATTGGAGGCCCTTGGTGAAGTCCTTCCCCAAGAAGCCAGCCAAAATCCTCAAATCCTCATCAGAGCGGTGCGTCCTCTTCTGCTTCCAGGCGAGCCTCTTCCTCAGCAGCATTGTTTCCCTTCTTTGCGGGCTGCGTTTCATATTCTGACTGTGTTCCTTGCCAGCTCTTCCATTGTCCTGGCGTTGCGGGAATCCAGACCCAGCCTCCTCCTCGTTGTTCCGAGCAACTTGAGTACTATGAGGCCCACGAGTATAAGATTCCTCCCATTATTCATGGATCTTTTGAGATCCTCGAGATGTTCGACTTTGACGTGGGCCGGTAGGTTCAGAAGGAGGGCTTGGGTGTGGGGTGTCCTTTTGGATTCTCCACTGGCTCTGTAGAGGTTGGAACAGGATCCGCCATGTTCGTACTGTTGAGTTGTTCTGGCAATAAGTCCACCAGCCACGCCGAGGTTGGCAACGAATCTGGAATGTTGGCGTCGAGAGTAACGGCGGTGTTTCAAGTGGGTTGAGGAAGACTGGAGTTGGCGCGACCTCGGGATTTTATTAAATATCAGCGCCTGGCTCCGACGTCATTGGGTAGAGTGAATAATAAGGAGTCTCTAAAGTGTTTGGAAAAAGCTGGTTGCGTATTCTGGTCAATTTGGTATCATGCATCTATCCTACGGGCTTCTTTCCTTGACAATACGCAAGTGTACTCTGTTCTCCGAATGCAACATTATTCTCCATAAACAAGATCCTAAAAGCCATCCCAAAACCTACTTACTTCCTAGCGCCAGACTTCTTCGTAATAAAGAGCTTGCTCTCCTTCTCAACCTCACACGCTTCCTCAACAGCTCCCACAAAATTCTCGCCGCCCCCTAGAAACGCAGCTAAAATCTTTAAGTCATCTCGGAGACTGGGGGTAATGGGATCTTTGAAATTCCTCTCCAGCCCTCCCGCTGATGAAATAATAGCCCCAGTTAAAGACTGCACGCCATTGCTGCGCATCCGGCATCTTCCTGATTTCTGTTCGGTCTGCATGATCGCCGAAGGATTGATTGAGCACCGCCTGCATATGAAAGATCTTGTCCTTTTTGATATACTTTCTGGGATATTGAGTATTCTCGGGATCGTGGATGAATCGGTCCTTGAGGTCAAAGTCCGTCCAGGTTGGCTTCAGGTTCAGCAATAAAGCGAGTACGGGAGAGTGTGCACGAATTATAAGTTCGGGGACCCTGATGTACTTTGGCTGGCCCTTGACATGCAGTTTCTCGTTGCGAAGGTCGTGGTCACTCATTAAGAGGACAAAAGGAATCTGAGGAACCCATTTGGCACTGGGAAATTGTCAGCTGTGGTCTGCTTGCATTGTATAAAGGGTACCTCGTACATTCGTCCAGCGTTAGAGGGGACATTCTCGACTTTGGCTTTGGGTCGTGTGTCCTCTCCTGCTGCCCGGCGATCCTCTTTCTTAGCAGCCTTGCTCCCTCTCTTTGCTGCAGCTGACTGCACTTCATCCTCAGACCGAGTTTCACTGCCTGTTTCTCCATTGTCCTGGGGCTGCTGGGGCAATGCAAGGTCCGGACCGCCCTCATTGTTCTGGACAGCTTGGGTACAATCAGAGGCAGGCAAGAATGATTTCTCCCACTCTGCAAGGTCGTTGTTCAATTGCACATAGCCGCTGTCTTGGATGTGCTCTGATTTGCTGAGGACGAGAGCATGGATGTTCAACAGTCGCCGGGACAGTGTGTTCAATGGCTCCGAAGAGGCTGGCACCGGCTCTGCCATGTTGGCGTTAGCGAGGATGATTATCCAGGAACTTCAGGTGAACCTGGCAAATGCTGGTATTGTGTTGAGAAGTATTTGACAGGACGCGACGTCGATATTTTAGCGTGTTGGTCCGATCTCGCTTAGCATGAGATGAATAGGGGAGTGAAGTAAATAAACGAATTCCGCAAAATTTTCGAAAGCGACCCCAACTCAATTCCAGCAAGCGAGAGCACAAAAAAACCCAAAAAAAACCTCCCACCCCTTTAAATTGCCACTCCGCAGAAAAAACTCCAACTCGAGGCCAAAAAAAAGCCAAAAAAAAAAGATGGTTGATTGTTGTCGTGATGCCTCGAGGCCGGTTTGCTGGGATTCCGCCGAGAATAGAGAAACCATGGTTTAGCCTTCGCCGGCACGTTAGTGCCAACTATTCGCTTGGTTCGGTGTGCCTTCGCCGACACGCAGTGCCAACTATTCGCTTCACCTCCCCCCTATGCCCTCTATTCTGTACCCGAAAAATGCTTATTTCAATACATATGACCCCCCCCATTCAACAAAATCACGTGCGCTTCTCGCAACACTTCGACAATTCACACCTGCAGCCGCACTCAGCCTTCATTTAATTAAATACTTTGCAGCCGCAACTCTATCGCTCTAAACTGTCTCCAATCAAATTATCATAGGCTGATTTGGATGGCAGAATAAAAGTACATTGCGGTCAAACTCCTGAGTAGGGAGGGTATCGAGCCACCGAGTTGCCAACTGCCGACCATGTCCCTTGTATTTCACATAAATTACTCATCCTTCACGAAACTTTTCCTTTTCCTTTGAATGCAGGTGTCTCGCCATTCAAAGCTTTCTTTACCTCGGTCTCCACATCGTAAGAATAGAACGCATCCATCATCGACTCCGGCATGATCTTGCACATCGTCCACATCACGACATTGCGGATCGTCTGTTCAACCACGTTCAACTCTCTCTTCATATCTCCTCTCTTCCGAGCTTCAGCGACGATGTACTCGCATCTCGGCTTACGAAGCTTCGTATACAAATCGCACAGCCTTTTCAAATTGTCCTGATCAGTTGCTTCCTCTCCCCCCTTCACAACGAAAATTGCCTCACAGAGGAGTCCGATGGTCATGGCATCTTCAACCGCGCAGCTAACTCCCTGTCCACTGTCAGGCGGCATGCAATGAGCAGCATCACCAGCAAGCAGGATCCGACCGCTATCACTTGTCCACTTCGGCAAGTTGGGGGTGATCCATCGAGGAAGCACATGGGTGACTTCTCCGGATCCGCCAACCCCACTGTTTTCAATCAAAGCTGTGATAAGTGGTGTCCATCCTTTGTGATTGGCGAGGACCTTCTCTTTGACTTCAGAGAACGGGGTTTTTGAAGTTGGAGGAGGATCCATCGGAAAGGTGGACCACCAGCCTGCAAATGGAAGTTCACGGTCGAGATCTTTATTTTCTGGAAGTCCGTCCTTGGAGGGGGCGCTATCGAGTCTACTCACATCCAAGACTGTGCCGAAGAAGGCGCTAGGGCCGAATGTCATGGTCATGACACTCTTGGGGAGCACAACATTCTTCTTGTCTTTGAGCTCGGCGAGAATGTTCCGAGTAGTCTTCTCATCGAGAAAGGCACCGATACCCACGAGACCGCTGACATTTGTTAGCTTTCGAAGCATTTTTGAACTATCAGCGTTTAAAAAACTCACTCATACTCCGCCTTCAACGCAGCACTCTCGGGAATTGCCTGTCTCGTCTTTCCCCAAACCCCATCAGCACCGACTACAAAATCCGCCTCGACAGTCTCCCCGTTTTCAAACTCAATCTTCACTTTCTCCATCCCATCCACGACGCTCTTAACCTTCTTCTCGAAACTAATATCTTTCTGATCCACCTTCTCCAACACAGCATCATGCAGCGCCGCACGCATAATAATCATCGTTCCATTCCCATAACGTTTCCCACCAGCTGGGAAACTCCCCAACATCCTCCCTGAAGAAATCTGAAGACCAAACGTATCAGTTTCGTAGCTTGATGCTTTGATCCGAGCGTAGATTTCTGGGTCCAGAGTCTTCAAGATTCTGATTCCGTTGGGGCTGAGGCCGAGACCACCGCCAAGCGCGGTAGTTACGTTTGTTGTTGGGTTTGAGTGGAGGTTGGGTCTTTCTTCGGTGTCGTTTAGGGGACCGGAAGGGCCTTTAGGGTTGGACCTGGAGAGGTAGGGCGGCGGCGGGTAGGATTCGTAGATGTGGATTTCCAGGTCCGGGATGTGTGGCAAGAGGTGCTTTTTGAGGAAGAGGTAGGTGGTGCAGCCACCAACCCCTGCGCCAATTATTGCAATGGACTTCATGATGTTGCTGCTTCACTCAAAGATGGGCGTCCGTCCGTATATTTTGGTGAGTCACTCACCCGGTACGATCCTGCAAAACGGCCTGGTGTTATGTTCAAAGAGGAAGAGACTATTCAATGGGATGCAGGATCCAAGAGACATTGATCTTAGTCGACAGAAGAGTGAGGTGATTTCCTGTGAGCCCGATCAAAGTATATATCTCCTCCACCAGCTCCGTTTTCCCTCGCTTAAATCCCGTGATCGGGGGTTTCGGAAAAGGGACGCTCCGATACCAGAAAGGAAACAGCAAAGGCCAAAATAGAAGCCTGGAAGGCGCACAACAAACACGCACTGCACTATCCACTCTTTCTGAAAAGATAGAGCCAGAAAGGAAGTTTTTAGGGATATTTCTGTTGCCTAACATGACGTAGAGTCACATGACTCATGACTCAGAAAAAGCAATTTGGGAAACGTAATTGCGGAGGAGGCTTCACCGTTTGTGTTACCTTCCAAGCCTTCTTTTGCTTGCATGTTTTTTCGTCCTGCTGCACTCGAAAATTGTGGGGAAGAGATGGATGTCGATGATATTTGTCACAAAAGCATTCAGTCTCAACCCAGTGGCTTTCTCGAATCAACCTGCTCATATTCTAATTCATCCCCTCCTCCATTTTTAAAAGAAGCCAACGCAAACAATCACGGAGAAAAGCATGGGAAGGCCAATCCAGTTCCCCTGCCAAGAAGACAATTTCCATAGGGCTGACGAACTTTCCCTCGACTCACCGCCCTATTGTTACATGCAGGGATTTCAGCGAGCGAACCAGAAGGAGGGATCTTTTCCCCAGGAATGGATGTGGGCGAAATAAGCGTCCACCGCTGAGATCTTCCTAATTATTCCCCTTCTTTCATTGCCATGTCCATTCAGGATCTGGTTCTGGACGGCAGCGACGTTTCTGCTCGAATACGAGGATCGGTCGGACCCATCCGTATGCATGACTTCGGGAGGTCCTGGGAAACCCAAGTCCAACAAACCAACTGGAGAGTCGCAACAACTGGAATGCTTGTCACTTTAAAATTGCTCCTTCCTCGAAAACCGTGCGGCTGAGCCGCTCTGAGCCCGAGTTAAGCTTAAAACTTAAAAGTTGTTCCGTCTTACAGCCCCATCGGCCTGTCATGCTGCAAGATTGGCCCGTCTGACACTCGACGGTGAGAACGGCCGTTGACGCCATCGCTTCCAAAATTAGCACTTCTCGTTCCCCTGAGGTTTGCATCTAAAGAAGACGGGCAACTTGGCAAGGCAGCAAGGCGGGGAGCGAGCACTTTTGCGGACATTCTTGGTTGGTCACGAACGTGCGAGTTGGCAATTCTAATGGATCTCAGCCGGCAAGGGACTTAACATTGCTTCATAAATTGCTTCTACTCTCCTCTCAATACAGAATGGAGGGAATGAATCTGGCAACTTTCCGTGCCTGACGTTGGGATCTCCTTGAAATCTATGAGGGGCCTCCCTGATTGGTAGGTTTCAGGCTGGGGAAAATTTTCAGGGGTGCGGCTAAGCAAACCGAAAGGAGAACCCTGCCACCCGAAGCGGTATAGCTTCCTTTTCCCCGTCGAGTGCACCTCAGCTCTAAAAGAGACACATAGGAGAGGAAATCTCTAGCCGTGCTTTGAAGGATTGTGAATTCCATTACAGGTGCATTTAATCTGCCAAGACAGCAAAAGGAGATGGTAAGCAAACGAAAAAGCCCAAATTGAGGCGCAATATCTTCTTCGCTTATTCGTGCATTGGGCGCGAAGAAAGCGGGCGCTCATTTCCCACACTCAGCCACGACTCCTTCGCACAATCCCCAGATTTTGCAATGCCAACACAATTTCGTTCTAGTTTATAAGAGGGGGGAGTCTATCTTCAGGCCTGCCATTTCTTTGAGCAACCTTCTCAATTAGCATTTCTTGCACGATTCTCCATCACTCGTTATTGGGATCATGCTGTCCACTCCTTTGACCGCCGTCCTTGCTCTGGCAACTTTGTCATCAGCTTCCGTTCTCCCTAATACCAAACGAGATGCTATTCTCAAACTTCCTGTCACTACCGTCAACCAAACATGCCCTCTCACCAAACGACAAGACCTTGTCGATCTTGCAAACACTCAGACTGGGACCAGATACCTGATCAGCTGTGAGGGGTCACATGATCAACCTGGGGATCTGTGAGCTGACTCGAAGATTTAGTCTCTATTGGAACCCCCGAACAAACCGTAAAGGTGGCAATTGACACTGGTTCGTCGGATACATGGGTGAATCCAACTTGCTCGACATCCGGCGGCACAGCGGATACCGCCTTGTGCAACAGCTTGCCCGTTTTCCAACCGGGCTCCTCATCAACTTTGCAAGACACGGGCGTTCCTATGAACCTCGCTTACGGGCGTGGCACTGCACAAGGAGAATATTACAAAGACACCTTGGTGCTTGGGGGTATGAAAAGACCTAATATTTATCGAGACTGTGCTCATATCTCATGATAGGTAGTACCGTTACGGGACAGCAGTTTGGCGTTGCCACTTCTACTTCCGACCTTCCGAATGGCTTCATGGGAGTTGGACCCGGGATCGAGCTCACTGGTTATCCTACAATTATTGATACACTTGCAACTGAAGGTATCACTCAGAGTCGGGCTTTCAGTCTTGACTTGCGTGGTGTCGACAGCACCACAGGTAATGCCTCGGTGACTGATATTCTGTCTACATCCTTCTAAGAGTCTATAGGTTCAATCATCTTCGGTGGTATCGACACGATGAAGTACACCGGTGTCCTTGAGAAGCGCCCCATCATCCCCGCAGCATTAGCGCCAGATAACTTTGACCGGTTCGACCCATTTCCCGCCTAATCCATCCTCTTACTGACACGTCCTTCCAGATACTGGATTTACATGAGCTCAGTAGGAATTACCAAGCCTGGCGCAGCTCCCAAAACGTACCCTGCACCATCAAACCCAGCGGGTCAACCCGTCTTCCTCGACAGCGGCGGAACCCTCAGTCGCCTCCCAACCACCCTCTTCAACGCCATCCTCGCCGACTTCCCCACTGCTACCGCTGATCCAGCAGGCAGTGGAATCTACGAGGTCCCGTGTTCTGTCGCCGCAGAAGATGGAACTATGGATTTCGGGTTCGGGAACACGGTTGTTCATGTCCCGTTCCACGAGTTCATCTGGCAGGCGGGCACGAATCTTTGCGCTCTGGGTGTTGTTGCCGATGACTCCTCGTTTGTTTTGGGTGACTCCTTCCTGAGAGCTGCGTATGGTAAGAACATCCTAATGCATGATGAGTTTCGCAGAGGAAAGCTGACAATTGGCAGTTGTCTACGACCAAGACAACCAGAACCTGCTCGTCGCCAATGCAGCAGATTGTGGTACAAACCTTGTAGCTATCTCCAAAGGTGTCGACGCCGTCCCTTCTATCACCGGCGCCTGCGGTGGCTCCTCAACTTCGTCTTCATCTTCCACTACCCCAACAACAACTCCTTCCTCCTCCACCTCATCGAAGCCCACGGTCTCGACTTCGTCTAGCACTCGTTACTCAAACTCCACGACGACCCCCACCTACCCAAGCTCCACGACGGCTCCCACCTACCCAAGCTCAACTCTGTCAACCGTCTACTCAACCACAACCTACACGGTTTCCTCCTGCGCTCCAACAGTGACGAACTGTCCATACGGTCACTTGACTACCGAGACAATCAGCCTTTACACAACGTATTGTCCCGTCGAAGCCACCTATACACCAGTCGCCGCCACCTACACGCCAATCGCCATTGCCTTCACACCAGTCGCCGTCGCCTTCACACCAGTTGCCGTCACCTACGCGCCAGTCCCCACAACATATGGACCTATTCAGAGTATCGTGTATGTGACGACCACCTACACCATCTCATCCTGCGCTGCGTCTGTCGAGCACTGCCCTTATGGATCGACGACCACTGAGACATATGCCACTTATACTCACGTTGCACCCACTGGAACCGCCAGCGTGTATCCTTACGTTACACCCACTGGGACCGGCAGCGTGTACCCTTATGCTACGGCAAGTTCGAAGGGACAGGAGTATACTGGTGGTGCTGGCAAGGTTGTCGGAGGAGCTGGAATGTTGATGCTTGTTGGTCTTGCTGGATTGGCTTTGTTGTAGAATCTTAATCGAGAGAGACGGACGGGAATTTTGTTGGGGGGGAGTAATTGAGAGCCCGTGATCTGTGTTTTGCAGTTTTGTCGATATTACTTTAATCCGGACATCTCTGGTGAAAAATTGTATTATTAATATATCAACACGCTTGATTCTCTTCTAGATGCACTGGTCTAGTGAAAACCTGTTCCCGATGAGACGGCTTTCATGAAAATGGAAGCTAAGAGAAGTTTCTGGATATATGAGACACTAGTGGACCTTGCTAATTTACCATAGAGTAGCTCCAAGCAATACTACAATTTTACATGTGCTCATCACACAACTGTCACATTTCTTCCCCCCCAAGTCACCTCGAATGGTCTCAATGCTTTCCTTTTCGATATATAACCCTGCCCTAAAGTATGTACCATCTGTCTCCGTTGGATAGAAAAGGAGCCAGAACGATTCGTAGGTAGGTTTCCCAGCGGTGTCCGTCTCGCCACCAACCCCATCGTCCCTCTCTGACCTATTTGTATGCCGGTTTCGAAGCAAGAATGCGAGTAGATTCGGCACTCAGCTGGACTCAGGAGACCAAGCCACCCTGGTCCAGTACTGAATAGCTCCATTTTATCAACTTCAGTTTGAGAGCTTGTGCGTCTCTTCCTTTTCGAAGGCAGATCCAGATATCGTAAGGCATCTCCCTGGAGCTTGATGTAGCCTTCATTGACGGCGCTGTACGGATCCTCAAGTGCAGCTCTCATAGAGTGGTCAATGAGTTTGGGCTCCAATTCTTGGTGGCCGGCCTTCATCCATTCGTCATCCGGAAACCATACGCTCTCCTCCACTGACGCCCAGGAGGAGGGTGCATGGGTGCTCGGTATTTGGCACGATCATTTGAGTGGCGACAGATTCCTCAGATGCGTCAAAGGCGATGCTGTAGTCCCACTCTCTGATCTGCCGCTGTAATTATTAACCAGATCATACCAGCTCTGATAATCAGGCTTGGCAATGATACCTAATTTCGGGTATTGATCCGTATTGATACCAGAATCGTAAGGTATCAATCCTACGATTCTAGAAATCAATTCTAAGCGAGAGTCGCGAACCCTCTGTCTAACCCCTTTAATTACGATTCTGATTATACTTATTACTTTTAATCAAAAAAGTAAGTATAGCGTTATAACTAAGAACACCGCTTTAATCGTTTTAAATACTTTTATAAAAAAAATTTTTAAGGACTTTAAAAATGTCGACTTTTTTTAGTATTCCCCTCGCTAGCTGTCCGACTGACCCCTCTCGCAAAGGATAGCCAGAAGTACCTCTGCATATAAATTTACTATGTAAGGTACTTAAGCAATTTCTCGCTTAGAATCAATACCGGATTAATACGGATTGATCCTACTAATACTAATGATACTAGGGGGTATTAATACTAGTATTAATACCTCAGGTATCATTGCCAAGCCTGCTAATAATCAACATCCGATTCGTCCTTTCCAGGGGCTTGTGCACACAGTCTCAGCGGCTTGGCCGTATTTCTATTCACTACAATGAGGATCCCGTTATTTCAAGCTCTCGGGTAGCGACGCGAGGCCGACAGGCGCTAAAGAAGGCGTGTGACGGCTGGCGTAAGGGCATAATCTGCCAAGGACAGGATATCGGAAACAGGCACAAAACGAAGCTAAGCCAGAATTACTTGGACAGAATAATACTAAAGGTCGAGGCATCCTTCCTACTTTGTTCCATAGCTTAGTATTTTCCAATATATGAGATTCTTTGAACTTTAAGCCTTTAACTATTATATTAATCCCGCTATTATATAATACTAAGCTCACTCGACTCGGCCTATAGAGGCGATATAATACTGCCGGTAAAGGACCCGTATTTATTCTTAGAAAGCAAAGACAGAATACCGCTTTTGATATTTGATAACCTCCTCAAACTATAAAAAACTAGAGAGCTTAACTAGAAGTATAATATCCTCTATAACCTAGTTAATCTCGGAGCCTAATTCTTAACTAGAGCAGATAACGTTCCTCTTCTAGTAATCGGTCCTCTGCTAATATAAAAGAAGAAAGATATTATTCTCTATAACCCGGTTAATCTCGAAGCCTGACCCTTAACTAGAGTAGATAATATTCCTTTAATACTAATAAGAGTAAAAGAACCGGCCCTTTCCCCTAGTATAGGAAGAATTAGTAGTAGTTTACTAATTTAAAATAAGAAAAGATAATAGTTGGTTTTAGTCTACTAACTTAAAACTAGATAAAATAATAATTAGTTATAGTTTACTAATATTAAATAAGAAGAACTTATTTAGTACTTATCTTTATAGCTAATACTTCTTCTAAAGCTATTATAGATAGCCCGGGGCTAAGTACTATTACTATAAGTATATTAGATAAGAGGCCCTAATATAATAAAATAGAAAAGCCGGACTTTAATATTATAAACTTATATTACTAGAAAAGCTATTATAATATTATTTTAGAAGAAGATATTAAGAAGTAACTAGCTAACTTAGAACTCAAAATTAGTATAAATACTCTAAAAACAGATAAGGCCTAATAGAGATTACTTATATAGAATAATCTTATTAATAAATATTACTTTATAGCTAATAAATAAGCGGAATATTACTAGAAATTCTATTTATATATTAACTAACTTACTAAAAAAGTTAATAAGCTAGAGGTAATTACTAGTTAACTTTATATAAAAAAAAGACTAGTATAAGAAAAAATAATAAAATAGAGATCTAAATAAGTAAATATTTAGAAATATTATAGATTCTTATTAGGAAAACTATTTAGAAGCTAATATTAAGGCTCTTTCCTGCTTTTAATTTATAGTAATTAATTATAGCTTATTAGAATTAAGGATCCTGCCCTATTTATAAATAAAAATAATTACTAGATTAATAACTAGATATTTAATATAAGAAATAAACTAATATAAAACTTTTCTAAATTTAATAGTAAATTATTAAAAATTACTTATATAATATAACTAGTTATTAGAGATATTTATAACTTTATCTATAATTAACTAGAACCTGAATTAGTTAGATAAATCTTAATTACTAAATAGATTTTTAAGATTCTCTAATAAGCTTATAGTAAAAATAAAGAAATAAAATACTAGAAAATAAAAGAAATATACTAGTATCTGAAATAAAGAAATAAACTATTTCCGGTATTTTAAATAAATTTTATTTACTTAATAATAAAACTAGGAAAGTTACTAGATAACTAATATAATAACTTAATAAATAAAATAAATCTCGAGCTACTTAAAAGCTTAAGTAATAAGAAGTTTAATACTTTTAGGAACCTTACTAAATAGTATATAAAATAAGAGAATAGGTTTCTTTTAATTAAAAATTAATAATTTCAGGAAAAATAATTAATAAAAACTACTTGCTATTAAATATTATTTTGGGCTAGAAAGCTTACTAGAATCCAAGAAATTATAGTAATTTTATATCTTATAGATTAATCTTAGTAACTAGTATTCTTATAGCTAAAGAAAGTAGTTTACTAAGAATTTGAGAAAAAACTAAATTAGCTAAAGGGCCTTTATTATTATAGCTATAAAAAGCCTAGATATATAAAAAGTACCTGTTCTAATTTTAATAAAATTATACTTATTAAAGAGAATTATTTAGAGAAAGCTAATAATTCAGGAATAAATAATAAGAATATTAATTCCTATTTATTATTTAATAAGAAATATAATATTAATAAGTTAAGAAAAGTCTAGTTCTAGATATAGAAATAGCCTTTCTAGAATAAGAACTTTACTAAGAACCTATAGATCTTACTTAGCTAATTAGTAAAAACTAGTTCTTTATTAATTATTAAATATACTAGAAAGGCAAAACTATAATTTTCTAGTATTTAGTAAATACCGGAATAAATATATATATTCTAATTAACTAAAAATACATTTGTTCTTTAATAAAAGTATTATAAATACTTTTATATAAATTTAAAACTCTCGTTTCCTTATAAGGTTTTAATAAATAATCTAGTAAAACTATTTAATATTTAGTTACTATAAATCTAGTTATTAATTAGTATTTCTAAACTTAATAATACCTACTTATTACTAATCTTGGCTCTTATAATATAATCCTAGAAAGGAAATAGCTAGTAAAATATAATATCTTACTAGACTATTAATGGAATTAATTCTATTAGCTAGAGAACTATAAGATAAATTAGCCGAATCTTATTTAGAAAATCTAATATTTTAATAAGAAATATTAAAAAAATAATTATTTTAAAAATACTTTAACTAGAATTCTAAAAAGAACTAGTAAAACCAGACTTAAGAAATAAAAAAACATATTTCTTATTTCTTTATAAGGCTTTCTTATAAGGAAAGCCAAATACTAGATAAGAAAGAAAAAGCTAGATTTTAATATTCTCGAAATAATTAAGCTACTAGACTATTCTTACTATTTTATTAAAGCGGCTACTTTCTAATTAAGTACTAAAGATCCTAGTAACTTAGTTAGATTAATTACTATTAATAAGATTAATTATATACTTAAGAAATAGGATTATAAACTAAAGAGATATCTATTATTACTTATAGTAATTAGATAACTAATATTATAGCCTGCTAGGTATTATATTTAAACTAGTAATCTAATATATTTTCTAGATATAAATAAATCCGATATTCTCGGTAATATACTACTTTTTAACCCTAAAGAATTTTAAGAGCTCTAGATATTTCTCTCTATATAGCTATATAATATAGCTAGAATATTCTTTAAAAAAGTAATAAATAAGCTTTCCTAGTCTTAATCCTTTAACTATAAGCTCTGTTTTAATAAACTAGATTCTTTAATAAGAATAGCCTATTTCTATAAGATAAGTTCTAGTAAACTCAAAAAAATAAGAAAGTATCTTATTAAGAATCTAAAAAAGAGTTTTATTAAGCTATCTAAATTCTCCTTTTTATTACTAGTCTTATTTATTAAAAAGAAAAATAGTAGTCTATAATTTTATATTAATTATTAATAGCTAAATATTATAATAAAAAAGAATTATTATTTCCTATTATTTATTACTAAGACTCTTAACTAATTAGCCGAATTATTAGTATTTACTAAATTAAATATTTAATATACTTTTAACTGAATTTATATAAAACTAGCTTCTATAATATAAATAGCTTTTAGGATAAGATATGAATTATTTAAACTAGTAGTTCTACTATTTAGATTTTATAATAGTCTAGTAATTTTCTAGTAATATATTAATACTATCCTAATAAACTATTTAGATAACTTTTGCTTAGCCTATATTAATAATATACTAATCTTTTCTAAGAATAAGAAAAAGTATTAATAATATATTAGAATAGTTCTATAAAAGCTCTAGGATATCGGATTATAAGTTAATATTTATAAATATAAATTTAAAGTTTTTAAGATAATATTTTTAGGATTTATTATCTTGAATTAAAATATATAAGTAAATTTTACTAAAACCTCTATTATCTAAAACTAGTACTAATCTATAATAAAAAGAAAAATATAGTTATTTTTAGGCTTCTATAATTTCTATTATAGGTTTATTTAAACTTATAAATATATCTTTTATTTCCTAAATTATCTAACTAAAAAGAATACTTTACTAAAGTTTATATTTAATAAAACCTAGCTAAATATCTTTAATTAGCTTAAAAATCTATTTCTTTTTGCTTTTATATTTTTCTATTTTAAATATAATAAGGAAACCTGCCTAGAAACTAATTATTTAGATCTAGTTATTATAAGTATATTTTCTTAAAAAAGCCTAGAGAATAAATAATAATACCCGGTCTTATTTTACTTTAAAGCTTTTTAAGGAGCTAAAAGTTATTATAAGGTTTATAATAAGGAACTTCTTATTATTATTTAAGAACTCCGGAAATAGTAGGCAGAACTAATTAACTTATCTAATTTTCTAATTATTACTAATTATAAAGCTCTCGAGTATTTCGGTATTAAAAGGCTCTTAAATAAATAATAAATTTAATAAATAGGTTTTCTATTATAATTCTATTACTAGATTACCTATTAGCTAGGTAAAGATAATATTATTACTAATATCTTATCCCGAAAAGACGAGCTTATACTAATCCAAAAATAGGCTAAGGAAGCTAAAAGAACTAGATAAGTTATTCTATTAGACCTAATTTTTGCTTTTACTAAGATAATAAATATAGCTTATACTTCTACTAAGATATAAGAAATAAATAAGCTATTTATTATAATTAAAGTTCTATAAGCTAATTAGATAGATCTAGCCTTAGAGAATAAATATAGGAAAGCCTAGGAAAATATAAATTTATAAGAAATATTAAATAGCTATATATTTTATAATAAAAGACTTATTATACTAGATAAATATAATAATCTATAAATTAGACTCCTATAATAAATCCATAATATAATAATTACTATATATCCCGGTTAAAATAAGATAAAAATCCTAGTTTAGAGACTTTATTAGTAGCCTATTCTTTCTATAGATATTAATTACTTTATAATAAACTATTATAAATATTAAAGGTCTTATAAACCAAGAGATAAAATACTAGGCCTATTATACTTATTACTAATTCCCCTAAGAATATAGGACGATTTATCTATAGACTTTTATATTCCTAGCTCTATAAGTAAGAAATATAATAATATATTTATTATAATTAATTAATTATCTAAATAATATATAAGCTTACTAATAACTAAGAATATTATAGCTAGGACTACTACTAGCCTATTTTATTATTATATCTAGTAATTCCGAGAATCTTTTCTTATTATTATAAGTAATTAAGAACCCTAATTCATTTTAGACTTTATAAATAAACTATTAAGATTAACTAGAATTAAGCTAAAGCTCTTAATTACGAAATATACCTAAACTAATAAATAAATAGAAATTATTAACTAGATTATTAATACCTGACTTTATTTCTTTATTAATTATTTCTAGAATAATTAGGCAGATTTATTTCTAGTATTTAATATTATAGATACTACCTGCCTATATAAATTAACTAGCTTATTTCTCTTAATAATTAATTATAAATATAAATTCAGGCTAAACTTTAATTAGATATTACTAATAATAGAGTTTAAAATACTAAGAAAGAAACTTAATTAGGAGAAAGTATAATAATAGACTAAAAGAATTAATACTACTATTAATTATACCCGAGAATATATAATAATAGCTCAGGAGTATTAAGCCAAGTAAGCTAATAAGAAATAATAAGAACCAGATTTTAGTTCAGGAAATATAATTTATATAATTAAAAAAATATAAAAAACGAATTATTTATCTAATAAATTAGATTATTTTCTTACTAGATTATTTAAGATTAATAAAATAGTCGGCTATTTATATTAATTTGATCTTTTTCTATTATATAGGATTTAGCTAATTTTCTATATAAATAGACTTTATAAGAATCTTACTAATCTATTATCCGGCCAGACTAATAAAGAGCCTAGTTTTACTAAAGTTAATAGCAAACTTAAATAGGAAGTTAAAAAGATTCTTTTTTCTAAGATATTTTATAATAAGCTTTATTATAAGATTAAATAAAAGAAATAGAATATAAATAATAAATAGTATTTTATATTAAACTTTAAGAACTTAGTACTTAAATTATATAAATTCTATAAATAGAACCCTAGTAAAATAGGACCTTCTATTTAGTTAAATAAATAGATTTAGTATACTAAAGAGAACGAGTTTAATAAAGATTATCTAGATAATAATAAATCTTAATAATAAGGCTTCTATAACTAGAGAAAGAAAAGAAAAACCTAGATATTTCTCGGGTTTTATCTAAATTCTAGTATATTTCTTTTATTTTATTATATTAGTACTTATTTTTTTTTTAGAAATCTAAATAAAATATCTTTCTTTATTATACTAAACTATATTTTATTATCTAGGCAAATTATAAAAAAAGTAAATTCTTAAAACTAAGCTAAAAGTAAATACTTACCTATATTAGTTCGAAATATTATTAAAAATTAAGGGAAATCTTTCTAATTACTTTAATTTTTATAACCTTAACTATTTATATTATTACTATTACCTTAATAAAATTATTAATAAAGGCAAAATAAATAAGAAATTCTAGTAATATATTATCTATAACTAGACTAAGTAAGGCTATTTGCCAGATCCTAAATAACTTAAATAATAGTAGTAGTATTTTAAGTTTAGTAGCTATTACTATTATTAATATAATTACTAGCTAAATTATTTTTATAAACGAAAATAGTAATTCTTTTATCTAAGAATAGATTAATATATAGAATATGGCCTATATTACTTTTAAGAATATATCTAAAATTATTATAAAGAATATTTTAGTAAAATATTCTAATAATAATAAAATAGAGATTTTAGTTACTAGTAATAATAAATCTAATAATTAAATAGGCGGAATAAATAATACTAATAAGGGCTATCTAATTAATCTTATAGAGCCAAATATTAAAAAGGCAAAAAAGAATAAGGCTAGCTTATCTAAGAAATATAAGGTATTAGATAATAGCAAGAATTCTAATAATAAAAAGACTAAGAATAAAAAAACTTCTAGTAATAAAGGAAACTCTAACTATAATAAAAATAGCTAAACTAGTATTAAGACACCTATTATAACTAGAAGATATATAGTACTAAGTAATAGTTATTATATAAAGTACTAGTCTAAAACTAAAAGCTAGTAAATAATTCTAAAGGCTAAATTAAAGAAGTAATACCCTATAGATATTAATAAATTAGTAAATAATATTATTTAAGAAGTCGGAAAACCCTTTAGAAACTTTTATAAAACCAAAATTATATAGCTTAAGGCCCGGGAATTTAATAATAAAGTAGCTTAAGTAGCTGCCCTTAATATATAAGTTTCTATTATAGAGAAATAACTTGAGAATATATATATTAAATTCAAGAAGGTCCAGAAATTAATTAAATAGCTTAAAAATAGTATAATTAAGCTAAATACTATTACTCTAATTAAGAGGAAAGGCAAGCAAGCTACTATATTAAAGCCTATATTAATAAATAGACTTGATCTGCTATTTTTATTTAAAGACCGCCCGATAATAATAGTTCTAATATTAGCCATGGCCTATATAATACTCCCAGACTATATTATTAATATAAGTATAGGCATAATACGAGTAATAGATACTAAGAACTAGCCGGAATATACTAGGAACTAGGTTATTCTGGCAGAGTCAAGACTATATTTTAATTATAAGTAAGCTATAGGGATTAGACGGAATAGGGTTAATAGCTATTATTTCCTCTTTTTTCTTTTCTATACTACGGCTAAATAATCCCCTAAATAAGGGTATTTAGACTTCTCTTTAGGGGGGGGGGGGGGGGGGGTAATATAACGCTGCTTGGATCAGGGGATAATCTGCCAAGGACAGGATATTGGAAAACAGCACCAAACGAGCTAAGCCAGAATTACTTGGGCGGATAATACTACTTTATTCCATAGCTTAGTATTTTCTAATACATGAGATTCTTTGAACTTTGAGCCTTCGACCATTGCATTAATCCCGCCGTTACAAGGCGCCATTAACGAAGATGTATCTCGCTAGCTAGTATATAAATTTGCTTAAATCAAAATTCTATTTTAAGAAATCCTTTTATTATAAGTTAAGTAGCACGTAATTATATTATAACCCTTATAATATACTAGCTTATACTTATATTAAAATATCTAACTTAACGTCTTTGAACGGGCAATGGAGGGCACAATACCACCTGGGTGGTTTTTAACGCCAATTAGTACCAGCTACGGAAACCAGTGCCTGAACCATTTTACCGGACACTGGTAGCAGATAGGGGCACGGATGAGGCAATCATCACTCGCGGTAAGATTACAAGAGGGCTTTTGAGCACGCACCCGCAAACAGTGGGACTGGAGATGTGAGACTCCAACGTATGATTAAGCAGATGAAGTCGACGTTGGCGGCAGAACGGCTTCGAAGAATCCAATCTGCGATTTGGAACAGAGGATTTACGATAGCTGCCCGGGGAGCATTTGGCCTTGTGCCTGCAAATGCATTGATCGGAGATGTTATAACGGTGGTATATGGCGCAAGTATTTCAGTAGTTCTTCAAAAATTGGAATCAAGTCATTTGCTGGTTGGGGAATGTTATATTCATCGAGCTGCGGATGGGCTGAAATCCCATAAGGTCGGACCAACCAGTATTCGGAAGGGTTGTTACTACAAGAAGAATGGAGAGTTTAAATATACCTATCGACCTAGTCAGGATTGTGAGTCTTCAATGACTATATCTGTCACCAAACAGATGAGTAAAGTCAACAAGTAGATTAAATTTTGTGATTGACAATCGAGAACCACAATTTTCCCACTCACATACCAGCACAGCCGAACTGATCATAGTACGGTCTCATCGTCGTATACGTTCCACACTTCGTCTTTCTTGTCTCGAGTCCTGACACAACCATTGCAGATAGAGCGAGAAATATCAAAACCCCGGTATAAATCTTGTACCATGTCTGTCCTATGCAGGGCAAGACAGTATCCCCCGTATTTCCCTTCCAGAAATAGACCAGAAAGATAACGACGACGCCAACAGTGACGGCCAAGTAGAAGAGAATAAGCACAAGATGCGTACCGGTGAAGAAGTTTCCATACCCCGGCTGCGACTGCCCGATGTACGCCGTGCTGAGAGCCAAGGAGCCGACGAGTGGGGTAAGAAAGATGACGCGGATGATCATGCTTCTCCAGCAGTTTGATGGGTAGAACATTTCCTCTGGTGAGATGAGCAGTTCAGAGTCTGCAGCTAGAAGGCCAATATCTGATAGAGTCCGCGTGTGTGCGGGACTTTTTGTCGTTATAGCCTCCAACTCCAGGTCCTCCATCTCTTCTCCGGCTCTTCTCTGGATCCGATTGATGTCTGCGTACGAGAAGTCTTCTGTCAACCAGAGTGCAGCAGGAATCCGCATAAGACCCAAGAATGCCATTGAGTAGAAGATGGTGTCGAAAGCGAGACCGAAAGCATAATTTCCAGCAAAGTAACCTTGAAGAGGGGAATAGACGGACTGAATACCCTGGATCGTGACAATCACGGTAGTGGCCATACTGACGGAGACGAAACTGATCCGACGTAAACTTGGAATCCGTGTACAGAAAGCTCGACTCTTCAATATCATCTCTTCGGATCCATCCCATCCGTTGCCTGTCCAGAAGAGAGCGCAATTTGCGGCCATGTCAATTGAGGTCCAGTGTTTCGCTCGCACCCGACGATCAGTGATGACGAAGTAGCGCCAGAGAATGGACATTGGGTTGAAATGCCCAATGAAGGTGTGCCAGGGTGGTCGCTTGCGGCAAAGGTAGATCGGTGTGGGAACGCCGGCTATGATGTGTGCGATGAGGGGAGCAAGGCACAGAGTGAGGAGGGAGATCCATTCCGTGAACTTGATAGACTGGGATTGGTAGGTGAATTGAATGAAGGATGTGGGAACGGAGAGACTTGTGTTTTGCGGAAAGGACATCGTTGTAGCCTTAGCCGAGCGATTCAGGGGAACTGAATGAGCGAGCGTAGAAGAACGCCGCCTCAAAACGAAATTTCAAATATGTTGACGCTTGAAGACCCTGTTACGATGAAAGGGAGATGCGGGATCAGGGGACGTCTAAAATGGGAACTTCCGAGACACATCTTAGCTTGAAAGCTTGCTTCCAATAGGGGTCGACGTGGCTGAGTCTGGCTTAAATGCCAAGATGTTCAACATCGCACCTCAGAATGCCTTGACCAAGCTTAACATACTCCAAAGATTGCAGTACCGATAAGGACGCTGGAAAATATCTGCTAATGAGCAACAAAACGGTGCCTGATTTTTCAACCGAGGTCTGAAATATCAATATGTGTTTTAATGCCTCGAATATGAGTGGTATGAGGGTGTCACGGCCTGGACAAGCTGTGGAAGTGGAATGTGGGTGTGTTTGTGTAAATATGTATGAATGATGTGCCCTAAGGGCGGTGAAGAAGCTATATATATGCCTGTGCGCAGCACGTGACAGAGGGGTCGGCACAACGCTCTATTCTCGTAGAGATGGCCTTCTTATCATGACCTCTTTCTTACAAACTGTGATAATAAGGAAAATAAATCAAATCAAACTTCCAATACAACATCTAGACTACCACTTAAAGCAATAGCGGCGGGACGAACTATCACTCGCCAAGAAATATACCAGAGATGTTACATTGTTATCCGCCGATAGAAAACAAGAGGAGTGATATATGGTAAAGCTTCAATAATTCAAAAACGCTTCCTACTATACATACACTAGCCAACATGGTTCAGGCTATCTACCCTGGGCTTGTCCGTGTCTTGCTCAATTTCGGCGATAGTGTGGGCCAGCGACATGTATAGTACTAGCCAACAAGTTCCCGTTTTTCATGCGAATCGCACCAAAAGTCACCTGCATTACTTCCGAGTTTTGCCGTAAAGCTGTAAATATAATCTACCACCCAATTAGCAGATTGATTATTCTATTATTATTAGTATTTCTACTTGGATAGTAATAACAAAGTAGCATCGAGGGTTATTTTAGTAATTGGTAAAGAGGGAAGTTTTGTTATATGGACTCTACCTCCAATAGCCTGGAAGGCGCCCGTGAACAAGATAGTCTCAACAGTCCTCGCGACTGCAATACCTATTTCTTCTCCTCGGCCCACAATTCGGTACAAGTACCACGATGGAGTCGTGAAACTCAAGGCACGTGAGATCCAACGTTAGTACTCATATCTTGGCTTTCAGAAGTTTGGGCGAGCAAAACAGAACAGTTAATACGCCTCAATTCTAGAGATGGTCCTGTTGCGGCAACCATATATCCTCAGATCCATATACTAGAAGCGAATTCATATCCCACGCTAGTATCCTAAAGGAGAACTTGGACTTTTATAGATGTTTCGCGCAACGCCTAATGGAACTAAATATTCCGACACACGACAGCCAGTTGCGATTAACTGCGAAATGGGTACGGCCGCATCGGGGGATTCTGAGCTTATTCGTATTACACTCATTGATTACTTTTCATCCGCAATCCTCATCGATAGCTTGGTATACCTTGATGTGGAGATGAGTCACTATAACACACAAGTCATTCAATTGCGGTGGACACTTGGCTGATTGAATCCGCGAAAGCAGAAGTCGCGTAACAGATGAAGGAAGCCCAGGCGCCAATCGTCGAATCGACCAACATGGGTGCAACTTCCACCGAACAGACGCCGCGGAAGGGGCGAAAAGGCTCAGGTGCACTGTCACTTAAGACTCTAGCGATGGTGAGACTAGGCAGGGAAACTCAAGCAAGTGGAAAGAAGGGGAATTATAACTTGGAAGATGCACTAGCCGCAAGGGAATGGCTCACTCATTACTTTGAACTGAACCGCCAGCCTATACTCTAGATACAAGACGTAGCGCAAGGAAACCAAAGAAGTTCGGCTCCGGCGGTAACCAGCAATGCCCAGTCCCTTTAGCCACTGACATAAGAAAACCGTTGAGCAGGAGAATTTGTCGTGCACAGAAATTATCCTAGGACCTTACTTACTCCTTCCTTCTCGTACAGGATTGGCAGGCACTAATTCCGCAGTCCGGACACTGAAAGAAAAAACATTTTGCAAATGCTCTGGAACAAAACGCACAATCCACTTTACCTTTCCTTCTCTGCCAGGTCAGTGCTACGTGCTTGCAACTTACTGATCTGCCTTTTGCGACCGAGTCCTTTGGTTGGTTTACGCATTCGGCTTTCGCTCTCAAATCAAGCCAAGTTCTCCGAAGAGCATCTTGTTTCTGTGTGAGAGAAGCCTTCATCTCTTGCTGGTCTTTTTCCTGTTCCCGAAGCATTTTGGCTCTCTCTTCCCTCTCTTCCCTCTCTTCTCTTGCTTTCTCTTCTGCCTGCTTCTGATTTTCAGTAAAGCGACGTCTGGCTTCTCTGACTTGTTGCAGCTGCAGCCTTTGGTTGGCAGATTCTTCACGAGCAATTGCTATCTTCTTTACCCTCGCGGCCTCAATGGCCACTTCGGTTTGCTTGTCGAGGTAAGCTGCCCATAGCCGCTGCAGCGACGGCGAACTGCACCCCGGCTGGCGGCCTTGGAAACCGGCCTCGTAGACCGCAATTCTAGACCCCTTCTTAAACAGACATCCGATGTCCGAACCCTTGATTTGCATTGCCATGCTAATCGGTGTTCGTCCCTTCCGATTGCGAGCATGCGTATCGGCCCCGCTGATGAGTAACCACTGCACAGTTCTGAGACACCCACTAGAAAACTGGCTTGCCCCACGGTCTTTCAAAGCCAAGTGCAGAGGGGTGTCGAGCTTATTATCTCGGGCCATTATATTGGCACCCGCTTCAATGAGATGTTGCACAATCATATCGTTGCCCTCGAGACACGCGATATGAAGTGCCGTTCTGCCCTTGTACGGTGCAGGCTTGTCGATATCGCTCCCTCGCGCGGATAACTGCCGGACCGCTAGCAATTGGCCACATTGAGCAGCTGCCTGGAGAGGGTTTGCCCAAGGTCCAAGGCCTGACTCAATATCTGCTCCATTTTGTAGTAGCAAGTTCGCGACCCTTTCGTGACCACTCAGAATCGCGAGGTAGATAGGCGTGCAATACGAGCAGTGATTTCGTTTCAGCAGGTCTACGGCCCGCGCTTCGCCGTCTATAGACGCAAGGTATTCGAACTGTCTCATCTTCAGGAAGCCGTTCCACCGGACATTCATATTGCCAGCTTGAGCGATTGACTTGGCTGCAGAACCGCTCTGCCCACACTTGGCGGCCCACCATAGGGCTGAACTTTCACCCTTTATAACATTGTATTTGTATAGATAATCGTTGAGAAGGAGGTAGAGGCGGCGATTCGTGCGAGCAATGGAGTTAATGCTGCGCTCGGAATCAAGGGAGTCGGCAATCGAGAGGAGAAGCTCGTTTGCGAGCCCAAGCAACGATACGGGCATTGCTGATGAGGGGTTCTGTGGATGTGAGCACTGACCAAATTTGTAATTGACTTGGACTAACACCTCAAAGACACTGAGCCCAGAATCTGTTGCATGGCCCGGTAGAATGAAGACTACCAGGTCGAAGGATGTCTTGTTAGCTTTGAGGGGGCCAGCCGTCTTGAGTTGTTGATGTGCGAGAAGTGTTTCGGTGGACAGAAACGTGGAGCATCATTAGTGGCAGATGTTGACCCTACATGATATCACGTGATGTCAATCGCTGACCCGGCTTGCGATTAGTCCTGAAGATGGGTTACCTGGACTGCATAATCACATAAAGAAGATTTTATATTTAGAATACTTTGCCAGCATACGAGTACAGGTTTATGAATGACGCGGCTAGCTCCTTTTATTACTTCTGGAAACTTGAAATCAGAATCCGGGAAGCTGCAATCTGGAGCTGAGTACCCAGTTCGAGCACTAAAAAGCCAATTATCATGGAAATATGTGAAGAAAGGAAAAGGTGATTTGCGGGAACGCAACTTTCTGCGGCAGCGCAACTTTGCGGTAGCGCAACTCGAGGCGACGCAACTTTTTGCGGCAACTGCAATAACGCACCCGCGGTGACGCCTTTTCCGCCGGATAGGACTTTTCTACTTGGCGGCAGCTCACAAGGTTGCGGTACCTGAGTTTAGCTTGTGAGGTTGGGCCATACCTGAGGTGCACTGAGTTTTTTCTTATGAGGTTGGCCTTGGCGGTGGTGAGGTTGTGCAACCAAGTGACGACTCCCAAAGTTGTGCCAGGTTTAACCAAGTTAGCATTGCGAAGGATTCCACGAGTTTGAAGTGATTGCCAGAGATCACATGATATCCAGCAAGACAATGATCGGTGATGTCCAACGGACCCACAAATGAACGGTAAAGGGATCGTCCTAACAGAGACCATCCAAGAAGCGAGGTGAAATAGAGGCCTTTGCACATTTTGTATGTACACACCAATTGATTTTTACACACTATTTGGTGTTTCCACTCTTCTTGGTTTTTACACACCATTTGGTTTCTACACACTAATTGGTTTTGCACACTTACTTGTTTACACACTACTTGGTTTCTTCCTTGAGCGGAATGGTACTGAGAATGGCTCGTATCTCTCAGGAAGCGTAAATTGGGAGGTGGAGACGCCTCTGATGCAACAACACGAGCGTAGCGGTGTTTCCAAATGCTCCCATACCTAGTCTCTATACACTGTTAGCAGGGCAAAAGGCTAAACAGCTTCCGACAAATGTTAGAGGCTCGCAAGGACGGTGCGTTTATATTTGAGAAGAAGATACTAAGAAAAGCATGCATGGCGACTTTGCCACAAACTATTCAAATCATAAGCCCCTGGAAATAATCAATGGCTCTGAAACCGACTATTTCAGGCCCAACCATCAGCGACTTTTCCTCCAACAAATAGTCCTTTGAGCGCACCAGAACACAATCCATCCCTCCCTCTACGACCAGTATCTGTAGCTGTAGCCTCATCGGGTTAAAATCAGTACCTGATACTAGCTTTGAAGTCCTACCTCTATATGAGGCGCCGGCCAATTGATTCAATGGGCAGTCTATTCTGGGACAACCTCGCTAGAAAAAAGGGTTAGCGAATCAATCAATAGGCGGTATAAAAACATCATATTAAAAGCTCTGCTCTATAAATGAGTTTGTATAATAAAAGTCAAAATTAGTGTAAGTCTGAATAATGAATGTTTAAATTTGGAACCTTGTATTTCCGGGATCTATTAAGGCTTAGACTCTGCATTAGCCTCATTTTCCTACTTATTGGACTCAAATCGCTTCACCGATCCAGTCATCTTGGTAGTCGGCAGCGCTGAATGCTTTGAAACGGGGGTATTTGATACGGGAAAACCTTGTTATGGAGTCATCCCCTTGACAGAGTTGCCTGCTGAACGAAGTTTCAGACCATGGAATCTAGGCTATGGCGAACGAAGCACCACTTCATCGTCACTTCATGAAGTGTGAAAAATGGACGTGGCTGAGCAGAATTCTCATGCGACCGCTGCATTGTGTGCCTCGGGGTCAGCCTTCATGGTGGCAAACAGCCTGTCCGGAGTCTGCACACCCAGCCTGAAGATGCAGTTCACTTGCCGTGCGCCCCACGACGCCCGACTTATGTGGATGCTTGCAGTGGTTGAGTCGGCCGAACGTTCCGAGATGTTGGTAACACCGCGACGAGGCAGACCTTGAAAAATACCGGCATGTCGTTCGTTGGCAAAGCCTTGATGCATCGCTCCAAATGAACAGCTGATGGTGCGGAGAGGGGGAGTCTGCCATAATGCAGTCCGCTTCGAAAGTCGAAAGGGTTGAAAATATCATTTTACAAGCTGCGACGATACACTCGAAGCGAATGTATATTTGATACCGTAACTACGATTCAGACCAACGCATAATTGTAACAGCAGTCGTGTAGATCATCGCCACTAACCCAAGACACATTAGTGCAATGTCTCCCAGCTTCGAATACTTGCTCTCGGCAACACCTTTCCAATGCAAATATGGCGGATAGATATACACCAACGGTACACATGCGAAAGATCCAATCAACGCAACAAATTTATCCAGATCCGCAGCCCCCAATGCACTTATAATCCCACAAAGACACACGATGCCCGTCCGGAAAGCGTTCTTCTTCCACTTCGTCTTTGTATCTCGTTTTCCTGAGCGGTGGCCGAAGAGAGTTCCTTCGATGATTCTCATGGCGGGGAATAGTTGCACGGGATCCCCGACTAAGACGGCGAGAGAGTACAGGAATTGCACAGCGTTGACGAGCTTGCTATCTTGCGGAAGGTTACTGATGATTTCGACTGTAGTTTTGTCGCCGAATGTAGCATAGCTCAGAGCACCCACTGATAGGAAGACAACGGTGATGATCAAAACTACAGTGAAGAGCAGCCTCTCGAATTTCTGCGGTTGTTTCATGGACGATTGGATGGGCAGAATGAGGCCAATGCCTTCGAATGTGAAGATCGCACTTCCGATTGTGAGTGTGAAGTCTCGGGGATTGAACAGCCGGATGGTGTCGTTGAGGCCATCGTGGGCGATGGTCGAGATGTCGAAGTAATAGATGTAGCTGAGTCCAAGCATGATGCAAACGTCTGCGAGTAAGGCTGCCCCGCCCAGTTTGGAGATGTTGCGGATAAAGGCTAGTGGAATGAGGACAAAGAGCTGGATTCCGATGAGAGCTCTAATTGAAAGCGGGGATGGAGCTTTGAGCACGGCTTTTAGGAAAGAGTACACGTTCTCGGCGAAGAAGATGATGCCCGCGCAAACGAAGCCTAGTTGAGAGAGGGAAATCGAGGCTAAGATGATTGAACGTGTCTTTTTGCCTCCCACAGCCTCTGCGATATCACCGTATCCTCCACCATATCGTGCCCGACATTGTAAGAGGAGGTGAAAAGCCATACAAGAGACTGCGGATACTGTCACAAGGGCGATGGATGAGAACAACAAGCCACCGTTCTTAAAAGCCTTTGGCAGGAACAGTACGCCGGTCCCAACGAATGATTTGAGTAGCAAGAAGAATGTCCTGGTGAGAGAGGCATCACCTGGCCTGCTAGCAGCTCTTGAAGTCTTCCGTCTCCCAATCAGCGGTCTTCTTTCCCCATCTTGTCCGTCTCCTGCCAATAGTCGTTGTTCCTCTTCGTCTTCTTCATCCTCAATCGCATTCTCATCGTCCGAGTCTGCGAGATCCTCCCCTGCAAAGGAGCCATATAGATCCAGAAAAGCGACAAAGTTCCTTGTAATCGGAGCAGCGTAGCTCTGTGCACGCTGCTGTAACACATAGTGACGTCGAAAACCACCAGGCTCTCTTTGCTCTGCAGCTGTTTCCACCAAGCTCGGTCTCTGGGGATGCGAGAATGTCTGCGCTCTTTGGATTGGACTCCCTCGCCCTCGTTCACTGATTTTGTAGAGATCACGATGGATATCTCCTCCTTGCAGTTTCAGAGAGCTCTCGTGCTCCTGTGCCGAGCCATTGGAGCTCTGCGAGGTTTGCGTTATGTGAGAGCTGCGAGGAGGGGAGGGGGGTGATGCGTCTTCGAGTTGGGCGGTGTAGGCGGGGTCGAGGTGCCTGGAGACTATTTCGGCGCGTCGTCTGTCCTCTGCTGAAGGAGAGCGGTCGAGAGACATGGCATGGAAGATCTAGTGATATCCAAGTTCACATAAGATATACAGCGCAAGCATGCCATTCGATGCTGTATTTGGAATGAACAGATAGGAAAGAGTGACGCTTGAAAATGGTGATGCTCGTGATGTTTGGAATTTGCTAGTGACGTAGCGCAAAGAAAAGTTTCTGCAAGCGGCCGCGCCGCATTGATAGTGGCGGTGCGGGGTCAAGAGGCGCTGAAAAGGCAGCACTCAGTTCTTGAATGCCCTGGGTTAACTTGAACATTCATTTGGATTTGGAGGAGGAGGAAATTATATATTGCTTCCTTCTACTGTCCCAGAAAGATATAAAAGATAAAAAATAAAAAAACTCGTCTTTCTCCCTATGTAAATAAAGCTTTTAGAAAACTGAACATACTCCAAGTTACGAAGTAACCTTAGTGCCGCTTTTCTATCTGGGAGGTGTGTTAGACTGCAGCGGCGCTTCTAGGCCTGACAAGGGTTGCTTAATATAACGCCTCCGAGGCTCGCATGCCCGGATTTTTGTTCCGTACAGGGATAACGCGGCGGTATATAGATGTGGGCTGATTCTTACCTTTCCTCTCTTGTATTCAAAAACTAGGCTCTTCGCCGTCAGGACTCTTGATCCTCCCGAGCGGTCCCCCTTTTTGCTAGCTCTGTCCAATCGTCAGTAGCGAGACCACCACCGCGAATGTCTTTAGCCCAACACATCGCGTCCACAGAAGGAGCAGACCGTGAATGGCTTGAACCGTTGATCGAGTCCGAAGATGTTCTTCGGCGGGTTTTAAGCTTTGATCCCTTACCTCCCCGACTTGTTGAAGACCAAGCAGACCATATTCCGGCATACAAGATTTCAAAAGCAAGACGAACAGGTGAGCGATTTGTTGAGGAGCATTCATTTTCAAATCTTCAATGCCCAAGTTCAAGTTGGATCACGAATAGTCTTCTTCCGAATGTTCCATCAAATGATTGCACATTCAAAAGCCAAACCCTCCAAATGTTCCCTGGACTTATTTTACATTCGAAATCTGCCTCTGCTTTGATTGTCCCGGAAGTTTCTTACACAATACAGTCCAAGTAGCTATTACCGTTCTTGTCTGTTGGCTCGCATCCGGGATTGTGTTTGGCTTTGCTGCTCTGAAGCCCATCCTTATCTCAGAAGGTGTTTATCGAGAACAATGTACCGGTGAAGAGCTGAAACTGGATGTCGAAGTCTGCTTGGAACAAGACATCAGGTAGTATTCGTATATTTTCACCTTGTCTATCACTTTGGAATCGAGCTGACCATCCTAGACTGAACTTATTTTTCACCCTAGCTTCCATAACCACGAACATCTCCGCCTTACCGGTGGGAGCAATTCTCGACCGCTATGGCCCTCGAATCTGCGGAATCTTAGGTAGCATCTTCCTCGCTACCGGCAGCATCCTCATGTCTTATGCCTTTGCAATCCCTGAATTCGATGGCTACCTCATTGGTAATTTCTTCATCGCTTTGGGAGGAACTTTCACATTCGTCCCATCTTTCCAGATGGCCAATGCATTTCCGAAGTATTCAGGCACCATTGTAGCTCTCATCACAGGATCCTTCGACGCCTCAGCTGCCGTGTTCTTGTTTTATCGAATGGTATACGAAGCAACAAACCACGTTTTTACTCCAGACAGATTCTTCCTGTTCTATACACTTGTCCCTGTTCTGATTTTTATCTCCCAACTCGCTATACTCCCTTCTCAAAGCTACGACACTGTCCCGCTGTTAGACAAGAAGCTGGAAAGAGCGAAGGACCCAGCTCGGGATGTCCACACATCCGACGATGCGCTCTCCAGCGATAGTGAAGTTTCCCGCGTTCGACAACAACGCTCTATCCGCCGCAAGAAGAAGCTCCGCAAACTGAACAAACTTCTTGGGGACGAGAGTGACCGACAAGAAAGAGCCGAGCTCGAGCTCGAGCGGCAAACAAAAAGCGCAGTATGGGGTGCTCTTCACGGCCAGCCTGCCCGCAAACAAATGCTTACCCCCTGGTTTACACTCATCACACTCCTCACCGTCCTGCAAATGCTGAGGATGAATTACTTCATCGCTACCATCCGAAGCCAGTATGAGTACATGCTCAGGTCTGAAGCTCTGGCAGCGAGGATCAACCATCTGTTTGACGTCGCACTTCCAGTTGGTGGAGTCATATGTACGCCGTTCATTGGGCTGTTTCTGGATAATCTGAGCGTACCGATGGCGCTGGCTGTTATTGTGGCGCTCAGCACGTCCATTGGGATATTGAATTCTATACCGGTTGTTTGGGCAGCGTATTTGACAGTGTTTCTGTTCGTGTTATTAAGGCCGCTTTATTATTCTGCTATGTCGTAAGTCTTTCCCCCAGACACTAATCGAGAGGGTTAGACTTGGAGCTAATGAACCTTGGGTAGCGATTATGCAACGAAGGTGTTTGGTTTTAAAACTTTTGGCAAGGTTTATGGGGCTATTATCTGTCTCTCAGGCCTCGTCAATCTGAGTCAGTACGGCGTCGACGCGCTCACTCTCGAGGCATTCCATGGCAATCCTACGCCAGTGAATGTCGTTCTTGCTGCTGCTGGGTTTGGGGTTGGGGCGGTGCTGGTTGTGTTCGTTTGGTATCAAGGAAAAATCGTTGGTGTTGGAGAGCCCGGTGGATGTTTGGATCCTGAACGGCAACCGTTGATTCCCGTGGAGGAGAATCAATACAATTTTCACAGTTCTTCACCCTATCGACAAAATAGCAACGGTTCCCAGCTGCGTCACTGAATCACCAAAGCGGGAGGGGGAGGGGGGGGGGCCTTTAGAAAGGCAAATCTTTAATTTTGGAGAACTTGGCGATTGAAAAGTGAAGGGGAAAAGCAATCATCAAATAAATACTTGGTTGGGTAATGAGAAACAAAATTTCATGTTCCAAAAGGAACATTGTCAGGTGCTGTCAGGCCTCTGGATCACAATCGATAGTCCACCCTTGACACTTTCTTACTCCTACTTTGTTCGGCGCCTAGCCCAGGATTAAAGACGGACCTCATACCTTATCTTTTACAGATCAGTTTCTAAACCACCGTACTCATGGGCCTAAATCCAGCCACTAACGGAATCACCTGACCAGTCGAAGCAATATCAGATATCCCCGATACTCCATTCCACCTCAGAGAAAGTTCGACCGAAAGAACAGACCATACGCACATAACTAACCCAACAAGCGCGAAATTCATTGAAACATTCAATTGGTATATTGAAATGCACAAAGTTAGTTAGCAAAAGGTTACCTACCATTCACATTCCTCCTCTCTTCTCCGTTGAGCCCAATTGGCCCAGTTTAAGGAATTTTTGTGATTTTATTTATCAACGTTCTAAAGCATTCTTCTACAGACCAGTATATAGAAATGAACACCACCTACCAAAATGTAAAGAGTACCATGGGAGAAAAAACGGACAAAAACCACCACGCCTTGTTAAAGCCAGCAACGTAGGGAATCACCCCCTACACAGGGATGCTCGCAAACCAAACACTCGAAAAGGCCACGAACTGACTCGCAGGCTTCATGTTTGATGGTCCAACATGGGAGGAGAGAAAGAAACTGCCCCTTCCAGGAGTCGGAGCAGAATATACTTCGCCAAATATATTTACTCGCATCCAGGACCAAGCCGAGATGGCAATTAGAGGAATTAGAAGAGGCACAACTTTGAATTCCGACCAATCGACGTCCTTCGCGTCGAATGTTCCACTGGTAATTGGCTGATGGCCTAGATGTCGCCCACCCAGAGGATATTAAGAATGATAATCATATCAGCGTTGTAGGTGCAGCTGTCCTGGTAGATCAGGAGCAGAAGCGCGACGAGAGCAAATGCGAAGCCACCATAGGCAACGGCCATGGAGCGTCGCCCACCCGGGAGGAAGGGGTTTACAAGGAGGGACGCAACCCATTAGAGGTAGATACCGACTCGGATCCCCCAAGCCGTAGAAATTTGGGTTGCATGTAAAGCCTTGGTCCGAGGAGTGGGACTGATAATGCCACACACATCCCGAGAATAAAGATACCCAAGAAAGCGTTCGAGAGATCGTTTAAGGTGACGAAGAAAGTTCCGAGAGGCTTCGGTAATAGCTGTTGGATCGCTGCTCGCCATCGAGCTGGGGTCATTTTGGGTGATAATTAGGTTCGCCGTCAGGCAGTATCTGTAAAATTGTTTTGAGATGTTGCTAGGGCTGGGGGTTGGGCAAGAGTCTAGGTCCTCATCGTGGCACTGTGCAACCCACCCTCACGTGCTCAGCGAAGCCACACATGCGAGCCTTGTATAGAAACCAATCCTACCTAGTAAAAACGGCAAATCAGCAGGAAAATGGAAAAGGGGAAATGACAAAAACGTGGAAATATTTTGACACTCTCTTACCCCATTCCTTGCAAGCTCTTCCGTATCCATTTCTAACCTCGCTTAAACTCGCCCTCGGGTGCCCCTTTTGCCCCCCAACACTGGGCGAGGGGTCGTTCCTCTCTTGAATCTTGGGAGTTTTGGGGTCTCAATGCTCAAGTGCGGAATTATACTTTAGGATCCTTCTTGTCGCTCTTTGATATTTGAGCCTGTCTTGGAAATTTCAGAAATCGGCGAAGATTGACCTCGGGAGTGTGGTTTCGGTCTGTTCAACTCTATCGCGTGCGGAATCGATATCTCAGAATCACTAGAAGATTTCCTTTAAAACCTACCTTAAATGACACGTTTCTCTCGTTCCTGGATATTGGAGAGATGAAATGTTAGGCGGGAAGAACTGATTGCTTTTTAACGTCACGTGGCGCACGTCGTCCATTATACCCATCCACATCGGGCGTTGTGGCTGGCACAGCCTTGGTGCCACAACATCAAGAGATGCGGCTGATCATGGAAGCAGGAAATATGACTCACGCTCTGCTCTCCTGCAAGTTCTTCCACGCCCCTTGAGGTTATAAGTCCTGCCCTCACCTGAGCCACTTTCCTCATTGATGAGGATATAATGCTCCCATCATTTGCAAGGCTGTTTTACTCCTACCACTTGCTAGGCTACGCAGCCGCCAACCACTATTCACCTGAACTATGCGGCTCCTCAACGTGGACAAGTTCCTCAACGGAGAGGCCCTCCCTTTCGAAGTGTTCTGGGGGGGTAACCAACCCGACTACGCAATTCTGTCACACACATGGTTGGAGAAGGAGGCGGAGGAGCTGAGGTATCAAGATATCGAAAACAGAACGAGGAAGGGGACAAAAGGGTACCGCAAAATTAGAGACTGCTGCAGGAAAGCTAAGCAACATGGCCATGGATACGTCTGGGCAGACACCTGTTGTATTGATAAGGGAAACAACGTTGAGCTCTCAGAAGCCATCAGTTCCATGTTCAGCTGGTATAAGGGGGCAAAAATCTGCTATGCATATCTCGCTGACTACGATGTGGGTGATGCTCCCCCACTCAACACAGAGAAGAAAGAAGAGGAAGAAGAGGCAGTTGAAGAAGAAGTGTTTAAAAAAGAAGCGTTCAAAGTAAAAAAGTTCAAAGAAAGCAAATGGTTCAAGAGAGGATGGACCCTCCAGGAGCTGATAGCGCCTAAAGCTTTAGTGTTTTATAGTCACGATTGGAAATATATTCTCAGCAAAAGCGACAGAGACATGTGTGGCTTGATTTCCGAGATTACTGGCATAAGTACGGAAGTCTTGGCGGGCGAGCAGGATGCTCTGAAAAACAGTAGTGTTGCACAGAGAATGCCCTGGGCCTCGGGGCGGAAGACGACTCGACCCGAAGATATTGCCTAGTAAGTATATCGTACAGTTTCATTTACTCTTCGAATGCCGTTCGAGTTTGAGGAAAGACAGAGTCACTTTCATCGAACGAATTCCGCCACGTCGTTCCTCGCCATATCAAAGAACTCATGAAAAGATACTAATTCGGAGTTTATTTAGTTGTCTTCTCGGGATATTTGGTGTCCGCATGTCTTTATTCTACAGCGAGGGTGGCAAAGAAGCGTTTATACGGTTGCAGAAAACTATTATGAAACAATCCGACGATCATTCGCTGTTTGCATGGAGTCAAAACCAAGGGCCTTCGACGCCTTCGACGCACGGTCTACTGGCTTCCTCTCCCGCTTCGTTCGCCGGTTCTTCGTCATTGATTCGAATTCCATATTTTGAGCCTCAGTCGGCGTATAGGATGTCGAATCGTGGTTTGAAAATCCGACTTTCCTTAATCTGCACTTTGGATGGAAAGGATCATATGGTAACACTTGGTTGCGCCGACCGCAAAGAACACCTCCAGGGTGACGCCAAAAAACACCCAATCGGGATCTACGTTGCCCTCACGGACGATAACAGATTCGTCCGGACACGACTTGATCAGCTGGTCAAGACTCAACCACCTCTCAGTGATTACAAGCAACAAAACCTCGAAACTATCTATTTCCCCCAAGAGGAACCTTCAAAGAAGCCGACTGAAAAGATTTATAACTTCAGAGTTGTCGAGCCAAGGCTACCTGGCTGGTGGAGGATACTTGGAGGAGTGTTACTGTCATCACTAAGGGGTAGGAGGCTCATATCCCGAAGTAAAGCTATGTCTGTGGCCTTCTTCGCTGCTGGGTCCACCTGTCCCGGCCAGAGAGCGACTCCATTTGAGTTTGGTTTGGAGCGCGGGGGCAGGGCTGGAGTACTATTCAGACCGTCGAAGGGATATATTGGTAGCATGAGGACGGTCGTTGGGGCCGGACCCAAGATCTCGAAGATATTGGAATTCATAGCTGTCATTTTTGGTGTCAACCTTGACGGTTCCGTCTACGGAGACATTGTTGGCATAATGAAGGAAGAGCATGACGAGATTTGCAAGGAGAAACGAGAGAAAACATCACCTGGGGCAAAAATCGCCTCCCCGCGATCCAATGAGGTCGGGACTATCGAGTCAACGTTGAGCTGTGCTGAGAACTCAACCCGACGATCCCAGGATATCACGGCCGTTGAGTCGGCCATGATTGTTGCGGAGAAGGAATACCGAACATCTCAGGAGATCGTGACAATCCAGTCAGTTTCAAATGGAGCAGACATTACATTCAACCCCCACATGGAGATCAAGACTAGCATGCCAACATCAATCAGCGCAGAGAATGCATCCCAAAAGTCCAATGAAGCTACGACGCTCGAATCGCCAGCATGGTTTGAGAAGTACATTCAAGACTACTCGGCAAGTTCTTCTACAAAGAAAATCGAAAAGGAGTTCTGGGATTTAATTTTTTCTGTTGACATCCAAGGAGGGGAGGAGAACGCGGTTCAAGACGTGAATATTTTCTATCGGTCAAAGTAATTGTTAATTGGAAGCTTCAGTTGCAAAAAGTGGCTTTTGCCTCGCTGATAAATTTTGTCAAAACCGCCTGATCAATTTGGGGTGTTAGAAGTGCTTGCGAAACAAAAACCAGCACCTCCTAAGAAACAACCCCTTAATCACAATCCCCTAAGAAATACTAGTCAGCTCTGCAATCCCAATAAGAGTGGGAATCAACTGGCCCACAGCATTAAACTGCGAGAGCCCAGAGACACGACTAACCCTTATTAAATACGCTACAATAATAATAGAGAAAGCGATCAGCCCTCCTAATAAAACCAATCACTCAATCCGCACCCGAGGGCGTTGCCTCCTCGGCCTCGCCATCGCTGCATTAAGCTGATCCTGGAATTGCGAGGGAGAAGATTGCTTTCTCCCCCCGCATCTGATGCTAGGCCATACCAAAATGGTTGTTGGGGCGCCACACAAGTCCCGATACCAAGGAAAGCGTTCGAGAGATCGTTGAAGGGGCCGAAGGAAGTTCAGAGATGCTGGGCATTGGGCAAGACCGCGAGTTCTAATGAAGTCACTACACAGTCCCAGCCTTTCATGCTCAGCGACGCTGCAAAGCATTCTTTGAAACCAATATACCCAGTCACAACACAACAAATCAGCATACAAAGAGGTAAATAGGATATGACAGTACCGTGGAAATACTTTGACACTTTCAACTCTCATTACTTGGAAGCTCTTCCGTTCTGATTTTGGCTCTTGTGACTAGGTCTGAACTATACTTGACTGACCAGATATTTTCCTTAGAATTGCGCCCCAGAGCTTCTCTATTATACATTGGTAGATATTACTCCCGTCTGCGTTTTCCCATCATTACTCGCGGTGGATGATTGCAGATCGTCAAGCTGGACGACAGCGCCGTTCTCATCTTTCTTATTGTGCGGACATTCATCGTCATGACCTGCATATATCAATCAGCATCTGTCTCCAAAAGCACTGAACCGAAACTCACCTTCCGGGCCTCCGTTATCCTCCTCCATCGACTGAATAAGCGCATACTTCCCAATGCGATAAAATGTCGTTATGAACTGCGCCAATGCAATAAAGAACGGCATAAACTGTCCGGGTTGACTCAACGTATGGACGCCAGAGATATTGTTCCACTTCAGCGCCATCTCCACATAAACCACAATACCCAGCTCGAAAGCAATTTCGAAGGAGCCGGTGCCCATGTCTGGGTGTTCTCCTTCTTCACTCCTGTGATCTTCCCTTCGCCACCCTCGTGTCCATTGTGAGAAGTTCGAGTAGACGAGGGCAGGTAACACTTTTATCCATCAGTCTCTTGTCACTCGCAGCCTTTTTGGGAACAGTAAACTCACTGAGTAGATAAACCAACACACCGCCTCCTCCTCCTATCACCGCCAGAATGGTACCCGCCTGACTGAACTTCCGAAACCAATTCCAAATACTAACCCTCTTAAAGAAAAACGCATAATCGTCCCTACAACTCCGAGGCAACGTATCCATCCCATGAAACCAAAACCACGTCGTCAAACTAAGCAAGCAGACCACCTCGCCGAGATAAATCGCAACCGTCATCGGCTTCTTCCAAAACGGGACTCTACATGCTCCCAACTGCACAACCAGCAGACTTAAGATAGGGAAGACTTCCACTGCTTCGATTCTCTGCTGAAGGATAAGGCGGAGCAGGACCGTGCCAGTCGCTAGGATAAAGATAACGACTGCGTGTCCGATGCTGTCGTCTACTTCAAGGACATGGGACGCGAGTCCAGAGATCTGAGCGGTGAAGATTTGGAGATACAGGCCGATACGGATTCCCAGCCCGTAGAGATCGCCATTGCCTACGATGGGGCAGTTGTCACCGAGGGTTGTGCCTAAGGCGAAGGCGGCATCGACCGCTGTTGAGTTCGGCATAGCTGCGGGTTGTATACTTGGGTAGTTGAAGATATTCACGAAACCAAGCCCCGTAGATTCCGTTACGAACGGACAAGATAATTTTTAACGAAGAGGAAACCTCAGCCTTGATTATATGAGGTTTCGGTGAGTCGATGCAGTGGTGTCATGTGGCTGCCTTTTGGCGCCCTGATGGTGCAACTGCAGTGTGGCTATGCAAGCTTGGCCCCTGGATTGAACCACTCAAGGCCCGTCCCGCACCACTCAGCCTCCGCAGAAGCCCGGCTTTGGTGCAGAAAACCAATTTCCAGGGGTCGCAGAATGGTCCAGTCTAACTGGGAAAGAACGCCTGCATGAGGCTGTCACCAGGGCTGAAAGTGTGGTTCCACACTGCAACAAATATAACCCTCGAGGCTGCGGACTTCCGCCTGCGAACCCTCAAACTTCCTCCTTGTCCCCCGTACGAAAATGCTTATTTAACTCCTTCCACGAAACGAACAACTCCCCATCTCCATCAGCTTATCGAAACCATGTCGACAAACAGTACGTGTGGTCCCATTATGGGGACACCGGATATCTACGGCGTCGGCGTGCGCATAGGCCTGTATTCGCAATGGGTCGCAACACTCCTCGTAACCCTCTTCGCCCCAGAGGAAGAGGAAACCTTCCGCATTGTCAACCTCACGATCCAGACCTCCATCTTCCTCGGTATCGCCGTGCAATCCGCAACCGAAACAAACGTCGTGGAGCCCATCATCGTGCTCTTCCTGATGTGCGGCTCCTTGTCCAGCCTGACGGGGAACAGGATCACAAATTTCTCCCATGTGAGCGGGGTGTTCAGGGCGCTTTTTTATACGGCGCTGAGTGCGTATGGTGTTTGGTATTGGTTTGAAGGCGTGGACAGGATGATGGAAACGCAGAAGAAGGGCTGTAACGCAATTGCTTTTTTTGGGAGGACGAGAGTTGATGGGTGGTTCCGGAAGCTAGGGAAGGGAATCTCTGTCATCGGACTCGTGATTTCGATTTGTCTGATTGGGTTTTGTGCTGTTGCTTTGTGGAAGCGCTTTCAGGAACGCCTTGATGCTGCGATGCGGAGGCCTAGGAGGCAGCGTCCGCAAGTCGAGATCGCGTTCTTGGTGTTGTCGGGGGGACTCATTGCATTCTCAATTTGCATCGTGGAGTATTTGATTCGGGTTAATGATGTGGATGGCTTGCAAGGGTTCGACGCTGTTGGGCAGTTGATTCCGTTTCTGATTGGAATCTTGGAGCTGACGAGTATTGGGTGGAAGATTTTGATCAAGGGTTTGTTTATGAGGAAAAGGTGTTGGTTTTTGCTTGGGAAGCACTTATGATATACGTAAGTATTCTAAAAATGGTTCGGCGTTTAGGTAGTTAGAATGCGACAGGAAACCAAAGCTTTCTCTGGACCAGGATTCTATTTAGCCCTTTCGACGATAGCAAAGGCACATTTGGCATACCAATCTCTCATCCACCAATTTTTGCTCAATTTTCAAGGAAAAGATCAAACCTCAGATCTCCTTCTCAACATTCTTTGTTGAGGGGCCTTCCAAGCGCTGCAAAACATACCTCTCAAACCATTTGCTTGCCTCGGCCTTACTAACCTGTTGGGATGCAGAGTCTTTCTCATCCAAGCATCTTAATTCCCGCCTCACTTTGTCGACGATCTCTGAAGAAGCCCCTGGTGCTATTTTAATAATATCTCCGTAAATAGATCCGTTAAGGTTGACGCCAAAAACAACCGCTATATATTGCACAGCACCGCCCCATAACAAAACCAAAGAACTTTTGGATGCTGGCCATGGAGACAACAACACTGCAGCCCTCCCTCCCGCCATCAGCGTATAATCAAGCGTAGCCTGCTGCGAGGTGCCTCTAGATGTAGACGCCGCAAGAATTAACCCCACAGCTGAAGAATTCCAAAGCGACCGAAAACTACTTGACAACATTGTAATGGCTACAACTCCCACTTTTGCAGAGGTGAGTCCATCAACTGCCTCATAGATTGCGCTGTTAATCTTATACTTCCAATTTGGTGGGTCGGCCTCGGCAAACTGGAAAATATATGCCTGCTGACGCGGTTTCTCTGGAAGATACAGTTGAGGGACGTAAATAGCTTCCAGGGCAGGTAGTCTGTAATTCTCATCATGTAACGATCCTATTCTGGCCAACTTGTCAAGACACGTACTAATACATCTGCCGTCAGGCGTAACGGCGATATATATCCCGACCAAAGTGCTACTCTCGTCCTGGTCTCGGCAGCCCAGCAAAGTGATAAGGTCTCCTCCTTGCAAGGTGGAAGTCAGGCGTAGTTGGATTTCTAGACCGCGATTTGGCATCCTGTAGGCTGTTCTTGAACTTAGGTCATGGCTTCGAATCAAAGTTGAACTTTCTGTAAACAAGGAGGGAGATGTGGCAAGTAGACCATGTCCGGGAAAACCCTGATGTTGCTTCCATGCGAATAATGTGTGATCGTCGGATTGCTCCATAATGGCTTTCTGCAACCGCAAAAAAGCTTCCACGCCTCCTTCGCCGTACATCATAGGCATGGTGACGTTGAAGATTCCAAGAAGGCAGCTAGGCAGAGCGAGTTAGCTGTGATTCGTGATAACACCAACAATGCCGAGATATCCCTAGGAACATATTGACAAAAATGCGTATAAATCTGCTGGCATCCGCCGAAAAATTGCAGAGACTGATGATTCAATTGGGACTATACGTACTACGCAATATCTTCAGCCCGGGTCGTCGTGCGCATGGAAGCCGAAGATATTCTTTGAGCAACACTGCTGTGCTCTAAGTCCTGCCCTGCCAAAAGCTCCGTACTGAAGCGTGTGATACTTGAAATTAGGTTCCCCAACTCAGTTTTGCTTCCAATACTGACCCATTCCCGGCTATAGAAGAGGACCTTGACTGGAGCGATCAATTCTTGAAGTGTCCAGCCTCGCGTGAACCACTTGCTGGCTTTGAACGCCTCAACATCTGGCGCTCGGCCACCTACCGCATAGTCGAACAAATACGCATAACAGATCGTTGACCGCTCGTACAAGATAAACATTGAATGGATAGCTTCTTGGAGTTCAACACTGTTGGTCTTATCGATACAGCAAGTATCAATCCAAACGTAGCGCAAGCCGTCGCGCACAACCCGATCACCATAGGCTTTTATCTTCTGGTATCATGGATCAATTTTCTCTTTCTTGAGTACCGTATGGGGTTAGTAAGCTTGCTGCTCTTGCTCAGGAGTTAATCGCCCTCGGCTCAGTCAACTCGCCTGAGTAACCTGAGCGCCCTGAGCAACCCACCTGAGCTTCCACTGAGCCGCGTGCTGATTCTGGTGTAGAAGAGAAGCGCAACATCGCTGGATTCTACACAGCTTTAAATTTCACCATCAACGCTCTGAAGAATAGCCCTGGTGCTGAGCTTGGAACTGGTGAGGGCGGATATTAAGGTGTTGTCTGGTGGTGCTGTCACAAAGCGTGGGGAGGATGTTGCGACCGTTACTTTGATTAAGATTCGATCGTTGGGCAACCAGTCTGGTACAGAAGCTGCCGCCTGAACATCGATTTCGGACTGATTTGATGTAGCTACTGCGAAGCTTAGACAGGCAAGAGATATTATGGTAAGGGATATTGACACTGATTCGGATGAAATGACTTTGAATTTGAATGGTGATGTTGAATTGACAATTGCTGCAGTCAAGGCTTGAGAATTTTTGAATGCACTTGGTAGTTTGGAGTTTACAATAGATTTGTAAATAAATTGTCAAAGGCACCTGAACACAATGTCCTCCTTTGTAAATTTCAGGAAAGTATTCGGTGGCGTGTCACCATTTCAGCCTTTGGTTGCTCGGTATCGATACTCATCCAAAGCCGAACTTGGTTAGCCCCACCTCATTCCTGCGTGTTTTTCATTCTTACAAATGACTTATGCCACCACCGCTCCCGTTCAATATCTGATACATCATTCATTCTTCCATCGAAAGAAGTAACCAATCATGAGGCTATTCAAAACTGCGATAATCCAACAAGAAAAACCGAACGCTCCTTGGAAATCCTTCCGGTAAAAATTCCACAATGCCGCCGCAGCCCCACTCAACAACAGCACAAAGAAATTCATCCAAGCAATTGCACCATAATTAGGGCCCTCATCAATATGTACTCCCCAGCCATAAGTAACCGCTGGCGCATTGTGCGTAATACTCGTATCGAGTTTCTTGGGAAGTCTTCCCAACCACGCATCCTTGCTTGAGGGATTTGGACAGTTCATGTAATGCAGGAAGATGTGATCTGGGATTGGTATACCTCCAACGAGAGGACACGGATCATACGTATAACGTTTTGCATCGACTTCGATCTTCGGGGGTAAGGCAAGAGGTTTTTCGAGAATTCCCACTCGGTGACAGTTTTCGACGGAGATCTAGTGGAGGTGAGTAAATCACTGTGCTTGTGCGGCTGTCGGAAGAATCTCACATGGACATAGTTGACTGCAGATGGCTTGAGGAGCCAAAACCTCGCTCGAAAGCCACGCAACTCCAAGTACTTCTTTTTAATGCTTTGGAACAATTCTTGGTCATTGCTGATATTGCCAGTTGGGATTTCTCCGAGCACCTTCAGATACTCGCCGATGTTAACGCAAAGTTCCAAAAATTGAGGGCTCTTTGGCGGAGTTGAATTCAAAGGAGTCTGGAGGAGTCCGTGGCTAATGTGGTTGACATTACTTTGATTTAGGAGGGACCTTGTAGGTGAATGTTGTGAGTTATGAGCCCTCGGGATGCTGAAAGAGCTATGATGAATAGGCTGCATGGGAGTGAGAGATTGTGCCTGAAAGTTCGGATTGGAAGATGGGGTTGCGGTAGTGGGGCGTCTTAAAATCGCAGATAACTTGGCAAGTGTTGGTCCGCCGTCGTCTTTAAGATCTGCGTATAAACTATTTCCACATCCCTAGCGGAAAATTGAGGTTCAGTACGCTTCAAGTAAGAGTCTCTAGTATGACTTACACAAACCCAGTCCAGTCGTCTATGACCTGGTCGAAGTAGTGGACGCCATCGCCGCTTCAGCAGGCCCCACATCTTTTGACTAGTGCTGGATGAAGATCGGTGTTGGATCAACTGACCATCGGTGATTGTTTTCGCAGGATCTTGCAGTGTACTCCCTCGAAAACTACAGTTTTCGTCCTCAATCCGAGAGAAATTATCAATGGCTAGGGCCGGTCGGTGTATATTGAGGTTGTGTGCTCCCATAGAGGAGCTGCAAGCCTGTAGATTCGTTTGCAATACCCACGCTCTTTCCTCATTGACGTCGTCTACAAATGCCGGTTCGACTTTGCCATTGCCCGCTGTGCTCAAAGTAGGAGTACCGAGCACATTCATATCATGTAATTCATTTGCGGTCTCTTGTTCTAAACTGAAATGGTGTGAGGTTATTAAAACAGGCAACTCTGAGGGCTGCGGATGATATTTGGGGTCGGGTCCAGCATGGAAGATAAATCTATGTCCATTTCGAGTTACCGGTTAGTATTTTACCAATGTTTCGACCTTCCTCAAAGATAGTTTACAGAGTGACTTACGGGTTTCTCAATTGTTTCGATGAAGAATAATGGTCATTCGAGTTCGAATGACCGATTTCCTGAAGTTGTCTCTCGACTTGGTGTTCGATATCAAAATCTTTCATGGTTACGTCTATATCCACTGAAGAATCGGAGGGACGAAGGAAAGTGATGGGTTGCCTGAAAAGAGACTCCGCCCCAAATGTGTCACCTTCTACGCCACCTTCTCCATCCGCATCTAAAGTGAAATGGTTCTTCTCGTCGTTGGACTCATCTAACTTCGGCCATTTGACTTGATGTGACATCTCTTCCTCGTTTTCTGGAGATTTCCGCTTTGTCGAAGATCTCCTATCTGCTGTTGCCGGGTGCCACTGTATGTCCTCCATGCATGTTTGCAAAGTGGGTATGACTGGCTTGCTACCGTCCGACGTGGGAATCAAGAAGTCTTCCAAATTCGATTTCAAATTTGAAAATGCAGCGGAAGAAGTGATGAAGCCTCGAACTTTCCGTAAGTTGCGCAAATCTGGCTCATCTGGATCGTTATAGTCGCTGCCCATTGATAACTTGTCGTCCTCTTCATCGTCTTCGTTCATCTGGATGTCTTGCCTTTCGGTTGATTTTTGCTGATAATTTTCGATGAACATCTCAAGTTTCATCTTGTCTTCAACTTTCTGAAATTTGAGCCTGTTCATTGCTGACACCTTTTCATGTCCGCGACTCGTGAACTCATCTCTGATCAGACTCGTAGCGTAAGCACGATAATTGTAGATTATTCGAACAGCACCCTTTTCGAGTGGTGTCTTTGCTTCTCCACGGAGATCTATGGCGCATGTCTTCAGCAGTCTAATAAAGACTTTGTCAAAGCGCCTTGGGTCCATTTCTTCGGTAGCTTGTAGTATCAAAGGTCGAAGCTCGGGGTGATTAGCCAGAATTTCAGCCAGCTCTTGAGGTGCACCCTTGACTTCGGTTTCACCAAGACCCGACAATGTTGTTCCTGAAAATCCGCTATCGTGAGATGTGTCTGAAAGAGACTTCCGGGGTTCTCCTTCGGCTTGGCCTGCTCCAAGTGGCTGGCTGTCATTTACGCCATTCCGAGTATTCCGAGAGACTGGTTGTGATTCTTTGGAAGTAGAGGCATTTGAGTTTGGCATGGATTTTGCGCTCTTGTATCCGCTATCCTTTGAGAAGACGGTGAAATTGTCGAGCAAATGCTCGTGAGATTCTGCTGCAGCCTCATCATTCACATCTACAGACATGTGTACCCCATCCCATGGAGTTCTCATATACTGTCTCAGAGGAGGTAGGGAGATTTGATCAGGTCTTGTGTTGAGAAATTTCGGGGGGTCATTGTTGCTCGTAGATGCACTCAACTCTCCAGAAATTTCATTCATTTCGGCAGGCATCCTTGCTTCCCATCGATTATCCGGAGGCCACTGGGCAGGCAAATGTGTGGTCGAATAAGTCGAATAACCAATAGGTGTCTTTATGGTGTTTTGGGTATTGTGATTGTTGTTCGCAGTTGCAGGAGAGACTGTATAGACATCCTGCGATCTACGCTGGACAACGAGGCGCCTTCTCCTATTCATGCTCCCATTCCACCAGTTCTTGACAGCAATATCACTTCGTCCGTTAAGCCTCCTAGAAATCTCGGCCCAGCGTTTACCCATTTCTCCTACCATCCTTTCAATTTGGAGTCCTTCTTCCGGGCTGATTGGCTCATGGTTCAGGGATGGCTTGAGATTCTGGTGATACCGTTCCCGGCATTGCTTTGGCGATCTGCTTCCAAGGAGTTGTGCGATTCGAACCCAATTCATCGCTCCCTGAGTATGAACGAGCTGTGCCAAATAGGCATCCTCGGCTTGCGACCACGGCCCTCTTCGGTGAGATGACATGTCTTATTGAAAGTACCTTTCCTCAGGCCTCTAATGTACAAATCGTGTTTGAGTTTGAATCCTGTAAGAATAACTGAGACCAATGGCTGATATCTCAATGCTCATTGTTGTGTGTGCGTAGGATTCAAGGATACTTGTAATGATATCTCCTCGCGGCTCAATGTGAAATCGAAATCAGGACGCCGAAAGATGGATAAGGCTGCTCCAGTGTGCCTTGCCAAGCTAGCGTTCTGCACTGCCCCATTGCTCCGCGGCTATTCAGAGACATAGCCAACCACTTTCTCTGATCCGCCAATCTCTTCTCGATGCCCATAATTCTGCGGAAGCCACACCAGTCCGGAATCCGCGGATGTCATGGATAATGAACGAACCTTGAAACTTTCTCCACAGACTCGCTACCTGAGAAGAAGAAAACACCCAGGGGACGTACGGATGGAAGTTGTCTAAAGGAGGGTTTACTGAAACGGAGAGATGATAATTTCGTCGGTGACATCTTCAACATCCGTTAATTCAAAATTATCGTGAAGTTCTTTCTCGATACTATTATGTGTCCGCAAGATGGGAAACGTTTTACTGATCGAGTATCTGCGCCAGCATGGGCGCTTATAGCAACAGAACTCTAGTGCGTTAGGATAAATATACTTCAGCTCCGAGATCATGTTACCTTCTCTTGCGTTTGGTTGGGGACGTCATGAGATTTAGGAATAGTTAATAGCCTTGGGCATTAAGTCATCGGCCATTATGGCCTGAGTGCCTGAGGTAATGACTTAAAGCCTGATTAAAGCCTGATTCAGGCTGACTCAGGGCGTGCGCAGTCTCTGCCCAGGCTCTGCCCAGGCTCTGCTCAGTGTACCCGTTCGTACCTTCCACTAGTTGCCACTAGTGGTTCGTGAAAGCGACCTGGCCGGAGGTACTTCTAGCCAGCTGGTCTGTGCGGTTTGTTCTACAAATTTAGCGAGGACCACTGATTTTGGGGGATGGCCAGGTCGCTAGTATGGCCAGGTCGCTTTCACGAACCACCAGTGGTAACTAGTGGAAGGTACGGACGGGTAACGGCGGAGCAGAGCAATGGAACGAGCGCAAAGATCTCTATTTCCTGTCTTGTAGAATACAAAGCTAAGGAGAAGAAGAGAGAGAGAGAGTAAAAGAGAGAAGAAGTACTAGCTAAAACGACTGAAACGTTGGCCTGACGGGTGAAACCTGTCAGGTGACAGCCTACCCCACATAATGCCAGCTAGCGCCATTATACTCAGGCATGCTCAGGCTCGGCTTAAGGTATACTCACCCTCAGCACAGGTTAAAGCAGCAGTTGCTCACGTCGCAGACTAAAACGGAGCTAGCAACAAGGAAAATTAATCCTGAGTCTATGGGTACCCAAGCTTGCGTTTTCCAGCTCTATCTCTACTTCTGAAATCCTGGAATGTTACTTCTTCGTTCTCGCTGCCCCAAGTGTGGGAGAGAATAGCATACGGCGGCGGGTCACCGTAGAAGACTTCGAATTGAAGAGGCCGGGTGGCTGCATTGAGGAGCCGCATGGTGTATGATAGGCGACACAGAGCCCGATGAGAGAAGCGAGCTATAGTGAGCTATTCTCCGCCCCTGAGAATATAGCCTGTGTCCAGAAACTTTCAAGAAGTTGTTGATGGAGAGCGAGAATTGGCCATGATAATGGAAAATTCAGTCATCAGCCGCACAGCTTGATGATTGTCAGGTCATTTGGCATCTGCATGGCCAAAACACCAGGCGCGTGACCTTGGCTGAACACTCGTGGTGTAGTTTTTCTTTTCCTTCATTTTTACCACTCCCCTGGACTAGGAATAGGCGTTAGTGAAAACAAAAAGCTATAATTACATTGCAGTATTTGACATACCTTTGCAAGAAATCATCGGAAAACTTGTACAGACTTATGAGGTTTGCTTAGATCCGCTTCCCCTATTTACGCGACATGGGCGAAGCTAAGACTAGCTTCACGCGAGATCATTAACTTTAACGAGTGGCCCGAAGGGACTCTCCCCCAAGCCCGAGATCCCAAATATGTTGCCACTATACTATGCCCAGATATGGAGACCAGACTCTAAGGAGGATGCTCTAGTCTCTGCCCAAGTTACTGCAAATGCCGTCGGGGTAGTCCAGACACGAGCCTTCGCTATTCGGAATGATGTGCACAGCCTTCCTGAACTTCGAGCTCCCCACCGGCAGTGAACAAATTCCTGGCCGAAATCATAGCAAGGCAAGTATTCCTTGATTCGCGAAGGTTTCCCAGATGAAGGGAATGCCATCATTTCCACGCTATGTGGCGATTCAATCCTTTGACTCGATACGCTGCTTTCTGTTGGACTTTCAAGCACATCAAGGTCACCAAATGGCGAATCGTTCTATCCTCTACAGAGATCATTCGTCAACCATGCACATTACCCCAAGAAAGTCATCAGTACCACACTTTATGTTTTGCTCTCCGTGCCACGTTGGGATGTCCAAGGAGACTAGAGAGAGCCCTACTTGATTTTAGGAGCTAGTTCTACTGAGATTGGCGTGTGCTATTGTTTAAGTAGACTGATTCCGTGAAGTGGAAGCGACTCGCATATATGGTTTAAAAATATGGATGCAAAAGTAACATGCGGGTTGCTATAAAGAAATACCTGAGCGGGGGAAAGTAACACCCGATTTCCCCCAATTCTAACTATATGGTCACTACTTGTGAACTCGCAGATATCTCGGACCCTCAATGCACCAGTTCTACCGGACCACGACATAACTGAGCTCTTGTCGCCAACTCAAGTTACCCGGACTTTGGCTTCAACGCCTTCATGTACGCCTCATAGAACTCCGTATTTGTACCCATCACATATGCAGTCATATAATTCCTACTATCAGCATGCCCGTGCTGTCCGCCTGCTCCGCACACGCCAACTTTGACTTGCCCGCAAATGCAAGCACCCGGCATTTGCTGCACCAATGACAATTGCCCTGGCTATTCAGAGGAACCGTTTCATTCATAGCAAGACAGAAGTTGCGGCTGAGAGCATGGTTAGCAGTCCCCAAGCGGGACACTCTTCCAGCGCAGCATTCCCCGCGAAAGTCATCCCCTGACATTTACCACAGAACTACCAATTGTCCTGAAGACCAGGGCCAAGGACTTCAGAATTCATGTACAGTGCTCCAAATACACCTGGACCGAACAGCGCAATCGATGTGCTGATCGTGACGTAATTCTTGCCCCAGCCTCCGTTCTTCTCAACCCAGCGGTACCCAGACGTGTCAGTCATCCTGTCCCATCCAAGCGGAGTTGTCGCCATATCGTTTAGTTGCTTGGGGCCCTGCTATTGGAGGCTTTGCGTCGACGCCGTTTACACCAACGGGCTCGAAGACATTTCTTCTCGACAATTGTAATGTAAGCAGTAGCCAGACTTGCTGCACGGTTTGTAGGGTCGTCAACGAACCCATCGATGATAGACAAGAGCATACGAAAGATCGAGACGTTATAGTTGCCGTAGCAGTAAGATCTGTTGTTGGCATTAGTGGGATGTGGCGGGTTAATGACACTCGGATCCCTGCACATCGTATTCTTGGTGGGACCGGCTTTCTGTGTGAAGAAATTCTTGAGCGTGGCATCTCCTGACTGTTGTCCGCCGTTCTTGGCCTGGAGTCTGGGTTCTAAATCCCGGGGGTCTAGTCTTGACAGAAATGGATGCGCTGAAAGGATGATTATTCCACTCCTGAAATACTGCCAGAGTGATGATTAAATTGTGCTGTCTGACCGAGCTTGCGTTAGCTCAGCCGTGCCTCAAAGCAGAAAAGATTGGACTCCTTCCAATACCCGGTATTCAGTGGTTTGCCTTATTTCAAGACTGTTTAATTGATGTAGCCCAAAAAGTGGCCTGAGTGCGTCTTTAATCATCAAGGAATTCAATTTCTATTCATCTTACCTCTCCTCCACAGCCCCAGGCGCATTTCTTCCTAGCAGAAAGCAATCAATCCTTGTACAAATGGGCTCTCAACCCTGGAATCTTCACCCCCACAATTTCTCCTCTCCCACCAGCCTGGAAATTAACTTCATCACATGGGAGTCCAGCATATCTCAATTGATCAACCGCTTCCCAAGTCATACACGCGGTACTTGTGACCGCCTCCCCACTTTCTCTCCCATCCTCTTCAAACACAGTCCTCCACCTCTCTCCTTCACTAACAGGATATACCCTAGCGTCCAACATAGTCCCGTTCCCATCAAACAAAATACTGTCAAAAGCGAACAGCATGTCTTTCCCAAGATTCGTCCACTTGGGAATCTTCATCCCTGGTCCAGAATCAATGGTTACCTCCAGCGACGAGTTTCCAGAGACATAGCGCCCACCATACTTGGCCAACGCTTGCTTCCTCGCTAGTTAATCAAGCCTTGGTACAAGTTCCGCCTCTACAGCATTGAAAAGTTCGATGCTGGCCGTATACGCATCCTCACCCGCAACCGCGATCGCCACTCCCACCTCGTATTCGGGGACCACAATAATGAGCGCGGAGTATCCAGGGACGTTGCCTTGTTTTGTGTAGTGGTCGATATAACGCGGTGTTGGTGTAAGGGAGGATGGGCGGTAGATCTCCCAGGGTGCGCCGACGGCGTTCGTTGAGGAGGTGAAGGCGTGGGGCTTGAGCCAGGCGCGGGTCTGGGGTGGTGTGAGGAGAGTAGAATTTAAGATGGCACGGAGGAAGATAGAAAGGTCGTGGGTTGTGGAGTAGAGACCTGCGGTACTAGTTGATGTCAGTACAGGTAATTTAGGGAGGAGGGGGAGGGTGAGGGTGAGGGTGACATACGCTTTGTAATAGTCAAATCCGTTGGTAAACCATTGTAAGCCTACAGGCACAATTGCTTTGGACAAGGATGGAAGATCAAAACCAGTATTTTGAAGCTTCAGTGGACTTGTGATCTTGTTGGAGACGAGTTGGGTGTAAGGGATGCCGGTGGTATTCTCAAGTGCGTACCCTAGGAGAATGTATGCGATGTCTGAGTACGCTGCTCGGTCTCCTGGCTGCCAACTAAGGTCATCTTGGAGAAGAAGGTTGAAGAACTCTACAGATAGTCAGCGACCAACCACAAAGGGCTAGGACACAAAATCTACTATTGCGAGTACAGGTCGGCTGCCCGGCAGCCCCGGTGCCACAATCTGGAATCTCACCAGGTTTCGGTGCTGGAAAACCGAGCGAGTCCAAGTTACTTGCTCGGGTCAAAAGATCGAAGGCATTAACTGCACATTCAAGTTAGCCCGAAGGTAGTGGGGTAACAGGGAATCCCTATCATACCATCCCGCGGAGTACCAGATATCTGACTCGTGAGCATTCCGATACTAACCTCAGCCCATTTCGGATCATTCAACTCAGGAATGAACTCGGAGACCAAGTCTTCCATCTTTACATTATTCTCGAGGAGAACGGCGAGGACCGTGAATACGTTTGTCACGCTTGCAACACGAAATATCGTGTTATTATCAACTACTCCCACTCCTGATTCGTTGCGAACTGGAGCCGTATAGTTGTAGGTGAAAAAGGTAGAATTGGCTGAAGTGATTTCGGTGGAGATTGAAGTAGTTGAGCTGTTCCACTTCGAGGTGTTGTTTCCGGATGAAAGGCCATCGAGAATGTTTGCGAGGGTTGAGAGATCCAATGATTGGAGGTTTGAAGGAGGTGGGAGAACGGGTCCTGTTGGTGGGCACCTGGCGAGCGCGAGTGAGGGGACGGCCAAGATGAAAGAGATATGTGCAGTCTTCATTGTTATTGAATAAGTCTTTTGCTTAAATGGGAATATATTGAATTTTCTGGACCTCTCCAAGGACACAGTTCAGCTGTTTTATCTCCACGAACGAGTTCCACCCGGCCGTACTGTTAGGACGATATTGGTGCCAAACTGCTTGTTACGGACGTACAAGCCTTTACAACCAGGGACGCGTGGTAAAGTGACGCATGTCTGCAATTAATCACGATGTCAGCAGCGAGGCTGAGTCTTACTTCGAGTAGTACAGAACAGCAACCTTCCAATATGCCTAGGAAAGTACGAAAGCCACACCGCAAGTGTCAAATTCAAATAAATCCATTTCTAGCCGCCGCACCGTCGGATAAACATTATCTCCTTTCCGGGGTTTTAAGTGTGTGCCAGGGGTGTATTTTTCGAAGCTTTACTTCTTCGTTTCGTCGGTCTGGATTTGCCCGACGACAACGTTGCTTACCCGAACATACAAAATGCTTGGGGACAACCCGAAGCATCACCCCTGCAACAGCTGTGCGAGGAATAGTACTCGGTAAGTTAGCTTCAACTCTTCGCCACAGAAGCCAGAAATGTTATTATGAGGCAAGTAAGACTCGCTTAGCATTCAAGGGGCAAAAAGCCCTCCCTAAGCCGTAATTTAAGCGAGATTGGAAAGGGGCAGGGTGCATGAGAAGTTTCGCAAGAGTCACCCTCACGTGGTTCGTGCCTCAACTCAAGTTTACTTGCGACCTCCCTTTCTCGGTCGCATCGTTCCGCACTTCCCCATCGAGTAATGTGGAACAAGAAGATAAAACGATTTCCTGCCCGCGGTCGAACGGGGACTTGGCAGCAAGGTCAGCAATGTACCCTTCGACCATCAACCTCCGGTTTTTGTATCGTGTGCTTTAGGTGGGCGGTAGCTTTCTCAACCCTGCCCCAAAATTCCTGTGGTAAGACTCAGTTGGCAAGAGGCGCAGCCTTGTAGACAAGAGGCACAGTCAAAATGCTGTAATGGCTGCATGAAAATGAACAAAGATGGCAATGCAAAGGCCCTCGAAGATATGATATAGAGACTAGATTCTACTTTGAAATTTCTGATACCATTTTCCAAGCGTTTGCTCCTCAGCGAACTACCTTCCTCTCTCTGTTACTAGAGCTTCTCCCGACTCTTCTTTCAAAATCTATTCGTCAAAGTACCCTTCTCTTCCGCCACCTTATATCCATCTTCTAACTTCAGGCAATCATCCAACATGAAGCTCCCGACACTCTTAGCCCCCGTTATCACCTTTACGGCCCCAGCACTAGCCTGCCTCTGCGTCTATGGTAGCATTGCTAGCGACACCGCCCTCGCGCCCCTCGTTATGGGGGGTCTCCGCCGCCCTCGAAAACGGCCAAATAGTCTGCAGCAGCGACATAGGCTCACGCTTTGATCAAAACAATCACTTCTCCATGGGCTGTCACCTCCCTGGTTACGTCTATGCCTTCGCCAAGGATGGGAAAATCGCGTGGTTTGCAAACCCATCGCAGGCGCTCTCATGGGTTCAGCCAAATTACCCGGATACCTACGAATGCTATAGCGCGTGCGGCGATCAGAGGGGTCTGTTCCTCAAATGTATGGATTATAGTTGGGATGTTTGGGAATTTTGCTAGGGGGAGGATTGGTGGCGCTTTGGAAACGTCTACTCGTTCGGCCGGGCTCACCTGGTTCTCGCTTAGCACGCTTACCAGGTGAGGGAGGGCAATATGCAAAGACCACCAATACGCAAATTTTTTGCTATGTATATAGAACTATGGAGTTTTAGTCCACTATAACCCCTATTTTCCCTATAAATCGTAATTAGTAGCCTTCATTTTCCAATTAATTACGTCCCAGTAATTAGCTTCAAACCTTCGTATCATTTTTTTGTACTTATTTCTCCAAGGCTTACTTAGCCTAGTATGCCTTATATTAATTACCCGAGCTTCATCCTTATTATCTGCGTTAATATCCTTTCTCTCTTGCTCCATAGTAATCTCCCCATATTTCTGAATAATCCTACTAGCTTCTTCTTTTCTAGCTAAACGCTCCTTCTCCGCAAGGCCCAGATCTAGTACCCTTTGTCTAGCAAGGGTACCAGATAAAATTGACCTCTCTAATACCGCCTCTATCTTCTCTTATATATATAAAACCGAAGGAGTAATAGGAATACCGTCCATTAATTGCATTATACGACTTTTAATATAGTTAATGCCTCGTTTTCGCGTATATAGTATTAATAGCATAGGCCAATCTGCCTAGTCTTTGTGGGTGGGAGTACGGGATGGCAGGGTAGCAAAACCAGGAGAAGAAGGTAAAATTAGTAAAGAGTATTGCGGAGAAGTTGGAGTTCGCAGATACTTTAAAAGCTTTTTATACTTCTTTATTTTCTGTAGAACTCTAAGCGGATTAAGAGGTATTAATCCAGTTTTCTTAAAGGAAGAGATTATAATATACCGGCTCTTGAAAACTCTATCCCAAAACCTCTGGAAAATCACAAAGAAGTCTGTCTTATTAAACTCCTCTGTACTATTAAAAATCTTTCGACGAAGCTCTTTTTAAAACTAGTATTTTAAAGATTAGAAGACGATAATATTAAGTAGTTAAAGAAGGTAAGTTATATATATAGGTAATCTGAAAGGTCGAATACGATTCTCCTAGTAAAGGTATAAAAATTCGTTAGATAAATGAGAACTATACCTATTCTAAAAGGTCGAATACGATTCTCCTAGTAAAGGTATAAAAATTCGTTAGATAAATAAGAACCATACCTATTAAAAATCAAGATCCTATAGGCACCCGTTTGTAAAGGAGGATAGTACTTAATAAAGTACTTGAGATATTATAAACCCAGGTAATTATTTATAAAACTAGTAGGAGAGTATATAAATTCGATACCGCTATTAAGTATCCGTAGGAAATATCCGCAAAGATAGTATGCTTTCTTAAAAATAATATATATAGGAACCTTCCTTCTACTATAATTAATTATAGCTATGACTATAACTAATTCTCGATTATCTGGATTAGTATTATATACTATTTCGTAATCTAGTAGTACGTATATAATATCTCCCGTTACTACTCTAATTTGGAAGCCACTCTCGTTAAAATTAGATATATTCTTCGTATAAATACTCTATTTTCTCCTATACTTATCAAAATTAGTAAAATACTCCTTAATATCCTCTATAATATATATATTCAGGCGCTTTGCAGATATTGGTTTCTCTCGAATTTGCTTTAGGAACTCGTAGTTACAGGCAATCTAAGCTTTTGTCTATCTGCGAGATACGGAGGAATTAATATTACTAGTATTATAATAAACTAGCCTGGAGGCACTTATCTGAATTATTTCCAGGTTAGGACTCCGCCCAGACGTATAGAGTATCAAGAGATAATCTCTTAAAGACTTATCTTGTAGTACTGAGAGTTTTTTATTATATCCACTTCGAGAGTTACTTGCAGGACGACCCCTCCGCCGGGCCATTAATCGATCGTATAGGACTACAAACTGGACTGTAGCCTTCGTTCCTCTTAGCCTAGGATCTTGATCCATAGCCTTAGAGGCCCTAGTAATTCGCTCTTTAATAGCTTCTGATTTGGGTGGTATTTTGGTGGGTTGGAAAATCGATGGTGGGGTAGCGGGAAAAAAATTTGCGTATTGGTGGTCTTTGCGTATTGCCCTCCCTCACCTGGTAAGCGTGCTAAGCGAGAACCAGGTGAGCCCGGCCGAACGAGTAAGGGGACGGCCAGACAGATGAAGGAGATATGGGTGTGGAATAGTTGGCACTTAGTCTTTTGGGACTCGATGTTGGGAAGAGCAGGGGATCTATTTCATGACAAGTCACGCGTGATTCAATTTGAGGCGTTGTTCTTTAATACCACTTTGAAATTACTGATCACCTCCTGCTGCTCAAAGTACTCAATGTTTAAACTAGCTGATAAGTCTCCTCAAAACTCCACGATCTTGACGCTCTTCTGTATCCACAAGCCACATTTCAGACCCTCAGTTCTTTCTTCAATCGCCGTAAATTCTTCTGCTCCCGTTTCGACATCTCTCTACGGCCTCACTTTTCTTCCTTAAAGATCGCAGCTCGTTCTTTCTTCTCGGGTTTCGCCCTTAGATACTTAAGCTATAACTTAACTCGCTCGGATTCAGCCATGGCGGAGTGAAATGCTCGTTTCTGATCAGTCTCCTCGGGTTCTACGTTTTCTGCCTGCATCTTTGAGGCCAGTACAGATTTATATTGGGGAATGGCTAGATGCTTTTCTAAAGCATACATGGCGCTTCGTTTTCTCATGATATGTATATGTGGGCCTGTTTGAGCTGGCCATTATAGCAGCCGTGGTACCACTCAGCATGCTGCTGCAGCCATCGTGGCAGAAAATTGTGTTGTGACTTTGAATTGGGAGGGTGGAGAGGACGATAGAGTTGACGATAGAATGGAATAAACATTATGATTGTAGAGACACTGCATCTACTTCATAACGTGCGGGATGACGTGGGGGTGGAAATTCTGGGCCTGTCATTAATCTCGGCCACTACTGCGATTTTGGTTACGGCCCATCCGCAGAAGTCGATAAGTCTTTGCAGTATTATAAAAACAGCCCTCAGTTTCCAAAACTCCAAGGGGCTGTTAAGATTCAAATGGTCCTGTACTGCCTAGTTCGTTCAAAATTGCAATGGAAAGTTAAAGTTCGTCGTTGTCCTGAGTGAACTATGTACATCCAACTTGATTCTCCAACCACCGGTTTCACAGGTGGTGGTTTTTCGCGGACCTATTCAAGAAAAAGAACCCCCAGACGCCAAAACGCTGTATCTACCCATTGCTCGCCAGCATACGAAATCAAAGCAAAATGTCTCCCGCGAAGAATTGTCCATTGCTTCACCAGTTCTGGAAGAATAACACTTCAACGGTATTCCCTAGCCTCCACGTTTTGCTCACTAACAATCGTCCTGTCTCATGATAATGTTGTAGCGATCGGTATCAAACAGCTGGCCTCCAGCTTTCTTGCCGCTTCTGCAGAGGTCCATAAGATGATTAAGATCTTGTGCATAGGTCGCCAAATATGGGGATGCCGGAGAGATCGTAACATCGTTGTCGTTGCAAAGAAAGATTGCACTACTGTACGAGCAGCTGATGCGCGAGCAGGCATGTGCATCTATGTTAATGCGTGTGTTGAGGTTTTTGAGGTAGGAGATGCCGTCCTGGATTGCTGAGGGAGTTGCCCCAACCCAAGGCCAGCCGCTTACTGGGATGCAGAGCGGTGGCAGGATCTTGTTTCTCTTTGATACCAGTTAGCCAGTGTGACATTGTGCGACGGCGACTCGGGACGTGTGGCCTCACCTTCTCCATTGCACGAGTCTCGAGGCCAAGTGAATCATGCTCCTTCAGCTCAATTTCTGGATATATCTCCTTAAGCTGAGCCCAAACTGTCTATTCCTCATGAGCAAAAGTGAAGATAATAGGAGGTTAACGATGGATGTACCTCAGCAGTACCATTCAATTCGTAAGAATGGTCACCGATCTCACCCTTGAAAGTGGCCGGTTGCATCTGGTATTTCTCGAAGGCGACGGCAGAATGAGCAGCATCGAGTGGCAGGCTAGCAGAGAGAACGAGGGTGATGAGTGTGGCGATGAGGAAGAGGACGTTGGTAATGCAGTAGGGATGCATGATTGCGGGTTGGCTTCGAGTTGTTTGTACGAAGCTTGTCTGGATGTTTGGATTGAGGGTGTGAGGAGACTGCGTAGCTTGGTTGATTGGTGAGGTTGTTGAGGTTGTTGAAAGATTGGTGATTGAGAAAGGTATGGAGAAGTTCAGGAGATTGAACCCTGAATATGGGACTTTGTCAAACGTCACTTTCGTCAAGGTGAAAGGCCACCACCTCAGCATTGTCAACTTGGCTTTGCATTTGAAAAACCATCTGGAATCCCTCTTTTGCAAAAATGAGCTTGTTAGTACCCAGCCGTTTTTCATGACTTATTTATGATTCTGGTGATGGTGAGTTACTATCTGCTACGAAGCGCTATTTCGATACCCGCTTCAAACACTTCAAGAAACCTACACAAGCATTTGAATCTCAATCGAAAACTGGTTAGGTATGCAGTCAAGTCTTGTAAAAAGTTGGAATAAATTTTAAGAGAGCCTCCTTCGTTCAGATGGAGAAGTCTTGTTCTTGAAGTGTTTGGGGTGGCGGAAGCGAACTACCGAGTGTCACCTCCCCCAGCTTTACCAGATATCCTCTCTGGTGGCTCTCTTCCAGAAACACAGAAACTCCGAGGTGGCACGAAATTGAAGGGAAGTAAGAATCCGGTGGGCCAGTCCGATCCATGTTCGCAGTCAGTTTATTGGCATTTGGCCACACACGTTTGTATAAATGGAACAGATTTTCCTTCAAGTAATCCATAATCACTTTCTCGCAAATTTTTAGGACTAATGTTCCTGGTATAGTCAACCTGTACCATGAAAGTGCCTTTCTTTACCACAATAAATCGTAAGACTCAGAGCAACTCCAGTGAAACAGGCGGGGTTCGTGTACTTCGTACTTGTAATAAGTAGACCTAGACATCTATATTTCTGGTTACTGTAAGAAACGTCATACAGTAGTGTAATGGTGATATAAAACAAGTAGTAATATAGAGTGTAGAATGGGCTTCCACAGCGTGGGATCACAGCGTACGAGTGAGGAGTGAAATTAGAGAGTGAAGGTTGGTTGATTTCTAAGAACTAAGAAGGAGAGAGGGGTAATATAAGCGGATTGCGGACTGTACGGATATCCGGAGGTCACATGACAGAACCACGTGACCCAGGGGATAAAATCCCCACCACAGTAGCAGCTAGCAGAATGTTTACACAGTCAGGACCTGATCAGTAACAGCATCATCGATGGTGTCTCGGACATTCTCACAGAGACCAATCCGAATATATCCCCCAAGTGCAGACTTCGACTTTTTCAACACCAGGCCAATGGAGCCGCTTGCTATCGAACGGGCATGTTTACCTCCACCCACCCGGAAAACGATCACATGTGGTTAACCCAAGGAGAAAAGTTAGATACAAGTAAACGTTTTACATCTGTGCACGAATGGCAAAGCGAATGATGAGAAAGGGAACCCTCAGCTCTAAGTTGTCACGTGATTGGCGGGTTGACGAATCATTCCATCCAGATTTACATAGTTGGAAGCTCCTCTTTGCGTGTACCGATATCCATTCGTCGTCTTAATAAGGAATCCATTGTTTTAAAATTCTGGCCACTTCGCTAGCCACTTGGCTATTGAGAATTAAATTTCAGTTTATCAACTTCGTTAGATGTGAAAAAGGAGGTGAAATTTGAGACAAGGCTCATTCTGCGGTTCGTGTCCCAACCGGCGACCGTAAAATATTTTTGCAAAGAAATTCAATTTCCCCCACTAGATCATTTCGACTTCAACCCCTCCTTCAACAATACACCTCCAAGGCCACCATGGATATAACAATGACAGATAGCGGCTCATCTTCCAGCCGACAAGGGCAAGTCCAAGTCCACTTCATCACCAATTCTCCCGACGTCGAGCTGCCAGAGGGGAAAAGGCAGCTTCTCGTGCCAACCAGTGAGCAGAACTCTAATCCGATGAGCTTTAGCAGCGTTGACTGACAGTCCGCAGATGTACGAAGATATGGCCTCTCCCAGATCCTCAATTCCGAGTCCATGCTCGACACTCCTGCTCCAATTCCCTTTGATTTCCTGATAAATGGCACCTTCCTCCGTACAACCCTCGAAGAATACCTCACCGCAAACGGATTATCCTCCGAAACGACCCTGAATCTACAATACGTACGAAGTTTAATACCGCCTCTTTACGAAGCAAGTTTTGAGCATGACGATTGGGTCAGTTGTGTGGACATACTGTCTCGGAGCTCGGTAGCAGGCATTTGGGACGGCAGCGAGGTGGTTCCTGGTCAGGAGCGCATACTGTCTGGGTCTTATGATGGATTGCTGCGGGTTTGGAATAAATCTGGACAATCGATTGCGACCTCCGCATCATCGAGCGCTGGTGGACACACATCAAGCATCAAGTCTGCGCGTTTCATCTCACCAACACAAATCGCATCTTCAGGCCTGGATCGCACAATCAGAGTATGGAAATATACGGAGGCTGAAGATCACTTCTCTGCTGAGTTAAAGCCGATTCTTGAGTTGTATGGACACAAGGGAAGCATAGACTCGATAGACGTTCATGGACCCTCAAATCGAATCCTCTCAGCCTCTGCAGACGGAACGATTGGCTTATGGACTACGCTCAAAAAATCTGCTCCATCGGCGCCTGCAGAACTTCTCACATCTGGTCCCTCAGCGAAGCGCCGAAAGATCGCCACGTCAACGTCCACCCCTCAGCGTGGTCCTCTCTCCACAATCAAGTCCCACACATCTCCTGTCGCGGCAGCAATCTTCAATCCTCTCGATGCAACAATCGCCTACTCCGCGTCCCAAGACCACACCGCCCGAACCTTTGATCTCACAACATCAAGTTTGGTGGATACGCGAACAACCTCACATCCTCTCCTCGCCCTGACCGCATTGCCCGGTATCAGCAGTCAGTTACTAGCAGCAGGAACCAGCGCTCGGCACATCACACTCCTCGATCCCAGAATCTCAGCCCAATCGACACAAGTCATGACTTTGCGTGGCCATACTAACAAAATCGTTTCCATCGCTCCAGATCCAGAAAGTAATTATGGATTAGTGAGTGGCAGTCACGATGGGACCTGCAGAGTATGGGATTTGAGGAGTAGTAGGTACGGGACGAAAGATGAAGGTGGTGGTTTGGTTGGTGAAGCTGTGTATGTCGTTGAGCGGGAGAGCGCGAAAGGTGGAAAGAGACCGGTTGGTGGAGAGGGAATCAAGGTCTTCGGTGTGCAGTGGAATAAAGATGTTGGGATTGTGAGTGGAGGAGAGGATAAAATGGTGCAAGTTAACAGAGGGAGAGGCGTTACGAGGCCAGACACTACGTAAAAGAAATGATTAGAGCTTGATACCCCAACCCTTCTTTGCCCAAGCGCTCGACAGCCCTATCACGGTAAGTATATCCAGAAGTCATAACGATTTCTTTCCCATCCCATCTGAGACATGTTTTCATTATCCATTATCCATTATCATTTTCATTTCTCATACTCCAGCGTTTCAATGCCTCGAATCGTCAACGGTCCAACTAGCCCCCTTCGCATCCATCTCATGACCTCTAAACACTTCCACAGCAGGCATCTCACTATATCTTTCAACAGTTGGGCTTAACTCATACCTCACCTCCCAATCCCCTTCGGCCTCCGCATACTGTTCCCTCCTTCCCCCCTCCCCTCCCATATCCCCTCTTCCCATCATCCCTTCACTCCCCATCATCTCTCTTCTTCCCATCACCTCTTCCCTTCCCATCATCTCTCTTCTCCCCATCATCTCTCCTCTTCCCATCATCTCCCCTCTGCCCATCATCTCTCCTCTTCCCATCATCTCTCCTCTTCTCATCATCTCTTCCCTTTCCATCATCTCTCTTCTTCCCATCATCTCTCCTCTTCCCATCATCACTCCTCCTCCCATAACACCCCGGCCATCCAACTCCTCGCCCGCACCAGGGCGAGGGCCAGGACCAGGACTATAAGCCGGCGGGCGCGACTCCCGATCTCTGGGCGCCGACTCCTTCCCACTCCCAACAGCAATCTCATCCACTCCCGCTCCTTCTTCCTCCCTAGCTTGCTTCCCCCTCCGCGAGAAAATCAACCACAAAAACAGCGCCAACAGCAGCAAGAAGACCAGGGCGATCCCGGCACCGATCCCGGCCTTTGCGGCGGTCGGAAGTCCGCCCGGGGGAGCGTTCGAGGAGGAGTCTGTGGGGAGCGGGAGAGGTGTGGAGGTTACGAGGGGGGTGCCGGAGATGGTTACGGTGAAGGCTTGGTAGGAGGTCGTTGGTGGGATTGAATTTGCGGGGTTGGGGTTGGGGTTGTTTGGGTTTGAGGGGCTGGAAGGGGAGGACCCGGGCGTTTGGCCTCCTATGACTGTGACTGTGGGATTTGGTGAGTTGGGGGGTGACTGTGCTGGACTGTTGGCGGGGTTCGTTGGCTGGGATTTTGTGGACGGGGGCGAATTATCTGTAGGAGAGGGAGATGTTAGGACGGGAGATCTTATGGGGTTGGAGCTTGTGGAAGGTGCCGCGGCCGATTTGGAGGTTGGGTTCGTACTGATTGCGCAGGCTGATGTGCAAACTGTTGCACCGTTGCATTTTCGAAGTGAGACTGAAGGACAGCAGCCGCCTGTTTCATGTCAGAGGAAGTTCGTTATTTATTCTTGTTTTTCTTTGAAGTTTGGTCGGGATGGGAAAGACGAACCGTCGAGAGATACAGATCCTGCAGCGCATCCGGTACTAGTACTTGCAGCAGCTGGGCTCTGCGATGTTGTTGATACGGGACCGATAGGAATAGAGATGGTAACACCGCCGGTAGATCCTCCATTTGAAGTCGTAATGCCTCCGCCACCTGTGACTGTCGCCGGGGTCGATAGTACTGTTGTTTCTGTAATCCCTGTAGTTGGGGTAATGATGGTGGTATTTTGACGCTTGAATCGAAGCCCAAAGGCTGCTTGGACGAGAGGCGGCGCTTGATCCAAGACATCAAAGACGGGATCGAAGTTGAAGCCAGAAACGCAGCTCAGCATAGCAAACAGAGCCAAGGCATGACAGATCATCGTCAGGAAATGCATCTTTGGATGGTCATTTTGGGGTGAGGCTCAAAGGACGATCGGCAGGGAAGAGAACGGCTTCATTTATTCCCAAGAACAGGACGGCTGCAAGTGCGGGGTCCTTGGGAAAGGTTTTGGTGGGGTGCGATAGGTGTAGCGGTCTGGAGTTTGAGGATCCAGAGGAGCTGCGTGGTGGCTGGCGATAAGAGCGGATAAGCCACTTGCAGGGGCACGATCTGACAAAAAGGCTGCTGTGCGTCGGAGCTGGAAGCCCAGCCTTACGATCTCGTTGGTTTTTGCACAGAGGTTGCCTGTTTCTACCCAATGGATGGTTATCACTTGCATCCTTCGAAGACTCGGATCATGGGGGCACACACACGCATCCTCCAGGCTTTGTCTTTTCCGGTCCTCCAAACCAAACAAGAGAGGGCTGTCATAGCGTGCTGCCTCGCTGTTCTGCTTGCAAGGTGGCAGCATTTCACCCAGAGACATGTCTAAGACTTCCTGTGCTTTGCCACCGCCTTCTCTCACGCGCTTGGAAAGTTCCGAGTTCTAGTTCTGGCGGTGATGGTCATGGGTGGTGGCAGGGGCTACAAGGCTGAATTAAGCGAGGCGCCCCCCTTTTATTACTGGCCCCCGAGTCTTGGCGAGCGCTAAAGGCCGTGCAACAGCCAAACGCTCAAAGCCTGAATCTATAAATGGGGCAAAAAGTAGCGAGGGCGGTGCTGGATGGGGCAACGCTGGAGGCTTTAAGAGGCGAGTGCAGATAGAGATGTATCATGGAAGTAATTCGAGGTTGTGCGTCGCTTTGAACGATAGCCAGGAGTAGATTTTCGAGGAAGAAACTTGAGATTTAGAACTCAGGATACAGAACTTCGTTTACAGAAGATTCTATTAGCCCATAATGATTATCTGGCGTTCCGGTGACAACGACCAGTCATTCTGCTTAATCATATCACTGCATATTTGGGCTCGATATGCCACCCCGTCTCGCCACTTAACCAGCATCACACAAATATCGCATGCAGAGTTGGTTGCTACGGTTAAGAAATCCAACTCGTCGGGTTGAGTTGTCTCCATCCCGGATCCAGACAAGTTGTTCCAATAACTCTTTTGCCCTAATCGAAAGTCTCAATGGTAATTCGGGCTGAAGATGCGCGATACGACCAACCGGTCACTTAAGGTGCGTTTACAACCCGCGGTGGTGGAACTGCCATATCGTTATTTGACTTACTCACTTCATCGATGAGTCAATGTTTCCCCCAAGTCTTGCCTCAGATTCAGCGAGCACTCAACCATCTCAGGAATGATTTAATTACGAAAATCGGGAAATTTAAAACAGTATCAGTGGTTTTTGCGTCAAACTCCAGTTTCACTGCGGCTTCACTGCCAAACCGCAGTTTACATCGCATTTAAAGACACTGGTATTTAAAATTCCTGCACCACATTGCACCGAGGACCCCTAAATCTGAACTAAACTGCACGTCGTGATTTACACTAAGCTGAGGTCACACTGGTCCCTTCCCTGTTCTTTCGTGATTTCTCTCGTTTCTTGGCTTATCAGGATAGCTTGGTGTGCTGCTTCTGCAGTTCATTTTGTTGTCATGGCTGTCTGCATCGCTTCTGAATCGTTGTAAGGGCCTGCATAGCGGTGCCATAGCCTGGAGCATTTTTGGTCTTGCTAAGCATCACGCTCAAAGCCGCAATCATAGTCTTTACCGGCTGGGTGGGAATAGGCTGTTCTGTTGCAGATTCGATACGCAGAAGGGCATACCTGAGGTATTTGTTAGGGTACGTAACATGTCCGCGGAGGTCGCTGGCTCATGCAGTTGCTTTGGGCCACGTTGATGCCACGACGCCTGTGTCGCACTGGGCGATGCGTACGAACTCAGATTTCCCATTGACTAAAGGTATGGCTGCTGGATGTGGTTGGTGAGGCACAATTTCAAATACTTCGTTCGCGGGTGTATGGTTCTTTTTTCCAGCCACAAAGTCTGTCTGCTGGGTCAGCGCCGACGCAGTGCATACTTTATCGGAGAGATGTGCGCCACCTTTCCCCAGCGCTTGCCAAGTCGTGCGAGCTGAGGTTACGACCGTTCAACGAACGCTCGGCTCATGCCCATCCCGGTCCCTACACGGTGAACAGTCACGAAATATCGCGACATCACAAAAGACCCCTCTCCCACACCCTCGAAGGAGACGACAACGATATAGAATCGAGGAATCGACTCAAGAATATCCGTAGCAATGGGCGTAGCACCATCCTACCATCCCGTCAACCCAGGCTTCTGCGACCTAGCCTGGCGTGAACGACAAGCAAACCAACGACCACGGGGCGGCATGCTGTCAAAGCAATACTCCGACCCTTGACGAAACTGCGGTTTAGTTTGCGGATCCAGTCTACCAGCATCATACACAGAAGGGTGGGAACAATATGTAGATCTATCGGTGAACTTTCGCTGGGAATCACATGTCGCAGTTACGCCGACGGAACATGAGGAGTTACTGGGGTGCTGGATATGCTGGGAATACTAGGTCACTTGGGTAACGCTAATGTTGGAGGACGATTGGTATGCGCATATGAGGAATCACTTTCGGAATGACGGGTATCGCGCCTGTACAGGAAGGAGAGGTGCAATGCAGAGGAGGAACTGTGAGGTTGCGAGTTGTCAAAAAATACATTCGTAATTCGAACTTTCTCTAAATTTCTAACAACTCGCCGAGAGTGCTGTAGCATTCTACACATCTGGGGCTTCGCTATTAAAAGAATACGGAGGATGGCCTTGCACCTAATAAAGTAGCACCGTGGTCCGTGGCCAGAGAAAGAGGTCAAGCCCTGACAGTGAAGGCAAAATAGACATCCCGCACCACATTACCCTTATAATACCGTGAGTGCAAACTCTCGAAGTTTAGTCGGTCCAAGCATATACTGTTACAATGGACTATTATAGTAGGACAAGCCTTATATAATCTACAAGCCTCACACGCCGGAGCAAGCTCGAGGGTAAGCGAAGCCTCCCTATAAACACAAACTCTCAAGGATATCCTCCTTATAATAGGAGCAGACTCTTAACTCTACTTAGGTTCTTAGAGCGGACTTAAGGTCTTAACTATAGGCTTTTGGGTACAGTCTCTAGCTTGCGTAGGCAAACTCTTACGAAGGCGTGCGGCGTTGAAAACCATCCCTGCCAGCAGCAGAGGAACACCAAAGTCGCTACGTTTAGAAAATCACACCAAATCTCAACGGAACGCCCGAAACTCTTTAAAAGTCCTTTGCGTGATAAAATAAGAAGTAGATCTGACTTTCGCGAAATTTTTACGATAATTAAATATAAGGGGGAAATGTGAGAATTTCTGTATTGCGAGGGTCAAAATCGAGCACTCGCGCCCGTCCTCGCTTAGGGTACTTTGATCACTTCCTTCCCTCTTACGTTTCATTTCCCCAGTCATCAGCTACAACTTCATAACCTTATACCGTACAGAGATTCCATATAACAAATAATCACTAAAATGGAGAGTGAAATTAGTCATCTGGAGATTTCTGGAGATGAAACGACCGAAACAGCAGATACCCGCGCTGGCTTCAAACCCACCGAGCCCCAATCGACCGCTGCGACCCCAAGGAATGCTAGCCTTGATGGTTTGCCCTCCGAACTCAAGGCATCGATCCTTCATTCTGTGCCGAGCATTCCTGCTCTGCAGACGCTAGTTCGATCGTCGCCACTGTATCACAAGGTCTACCTAGATGAGCGGAAGGTCATACTCTCAGCAGTGTTGCTACGCGATATTGGACCACAGGTTCTTCCAGACGCTCTGGCGGTCCATAAAGCTTCTCAAATTGGGTTCGATGGATCCGGTTTGCGCAAGGATAATGTGAAATCTTTCATTTCACAGTATAAAGCAGAACGAGGTTCATCTTCGCCAGCCACGTGCGACCCTCTGGATATCGGGACCCTCGAATCTTTGTCACGCCTCCAATCTGTGGTCACTAAAATAGCCTCTGATTTCTGCGAGGCGACACTATCTGTTCATCCAGTAACGGGAGAAAGAATCCAACCTCACGGAGATCTCTCTATCAACGAGAAACGTCGCATCTACCGAGCTCTGTATCGTTTCGAGCTGTTCCGGGCCTTGTTCACCAAGCCTCGTGGTATACAAATCCCACCAGAATCTCGACGGTGCTTTTATTCGATGGATCAAAGCTTGCTTTTTCTCTCCATCTTCACAGCTTGGGAGGTCGAGGAGGTGGCTTGCGTGCGTGACTACATCATCAGACGTCATACAGAGATTCTCCGGGAGAGTTCCTCTGAACTTTCCAAGCTTTGTCCTAACAAAGATTTACATGATGGTGGGTGTTTCTTTTGTCTCTCACGATTGTCGGTTACCTAACCTCTTTTACAGAATATTGGCAAATACAAAACACAGGATATCTCATGTCCCTCGGTCTCCCGTTTTTATGCCAATTGCTCAACGCATCTTCTGCTGCGCAAAAGGCTTCTATTCTTGAATCCAATATCTGCTGTGACCGCGCGTTCCTAACAGAAGCATTGTAAGAGGATCCGTACGACTGGGTGTACCAGACCGATATGTACACTGCTGCCGAAGATGGGCAGGAGCTTCTTTTTGAAGAAGATAGTCTCGTCGATGGCCCAAATGCCGCCTGGCCCTGGTCGACAAATCAGAAGGTGGACGTACTTTACTTCCAAGAACACAAGCAACCTTTAAGGAAATGGGCGTACGTGATGTGGGACCTTGGCAAGCTGAAAGATTGGAGGATATTGGATGTTGACCCGGAGCAGGTCTGCAACGCATAACAAATCTTCTGATAGAATATACAAGAATTTGCTTTAGCATTCGGGGACTAGAAATAGGAGATCAGATGGATTTCGCAAATTAATCGACGGCTGGAATGAGGTGGCTTAAATAAGGTCTAGTGCGTCAAGAGAAGAAGTCAATTCCTGGGCTGACGGCTGGCCTAATCTGGTGAATTTTGCCTTAATCCTTCTACACGTCTTAACATACACCCAGTCGCCTTGAGACGAAAGTGGATTGAGTTGACTTTGTTATTAACTATTGACACCCAAGGTAAACAGCAGTTGGAAACCACTTCTATTAATTGGCAAGCGGTAGAAAGAGACGGAACCATGCCGGGCAGAGGAATCTGGGGCGCACAATTTGTTGCACTTGTAACGAATTGCCTCGATTAAAGAAACTTGACGTCGAGCAGGATCATCACGGTTGTGGAACGCGTCATATGTCTAAAAGCTCAGGGCAGGTCTCACGTCATTGCGGACCGAGACTATGGCTGGGACGAGTTGCAGCAGATCGTGTTGGGGAGAGGAGGAATCGGGAAGAGAAAAGGGCATGAAGTCTTAGCAAGTTGAGTCTGGTCAGGAGATAAGAGAGGGCGGTGGTGAAGGTGAGGCAATGCATGGTTGTTAGTGGAAGGGGGGGGCTGGAGGTGTATCTGAAAAGGATTTGGTCTGGTGGTCTTGTGGAGAGCTGTTTGATGCAGGTTGAGACTTGGATTGATGTTGCGGTTGTGATACTAGAAAAAGGTCTGCAAAGGGGAAAGTTTATGCCGATGTATTGGACACTAATGGAACATTGATCGGTTAGATGATAGTCTCATGATATTCAGTTAGATTCGGTCGGATTGGCGTCTCTTTGTCTAGCCAATAGCCATTTTCTACTCTGTATCCAACCCATTTGCAAGACAACTAACAGTACATCATCAGATCAATATATCACCCTCCCCTCATTTATCCAACTCAAACATCTCTCCATACCACCCATACGCCCTCGTTAACCTCCTTCCCATTCTCCTCGCAACCGTAAACCGAATCTTCACTTCCGGATGCGGCTCGTGGAATTGTATACTCCTCTCAACGTCCAAGTTGGTAGGCGTAAACTGCCAGATGCTGCCATACAGCTTCTGGGCAGCGAAGCCGGTACTCGCCATAGCACGCAGGAAGTCGATCCAAGGGACCTCTCCTACATTACCGGCAGAGCCGGGAGTGAAGAAAAGGGTGTTGAAGACTTTGAGGGAGGCGGGAGAGACTTTGAACACTGGCTGCTTGTCGGGCTGTGCAGCGGGTGGAAGAGGAGAAGCTTTTTGGGTATCTTCAGTCTTGGTGTCTGGTTCGACGGTGGCTCTTTTCGTTTTGACTTTTTGCTTCGAAGGCTTGGCGGGGATCTCCTCATTGGTAGAGGTGCTATCCGTCCACGCTTTCACGTCCAAATCCACGGGCTCGACCTTGGGCTTCTTTGCTTCCTTGACTGGTTCCACCCACGGAGCGGTCCGTTTGATCTTCTGTCCACTCTGCCCTGGTTTATGATCTCCCATACATTTATCGATATTCTTGCCGGCTAGTCTTCTCCAGTTTGCGTCGAATTTGATCCAGAAGAAGTCAAGGTTCTTCTCGGCGTTAATCATCGCCTCGGTGGTCTGCTTGGTTCGTTTCTTGTCGATTGGGTAATCGAACTTTCCGTCTTTAGGCATGGCTAGTTGTGTTATGCCGAGCATGACTCGGTCCATGTGTTCTAGATAGTTGATTTGGAAGGTGGCTTCGCTCATGGTCTCCATAATCTTTCTTGCGTGTTTCTGTTTGGGACTTTCAGCAGTGAACAGAGGATAGGTACGAAGGTTTCAGGCAAAGAAAGAAACATTGGGCCGTGCTTGTGACAGGGAGTATTGAGAAAAGCCACTTACTCTATTTTCGTCTTCGAAAGTAGCTGCCCAAGGTTGGTAGATGTCGATTTCGAGCAGCGCTCGAGAAAGTATAGCAAGGTCGGCAAAACAATCAGCCATATAAGGAGAGAGATTCTTTTTCTCCGTAGGGTCCTGCATAATCCACTCAAAGTAGTCAATCACTTGTGGGAGCCCAAACAGTTCCCTTTGTTGCTCATCCCAAAGTATAAGGAGGAGGCCCCAAGGTTTGTGGAAATGAGGATCCAATTCGTTGATGGGACGAATGTGCATGTTGATGGTTCTTGGATCCTGTGGCTCACGAATGAAGTATTGCCTCAGTGGCGGAGATGACTGGATATTCTTTAGGTTATGCAGAGGAGTCTCGCAAGCGATCAGAAGCCTGTGACGAGAAGTCAGCGAAAATCTAGACAAAAGAAGGCTCAGGAGCAGTATCTTACAGCTGTTTGAACTTGAGAATAGTAATTAAATACTCCTCAGGAAGCTGGCGGTCATATGAAATATCGTTCTTGTATTTCTCTTTCAGTGCACAAAGTCGATTGACGCTTCTGTGAAGAAGGCTCCATGTTTCGAATCCAGTATACGCATCAGCAATGACATTTCTGATGACTCGTTCCCAGAATTGAGTAGTCTGTGGCCCAGTGGGATGTGGTTGACCACGAGTATCCGGCAGCCGATCATTTCTGTGCTCACTCCAATCCATTATGGTGTCCGCAAAGTATCCTGGGTCCTCTCTCAACAGCCAGAGATTATCTTCTGCTGCAGAGAGTCTGGCGGCGAATATGGCTCTCAAGCGCTCCAAGTCTAGATTTGCTGGCAGACGGTATGGAGCTTCAGCTGATATTGTAGCTAAACTGGGTAGAATTTCTGTCACAGAGGAAGGTTCAGAAGTCTTAGCAGCGGCAGCCGAGGTCTCCGAGGGGATGGGCACTTCACCGCCAAGTAAGGAGCCATCTTCGACAAGATCATGCAAGATGAGCTCGCAACATTTGACGAGAAAGGGGTAGATCTTTTCCTGCAGCTCGAATACCCGCAAACCCTCGCCCGGGGAAAATTGTCTCTGCGAGAACAAGAGATCCGCCGCATCCTTGTCATCATCCCAGGAAACCAGTTTGCCGTATGTCTCTGTTTTGGCTCCGTCCATGAATATCGTATATCCTAGGAGGAAGTCCTGCTCTGGAATCCAGTGGCCATTGGATCCCAGGCGTGTTGCGTCGACATCTGCTCTGGCAAACACACTGGGAGGATTTCGAGCTCGGTTGTTGATGAAGATAATGAGAGACCTGCTGCTGAGGTCCTGCTGGTTGATGTTCGGCCACTTGAATGCTTCTTGAAATTTCGAGAGGCCAAAATGATGTCGCCCAGTGTTCTCCATTCGATATGCCTCGAAGTCAGGACGATGTGTTGGGGATATGTTTGGCCAAGCTTGCAACAGCAGCTCCTTTTGCTTCTTCCTCGTTTTCTTCGTCCACCTCTTCTCTAAAGTCTCTGCATGCCTCTCCACAATCTTCCGTAATGTATTCCAATCTGATAATACTCTTTCCGATGCAAACTTTGCTTCCTTGCGTACTTGTGCTGCAGTAGGTCGCCGACAGTTCATATAGGGCGATCCGGGATAGGCATTTTTGGGATGGTAAGGACCTTTGAGTCCAAGGAAATCCATCTGTTTGACCATTTCCTTGAAGTCTTCATCTGTCGTCGGCCATCGCCCATTCTTCGCCATCTCGACGGCCCAATCTTTCCTCTGAGGGGCCATGATTCATCACTCGATACTCAAGATTGTAGGATATTCCAGCAATCTCATGCAATAAGTTGAAATCTCTCCAAAACCCACAAGGGATTTCAGCTGGAGAAGCGGTGAAGACCGAGATTTGAAATGCCGAGGCCGTAAAAGATACCATACAGCCCAATTACTGCATAGGACTTTGATCAACGTTCATGCCCTCAAGGCTAAATCAGAATCAATTGATATGGCAGCGAAGTCAGAGAGCTATTTCACGCAAATGATGGGACGAGGTGACCAACGCGTTGATTGTGGGGAGGCGAGCTCTGGTGGGATGATTACATAAGCTGCACTAAACCTTAACTTCACCTCGTTCCTCTGGCATCAAGTCCAGCAGCAATCCCGAGCCCCATGCTCCTGCAAGCCTCTCCTTCTTTCTCAAAGATATGTGCTACCCTTTGTAATTGCCTGCCATTACTTCAAGCCATGTGTGTAGGACTCGTTTTAGGATCGAGGACCTCATCAGTGGATTCGAGGAGAGCTCTAGAGGAATCGAGAGGTCTTCGGAAACCAGGAAGTTCTGGCTGTTAGCTCCCTTTCTAATAGTTCCACTGCCTATGATTGCCTTCTACTGACCAGCGCCGTCTGAACCTTCTTGCCCCGTGTGCTTGGTTCAAACCATTGCTGTTGACGCCGCCCGTGAGCCGCTGTTGCCATCATTGCTTGGTTCGGTATCTCAATGCGTCTGAGTCCAACATCCCTGCAGCATCACTGTTAGTCACATACTGCAGAACTTTAATGCGGTGCCGAAGCACTGGGGGAGAGTCTACCGCGCTTCTAGATTTCTTGGCCGCATGTTTGAGACCCGGTTGGCCTTTGAGCACAAGAACAGCCAATGAACAGCCTTTGGCAACTACTTAAACAAACCTTCGCACCGTGCCTCCTCAACATTCTTCTACCGTTCTTCTGCCTGCACCTGAGTGGGGTGCTGAAAGGCAGAACAGGTTAACATTTCGATGCTTAGGAGGCGTTCGAATCCGGACCGAGGACCGCGGAGCCGCTCGAGCCAGTGTTCGTGGAGAGAAGATTGGGGTGTTGCTGATAATTCGTGGAGTCTTCGAATGGCGATCTTCTCAAGAAGGAGCTGTTGGAAGGAGGAGCTACCAACTGCTGCGCATGGCAGTGGTCTTGCGGGCAAATGAGTACATCACTGAGGGTGTTCATAGAAGCTCGTGGATCAGATCACAGAAGACAGAGAGCTTTGAAGGAATTCCAATTCGATCGGAGCTATCGAACAAAGACCTGATTTTGTATCCGTTCTTGGATCTCTTGTACACAGAGCGCCTACCAGGAAGCTGCAATACCCGCGTCTCGTCTGAAATTTCCTGGACACAGCATGTGGCCTCTTTCCCTCATCGCCTGGTCTCTATCTCCGGCGACGACATATGTTTCGTGTGTCCTTGTATCCAATACAATCCCACGTTCTTCGGCTCTCAGAGTTCAGGGACTTTTGGGGAATTCGAGACGAGGGTTCAATGGCGGAAACCGGGAGCAAGTGTCACGACATTGCTGCTGCGCATGCCTGGCCGGCTGTGTTTGTTCTCGTCGCTTTTAGAGGCATCCCAGTTTGATCGTCCTTGCTTCTTCCCTGGATATCGGGAAGGGTTTGTGGTAAGTTCTTGGCCTTAAGGTTCTTGCCTTGAGTCCTTCCGTCTCTCTTCGTTAATGCGTTGCCCAGCCTGGTCCCAAGGCTGTTGGCCAGCCTCAGCCTCGTCTGGAGGCCTTCCCCTCATGACTCTCTGGCGCCAGATCATAACAGAGCCTTGCACTAGTCGTCATCTTCAAGCTTTCATCCCACGCTAGCATGTACTAAAAGTCCTCGAGAACCAACCAGAGCTCTCGGAAGCTCGAGAAAAGCGGGGCCCGGCACAGATGAAGCTGTTGTTGCACATGAACTGGCGCCAGCGAGGTTCGAATTACGCATAGAAGTAAGCGAGTTGGTGGTCTGGGATTTTTATAAAAGAGGGTCTTTTCTCCCCATCTTCCAAATGCTTCCTTCTTCGCAAACTCCCCATCGCCACCCTGCGTCCGCGCTCTTTGGACGCAACACCACCAGTTATCGTCTTGAATTGCGCCTTACCTCATCAATTCTCCCTTGCGCTACTCTTGTTCTTATTGCAGTTCAGCTTGCATCTCCCCATTCTTCAATTCCGTGGCTTCTCTACCTCCCTTGCCATCGAATCGGTCCCCCCAACGCCAACTCCGTCGCCCTTCCTCACCAAGCATCATCGCAAGTCCTCCCTCAATCCGTCCTTCTCTTTTACGTTCGTCTAAGACGTTGAGGCAAGGCCTTCATGTGTTTTAAACGCGTTCCCATGGCATCTCGCAGTCATCACACCTTCCAGCATCAATTTTTTCGCACTTCCGATCTTTCCTCCGATGGTTGCCCGCTCCTCACTTTCCTCTGGAGGCACTTCGCAAAATTCACCCAATCGCGCCTTCCACCCAAACTTCGTCATACCTTCACGCACTTTTCCTCCCTCGCATTCAACAATCTCGTGAGTACCTCCCTTCCCGTTCTTCTTTTCCATCGCTGATACATCCAGATCTCCACAAGACCCACGTTTGCAAACGCCAAAGCAACATCACAAAGTCCAATTCGACCAGCGAACTCCTCCCCTGCCGAGAGAGTTCAGCGCAAAGTCACGAACAAAAACGTAAGTTCCTCAATATCCCTTCATGGCATTGCAATTCTGACGTGTCCCAGGAAAAACGAAAAGAAATCAAAGAACGAAGAACCAAATCCTCCCACGTAGCTGGTAGAGCTAGCCAGCGTGGTTGAGATTCTGATGCCGTAAGTACAGTCCTCCATTCTTTGTTCTCACTCTATCTTTCACTGTTTTTGCCTTCATTTCTGTTCTTCCTCGCGATCCACTTCAAATCAGGTCAGTCTCTGGATCTTCGTGCAGCCTGCATTTCCCTTTTACATTCCTTCAATTTTTCGAATTCCTGGGCTTGTGGGAATTGCGGGATTTCGGCTGGGACTTGTTAAAATTTTCTTTGTCTGTTGATTCACTCTGCCGATTTTCGGAGGCTAAAGCTTTGCCTTTGTGTGGGTGAAGTCGAGATGCTTCACCAACACCACATCTGATTCATGGATCTATCCATCCACAAGTCGTTTTGCGTTGTCGTTACTCTTTTTTCGGTCGCGGTACTGGCTTTTCTTGAACTTTTACTAACAATTCGTTCTCCAGTGCTTCCGTTTCGAAGCTTTCCACACAAAGCCAGATGAAGTCGTCAATTGCTTCATCAGCGATCTCTCATTCAGATCGCGAAATCGTTTATTGGTGCCCAGACTGGTCGTCAATTGCCATGTCAGCTTCGATAGCATCAAGAGTGGTCTTCAATTGCCTCCGAACGTTTCACATCCTGATCCTCTGAAAGCTCCCACTCGGTCGTCAATTGCCGCAGTGTCTTGTTGGTCGTCAATTACCAATCATTTTGAGCTTTTTCAGAGTCGATCTCCGGCTTTCCTGTGGTTTGTGACAGACGTGTTTGCGGAAGCACCTCTTTTTACGGGACGATCCGGTGCTGGTGGTGGTCAGGTGAGCCATCAGCGCCACCCCCTTTTCAGGTGATCCCCCCAACTCCTCCAGAACTGCTGACTCAGACCCGGCTGTCTTGCTATTTTGCTCCGGTGATGGAACTTCCATACGTTTTAAATTCCGCGATGCCCTTTGGCAGTCGTCCCTTTGCAGGGTTAAAGGAAGCGTTTATTGTCATCGCGGCATCTGGCGTCGGCTTCGGCCACTATGGCGTGCAGGTGCGTCTGCAGGCGGCGCCCGTCCTTCTTGATCCAGGATGGAAGGATCTTGTTCAGGGCGAGGTATTGTGGCATCCGTGAAGGGGGGGCTTCGGTCGTCCTGGAACGCATAGGTGTCCTTACCTTTGGAAGGCCGAGACTAGAACGTAACAAGTCCTAAGAGTTGTACTTGATGCCTTTGAGCCAGTCCCGTTTGGGGGTACATCGGATCTGCCAACTCCGCGCTCTGGGGGTCTTAGTGGGCCTCCGCCCTGAAGAGGGGAAGGAATGCGTATCGGACTCTTTCTGGGCAAGCCACTTGGGCGTAAGCAGCTCCCCGTCGGAGGGAACGAGCAACACCCTTGTGGCCCCCGGGATCACGTCGATGGGGCACCGTCCTCTCCGTGTACCTGGAGATGGTCGCGTTTGATGTCACTGATGATGGGCTTAATGGGCGGGCTGGTTTTGTCTGGGTGGCGACGCTGAGGGGTTGAGGCCGGTTGATCGGGCGTTCATTGTTTTGATAGGCTCCCCTACCTTTCGGAACATGATAGCATGGTCATAGATTGGAGAGGGGACGAGGTGGTTGCGGGAGTGGTGGTGGTTGTTTGGGTTTGATGGGGACTGCGCCCAGCGGCAGGAGTGCATGGTTGTGGGACCTGTGGTGTTGTGGTGTTTCTATGATAGCTGATGATGCTGAGGCAGGATTGTCTTCGGTTGTGGTTTGATTCAGACGGAGAGAGGCGATGCGGATAGCAGTTGCATTCTTCAGGCGCGGCGGTAGCTCAGACTGGGATTGGAGGACTTGGAGGTGATTTGGATGTTGTTGATGAGTGAGACCACAGCTTTTCCTTTGGTGTTGTAGATAGAGAGACCATGGTGGCGTCGCAAAGCAATTCAAGACAAGCATTCGGTCATTCAAGCAGTTCTTTCGTGTTTTGCGTTCGTTCTTTCTTCAATTGATCAAGTTGATCTTGCGATGTGATGTAGTTGTTGCCTTCAAAGTTGAAGAGCGTCTTCCTTCTTTGTTGTGAAGTTCGTTCTCCGTTTTGCCTTCGCTTTTACTTCGTGCTTCGTTGCTCTCCGGCTTCATCGTGCTTTGCTTTCACTATCCCTCGATTCAATTGAGTTGATTGATCCCGACTCGATCTCGTTGTTCCCGGCAAAGCTGAAGCGCGACTTCTCCACATCATGGTTCAACTTCATCGTCGTGACTTCACTTCTTCATTCCAATGCCCCTTCCTCCTCTTTTGTTGTTCATAACTTGATCGAATTGATCGCAAATCGCCCGCACCGTCACTTCAAAAGCTGATTTCTCTATGAGTTCCGTTCTCCTTCGTGATCTCCGTGCTCGCTGCGACATTTCTTTCTTGTTGTGAGGTGAAGTTCCTTCCCTCTCGTGACTTCGCTACATCGCCGTGCGTTCCTGTACTCGACAATAATGCAGAACATTGTGTCTTTTTATTTTGTGACGGCACGACGTTTCTCACTAGCTTCGCTCACTCTTCCTCACCTTGTAGTACATTGTTCCCTGGCTCCCCGGCTCCCCCTGGCTTCCTCACCCCTCCGGCCTCGTCTCGACTCCGTTTCACCTCGTAAATGCTTCAACTTCCACGTTTTTTCATCTTTCATCATGACTTGGGCACATCGCATCCTCGCTTGATCTTTCTCCGTCGCTTCGTCTGGCCTGCATTGGGTCTCGAGTCTTTCTACTTCCGCTTCCTCTTGGGTCGCAGCTTAGATCCCCCATGCTTCTGTTTCATACGCCTTCTTCAGCACGAGTTGGTTTCAAGGGTCTTCACCTTATTGTGGTGCATTGATTCATTCCCCGTCTTGTCATTTTCATACATGAAGTTATCGCGGACTCCTATTGGGGGGTGTAGGATGGTTATTGAGGCATGGGAGATCGTTCTTCTCTGGACCACAACCCGTACAGGATCTCGGCCAGCGCTGTTGCCTGCTTGGGTCCTAAGATTTTACTGAAATTATTTGTAGTAATGCTTCATAGCTCACTTGCATACATCCACTAAATGCATGAGATCGTTCATAAACTTTGATTTAGGAATTAGCAACTAAGCAAATCATATCTTACAGCCTTCTCTCCGTCCCTCCTCCTCTCCCGCACCAGGAGATAACTCCCATCAAGATGTACAGCTCCTTCACTGCATTCTCTACAAACAAGTCTTGTATCTGCCTTCGACTTGTGCAGCATCTGTAACTTCCGCGTCTTCTTCTCATTCTCTCCTCCTTCAGCGTCTTTTCTGCCTCCGGACGATATTTGCGATAAGATCATACCGTATCGCCTCTCCCACTGGGTAGAGTTTTGAGCTTGGCTCCACGTATGACGACATGTCGAGATTACGAACATCGAAGGTGACACTAGTTGGGTTACGTTCTGAAACGAGCTTGTTATTGCTAAAGCGCTTGATATAGAAAAGGAGGTGTTGCGGCAAAGGGTAAAGGGGACGGTAGCATCTTCATTGTCCATAGGTTTCTGCTTCATAATGTAATATTAGCACTGAGACAGACGGATTTCAACTGGAGAATTTTCAAAAGTATATCACCTCCAGGGCACCTTTAGTATTAGACCTTACTACTCAAACCCTCCGAAATCCTAACCAACCACCAGGCGTAATTCCAAAAGTCAACTTCGCCTCCTGGACATTCTTATGTAGCGGCAACCTCCCCATCGTCTCTGCATGAAACAATTTCGTCAGCCCCGGATCCCTCGTGCTCGCTAAGATCGCCGAGAAGCTCTTGTTGTGACTGTGGCCGTTCTGCCAGTACGCGTATGCACCCAGCAAGTTCGCCAAGACTGCAAACGCAATCGCTAGTCCGTACGAAAGCAGCAGATTCCGAGAATGGTAGGCGTAAGTATTGATCGATTGCGTAACCAGAACATCTGTTGGCACAGAGGGTGAAAGCAACGGATCATTCATGAAACTCATCGTTGTGTTGAAAGCAAGCTCTGGAATGAGAATGTCAAGTGTCCGGTTTTGAGCAAGGTCAACGTCTTGCTGTCGCTGATCGGAGTTGATTGTGCTGTTCGAGTAGAGGAAGTGGTTGTTGTCGAAGAAGACGTCGAGATCGGAACTTCCCAGTAAGCTAGTTTGCTCGATCTGTGTGGTGATCTCGCCGAAGCGCGTGGTGGTGCCAGCCGAGTTCTCGGTGAAAATGCCCATAGAGCCGGTGAGGAGTTCGGTGAGAGCCCACATCACGGCAGAATAGGCGTGTTGCACGAGTAGGCCATCAGAGGCCGGTGCATTTTGGACAGGGTAAGGAACTTCGTTTAGTGTGGTGATATTGAGAGGCGTGATTGTTTTATTGCCATCCTGGAAGGTTAGATTGACTCTGTATGAGGCATTGTAGAGCTGGCATGTGGTGTAACGGTCGATAACTCGCTTCTGCCCTGTAGAATTGTCATAGATCGAATAGACCATCCAAAGCTGATTGCTTGCGTTAGTGGGCTGCTGAGGCCGCATCTGATCGACTATTTGGACCCCATTTTCTGGGAGCGAATTGTTACCGAAGCTGCTCAGGTCGGGCACGAAGGCAAAGTAGTTGCTGATCCAATCAATGATATTCCCTGTGGAATTCGTAATGGATTGATTGCGGAAGAAATCAACGGTGGTTGCCACGGTAGAGTTTGCTTGACTGCACTGAACTGATGGTGCATAGAATTGTACTGCAAAGGACGAATTAGAAGAGGGGGGGTTGACGGGCAGGATCTGGCCTTGAGTTGCGGTAGCTGTGGATAACCTCGATATGATTGTCCTGGGGCCAAGAAACTGCTCCCCGGAGCCAGTGCTGGTGTTGGATGGAACCGAATATGTAAATAGCTTTGTCTGATTAACGCTGTACATATCAAGGACCGGCGCTGGCATATTAGTCCAGGCCGTTTGGAGACTTGGGAGAACGAAGAGAGTGGCCGGGGTAACCAGTGATGGTAGTGGCAGGCCCCTAGTCTTTGTAAGCCAGAGAGCTCTGCCACCACAGCCAAGGATGCTCTCACCCAGCTATCAGCGCAAGCAATGCAACAATTTTCGTTTTGTAAAGCACCTCAGGATTGAATGCCGACACGATTGTTTGATTCGCCTCAAACGCTGCATCGAGGCCTTTCACAGACATCTTCGTCTTTTTCAAGGACATCCACAAGTATTGGGTGAACGCGAATCCTGTCGAGCACACCAGACTGGTCTGGACAATGTAGGCAAAAGTCGTTCCCCATCTGAGCTAGGCGTCAGTTGCCTGGGCCTGTCTGAAGACATCGAGACACATCGAAGGTGAAGAAAGTATCAGACCTCAGAGCCCACTGCTGGTCATTGTCGTTTCCAACTTTCTTTCCATCCAGTGATGAGTAGTAAAGATGGTGAGAAACACTCGCGACAACCCCAAAGATAAGGAACGAAACCATGCCGATAGGTGATCGCCAGTATATACCCTGGTGGTGCTTCTCCTCAGCGGTGGTTGCTGCGCTGAGCAGTCCATCAGAAGCTCGGGAAGTGTTGGTGCCAACTGAGACCATTGTCACTCTCGAGTTTGCTGAAGCATGGTCCTGCGGACTCGGAGCCTGAACGATCTCCTCATCGCGGATATGGAGAAGAGATTTCCCGTGGATGGTTTGGTCGGCCATCGCTTTCGAAGACTACTTCGACGTGCCGAACAAACCATATCCTCTCGCTTGAGCAGAAGCTCTTGAATATAAACTCGGATGAGTAATTATTGAAGTCGTTGCCTGTGTGGAGGCGCAGGCTGGCAATACAAATCCCGAGAGACGAAAACAGAACGATCTCCCCCACATGCATCTTCGCGACTCATCGGACACTTCATCCGGCATTGATTTATTCGAGAATCAAGGGTATGCACACTCGCTGGGCGCGTTACAATGGAAGTAATATTACACGAACATGCAACCAGGATCAGAAAAACGGCTGAGCCACCACCAACAGCCTTGCTGTCCTCATGTGACAACGGGAGACTTACCGCATCAAGAATGGTTCCGCTACAGACGGGAGAGTGCAAGAAGTGCGACTCGTTGAAGGAGGCAAGGATCTGAGCTATTGAATTTAAATGCCCACGTGTGTACCAACAAAATCTTGGTTGGTGGTTGAAGAAAACAAGTCGGAACTGGAAGCCTTTAGCATCACTGTGTTCAAGTCGGCACTTTCTTGGTGCGCTGCTACGAAGGTAGAATCCTTGCAAAGATTAGTGGCGGCCGCGTTTAATCTTGGACCCCTATCTAAAATGCCCCCTTCAAGTGATGCCAAAATGTTGATGTGACCTAAAACAGCAGTGGGGCATTGCACAGCGAACTGCTGTACGACGCCCACTTATCCAGTTGATTCTTCTAGCTGATTACTCTTCTGCCTAATGTCACTTCAACATGCCCTGTGTGCCCTTGTTCCAGCCTAAGGCCTTTCTTTGCTCGACCAACTACTTCTCATGGTTTCACGATCCTCTCTACTGCTTTCGCATCTAATCTACCCTTTGTGGCAAAGAGGTTGAGCCCAATGTATTGGTACATCTTCGCCGTGCCTCTCTCCTCTTCGTCTTCTTCACAGCCCTGCACTTTGTGCGACGGCAACTCCTACTCCGAGCACATGCTCAATTACATTCGAGACATAGGCGCTCCAGATCCTCCACTAAAGGACCAGCTGGCAGTGATATGTGAACTGGGTAGTGTGATTAACCCTATCTCTAAGGCAGATCCAATTATGACTGATCTTAGTATGCTGGAGGTTTTGGTCCCTTGGTCACGTGGCACGGTCATGTGATGCCTGGTGCGGACAGTCCGTGTTGAGAATTCAAAGCAAAAGTCACGTGCAATGGTTCTCAGATAACTGTCCATTTTGCAGTAATCTAAGGCCTATATTTATATATATCCAAATGGCCCCTATTACCACTGAAAACCCATATTTAGCTAAATGCCCCTATATAGCTAAATACCCTTATATAGCTATATGCCCCTATATAGCTATATGCCCCTATATAGCTATATGCCCCTATATAGCTGAATTGCCACTAGTAGCCTTAGGCACTAATTTCTAATAGTCCGCATATATATTACCCCGGTCCCTCCTTTTCTTTTCTTAGAAAAGAAACTTACCTTTACTTCTTTTATAATTTGCCTATATATCTATAATCTCACGCTATAGAAACTTATTATAGCGGCGGAGCAGAGCAATAGACATATAGCAGAAAGATCTCTATTTTCTATTATATAGAATCTAAAGCTAAGAAGAGAAGGAGAGAGTGAGGTGTGGTAATAAATAAGTTGGTAAGACCAAAACCACTAAAACGCTGAGCTTAGCCTCAACCTTAGCTGAAACCAACCCGTAGTAATTATAGGACAGCAGCCGTTACAAAAGATATATATATTATACTTCTAATTATATTTCCTTTAATTAATTATATATTACATTAATTATTATAATAAAAGCCTTTTAAGAATTATAAAATAATTATAGTTATTATTTCCTATTAAACGTATTCCAGTTAAGAAAATAGATAATAAAGTATAGTACTATTTTATCTACTTATTAGATCGACTGCCCGACCACATATATTAAGTCTCAAAACACGTAACTAATGAGAAGAAATCCGGGGCAATCCAGTAAAAATGGCTTGGAAATTCTGACGATCTGGGGTAAGGACTCGGGGGTATATTGATGGCCGGTTTCGATTTGACTTAAGTGAGAACTATATTAATATATAGGGATAATACAACTGCTTAAACAAAAAGGATGTTTAAAATGACCCTTTCAGGATTATTGAGATGGGAAGTCATATAAGTATGCCATGGCCCAGAATTTGGACAGAGGTGGCTTAAAGATCCCCCTTTCTTCGTCGTAGCACATGCTTGAAATTTTTCGGAACTTCAAAATGAAGACAGCAGCTGATGTTTACGCCTTAGCGGCAGTAGCGAATGCACATTACACATTCCCATCCCTCATTGCAGATGGGAAGACAACTCCTACTTGGAAATACGCTTGAAATGGACTGGGCATTATAGCAATGGCCCTGTCACCGACGTGTCAAGCGGAAGCAACGGCTGCAAATGTCGACGCAGCCACAAAATCTGCAGCCTGGAAAATGACTGTTGCACCAGGCTCGAAGATTCGATTTGTTACAAACCAAGTAATTACTCAAATTGGAGTTATGAAGTGGTATATGGCGAAGGTTCCAGCTGGACACACTGCTACGCCTTGGGATGAAAGTGGGAATGTTTGGTTCAAGATCAATGAGGACCATCCTACCTTTTCGCCGCTGAATTGGCCTTCTTCCGGTATGTATTTTTTTCTCCTATGATTCGATTTTAGTAGAAAGTTAGGAATTAACACTGATAATATCAACAGGTACCCAGGATCAATACACCACGATTCCAGCATCAATCCCATCGGGCGAATATCTTATCTAGGTTGAGCACATTGCCTTGCACTTGGCGGGTTCGTTAGGAGGAGCCCAGTTCTATATTTACTGTAGCCAGTTGAATTGTGCCTACGCCCCTAGTGTCTTTTCCAGGTGTGCAGCTCAATCTTCCTTTCGGTACCGAGCATCAGGACCTCCGCAACTGCTTTCCCTCGATCTAGCATTTAGCCCTGGATGCCTCCATGCGTGGGTTCTCCACTATCGATGACAGCCACAGTTCTCTCTTACTTCTCAAGTCTCAAGAGGTTAGCCCTGTTCTCGGTAGCAGGAGACGGGTATACCGGTAAAGGCAAAATTTCCAACCTATACCGAATACGGAACAGAACCTGTTCCCAGTGAGAAACTACGATTTTTGATCTACAAGGAACTGGCAGTGCCAAGAATGTGTTTGGAGAACTTCATTGTTGAAGATTGGAAAGGAAAGCAGGCGGTCAAGGAGGTTCAAGACGAGATTGACGGGTACGGAGGACCATCTCACCAGTTCAGAGGCGTAAAAGCTGGGTTGATCATCGAATTCAAGTACTTGGTTCAAAGGAAAGAATACCGCATGAGGGCTATGTGAGGACAAATGTGCAGCAAGGGAAACCTGGAGATATCAGAAGCTTTGCTTGATGCGCTTGATCTGGCTGGAAACCTTGTGTGGCTCATTGTGCTGCTCGTGGCTGGGGGAAGAACAGGAGGGATGTACACTAGCTTGAAAGGACATACAGACACGGATTCTGAGGATTCTATTGATTTCTGCTCACCTGCGCCTTCAGCCTCATGGAGGCCTTGGTGTTGATTGCATTCCCACTCGTCCCGTTCCCGTTGCCGCACCGCTAAGCAATGTGGGGTTTGTCGATTTCGCTTAATTCAGGGGTAAAATAACCGAATGAGAAACCTCTCTCTCAACTATATTCAAGTAGAAGGTCGCGAACAACAATCTTAAGTATTATCGGTGAACAAAAAGCACAGCCTGACTTTGCAATCCAACCGCCTCCGATGTATGTTATGTCCAATAGAAATTGCAATAATTGATTGCATTTCAAACACGACAACAAATAGCCGAAGCCGGATGGTTTGATAGAATACCAAGCAAGTGGTGTTATTGAAGAAGTCCCCACTGTGTTTGTGACTCTATGTCTCTACCTATGATATAGAGCCTCTGGTGCCGTTGGAGCACAGGTATACTTTTATGTCCCAGGTTATAACCACTTGACCGAGTGGGACAAAGTCGGATGCGAGTAGCTGCCGCCTATCTGGAGGTGACGACTCCGCAAAATTGGAGGAGCTATATAATATCTACTATTCTCTCCTGCTCCAAATTTGATTCCAGCTGAATGGCGTCACAAGCAGTCAAGGAATATCTTGCCAACCTACGAGAATTTACGATTTATTCCCCTTATTAAACCCCATCACTTGAACAGAAGCATTCGCCGTTAGCTTTACCGACCAACTGACTGCTCTCCAACAATCCTTTCGAGTACCTCAGTGCCCTTTCTGTATTGTTTGTGTCCTCTTTGAGGCGTGATGTTGCTCTCGTGTGTGATTCGTGCCCAGAAGCGGATGCCGTGCTTTGCAACTCTTCGGAGAAAGAGACTCCACAGTCTCACAGATCTGTTGGCACAGGATGGTGTTAGCATGGCTTTGTTGCTTGAGATCGATAACTTAGAGGACATGATGTGGATTAACAAAATTAAATAAAAAAACACTCCCCCTCTCCAAGTCTCCTGTGGTCGCTGTCATGCCGAGGCTCTCCCCCGGTCTCGAGGGCTTCATCGATTCGATCAGGAAGCAAGGGAATCAAACACAACTTGGCCTCTTTAGTTTTGGCCTAGTCTCTCGACGCCTAGAAAAATTCAACCTAGCGTCTTTGTTCCTTAAGGCGGCGATTCCCGACTAGATCATTCTCGTGTTGCCTCAAGTACCGCAACACTAGGTGGGAGAGTTGGACGTGTCGGAAGTTACCAGCAAAGCCCTGCGCGCTAGTGTTAGATTGTACTTTGCATAGCGAGACAACCAGTTATAGAGCCATAAAGACCCTAGATTGTACTGGGAGGTGGGAGAACAATGCATTCAGAATTTCCTTGTCCTTCATGATTGGAATAGTGTAGAGCTTTCTTGTCATCCCTCTCAAAGCAATTTCGTGATGTTCGTAAGTTGTCGAGATGCAACCAAATTGCCAAACCAGCCTGATAATTCGAGAGGGTGCCTATTTCTACCGATGAATGAATATAAAACCCTTGTTTTCATGATTTGATTGTTCCACCCATCCAAGGGAGATTCAACTTTACATCGAAAATTCAACGAGAAGAGAGTTGTCTAACACTCTCAGTTTGTTGAACCAAACTGTTCTTGAACAATCAAACACGACCTTTCCCCAACCCAAGGATGGCAAAGTACGAGAAATTGTTTCGCGAAGAGGTCAAGAATGGGGCTATCCACCTGCATCTCAAAGACCTATTCATGAAGAAAACAGAGCGGATGGAGAAAGCAGCAGCCCCTCTTCCAAAGGAGCTTCATACTCCCCACATGCTCGATGACGAAGTGTAAACATATTTCAATGAATTTACACTCCACCCCTGGAATATTCCGATTATAGCTAACTCTACAACCTTTCAGGCTTGACAAAATAGGCTACACTCAAATGACCAATAGGCCATTCTACCTCGTCTCCCAAGCACGCGGCCAACAGAAGATCCTCGAATTCGCCCGCTACCTATCCCCATCTGAAACCTTCTCCGCCGGCCTCTGGCCCGAACTCTCCTCCACACAACGCACTCTCGCCAACAAAAAATGTCTCGTCCTGCTCAAGAAATCACAAGGGGGAAGCCTCACTTCCCACCTCAGGAAACGCGGAACCTGTTTCGACCTTGCATTCACAAGCTGTCCTGGTGGTGCAGGAATCCAACCAGGACCAATGGCCCTGCAAAACGATCCAGAAATGACAGGACTCAACGCTACACTGATATCGCTGTACAACAAGATCCTCGACCTCGCATTCCCGGACCGGGAGAAAGAAGCCTTTGCGCAGAGCTGGGCAGCGGAAGGATCCCTAACAATCGGAGAAGATAACATCAACGTGTCATCCATCCAAGTAAACTTCTCTCGCCTTGATGAAGCAATGGAGAAGGGATTAAAGTGTAAAGCACACATCCACATTGACAAAAACGATGACCCGACGAGACTCAGCATCGTTCTGTTTCTTTCGAAGTTTCCGAACGGTGTGTTTCCAGGACGGTTCAATATTACGAGCGCAGGACTTACGTGCTCGACTGAGACGTTCGGTGCGTTGGTGTTTACTGGCAGACATCCCCATTGTGGGTCGGGGGTTGGACGATATCCAGAGAGCCTTCCGTCCGATTCGAAACTCCGAGTCCGACTTCCAGACGGTATTGAATATCCTGAGCTTGACGACGAAAACTACCCTGACATACGCATCAACACTATCTTGTACCCCAGACGAGACTGTATGAAGCAAGGGACGACATCTTTGAGGAAGCTTTCTGATGGAAAGGCTTTGGGAGCTTTTGTTACTCAGCGCGCTCAGCGGGAATTCGAGGTTCGGCAATGCATCAAGCGTAACATCGGCATAGACATAACAATAGATGAGCTCCAGAAAGTGTTCTCTTGGCAGAATTCGAAGAGAGAGACATTGTATCCAAGACGATGGATCATCGAACTGGCTCTCAAGTACGGCGGAACACGGAATCAAGAGCTTGCAGACCGACATGAGGCTACTTTGGTTACTGGCTGTGGCGACAAGCTCCCAGCGGATGACGAGACGAAGAAGAAGAAAGCAGAAGACATCGAGAGAAAGAAGGAAGGGAAGCAAAAGCGCCGCGAGACAGCTCTCGCTAAGGGGAAAGTGCAATGCATGCAGTATATTGCCCGCCGCAAGAAGCAGTGCGAGGGTTACTTTTATCCGAAAGATGGAGTCCTCGGCTGCAAACGCCATCCCGAAGCCGGTCTCCTTGCAGCAGCTACCAAGGGCATAAATGCAGTCACAGGATCCCGAAAGCGCAAATTGAACCAGAGGGAGGAGAGATTCGACTCGGAAGATGAATATGACTTGCTGCTCAACGACGATAGCTACGACGAGGTTGAGCCTTCAAGTGATGAGTCGGACATGGAATGGGGCACTGAAGGCGGAGACAGTCAAGATGACCACGACTCTGCCCCAAAGTACACAGATATCAAGGTCAATCAAGACGACGGTGCTGGAATGCAAGTCGACTATCCCAGGACCACGCCAATGGCCAAATTGAACAGTAGGATTGTGGCGGCGGTGACATCGAAGCCTTCCCCATCACCCAATGACAACTCAACTGCAGTAGCTGACAACGCAATGCTACAGCAGGACCTTGTTCAAGTCCCTGTGGCGTTGCTGAAGTCCCTTGTATCTTCCATTGAAAGTCTTCGCAAAGATGTCGCGCAACTTACAGAACAGAAGAGCGGCCACTTTTCCAAGTAGGCGGAGCCGCGGAGTTTGTTTGAAGGCTGAGAATGGGAAATCATTTCAACTAGAGAACATTGTCAGGTGCTGGATGGCAAAGATGAAGGGAGTGATGTTTGGTAGTGGAAAGAAGATTTTTCATTTCCTGCGACTTGGGAGGAATATTCGGCGTTCTTTGGAGAGATGAACAGGCAGTCATTGTACTTGGACAAGCAGAATAATGGCTTGGGATTTGCACAACTAGATGTTCAACGACATCAAGATAGATACCCACAATACCATTTAATGGTACACCAACACCTCAACCAAATGATACAAACAGGTGGTAATTAATCACACACTGGTGTCCGAATCAGCAATCTTGACTCTTGCTTCTTGGCACTCGAAACCTTGCTTTATTCACTCACCATCCAGCGTGCCGAAGTTTTGATTGAAAAAGAATGAAAACTTCTGGGGCCTGAGCCTTTAGCGAGAGGTGGAAATTTGTCTACACATATACTCCGGCGTCCCGGGACCAAACGGCATACTCGGCGGCGTCTCTCCACTCATCAGCGGCCACCAATCCTGTAGTTCAATCTCGTATCTTTAAACGCAAGGCCAAGCACAAGACCGCCGCAACATCTTTCACGAATATTTGAATCCCAGCGGGCAGCTGTACCCTAATTCGTGACCACGATATCATACACAGCAACCCTTGACATCACAATGCCAGACCCGCCATGCGCGAAACGTTCACCCGCGACGTTCACTGCGGAGCCGAAGTAGAATTTCAGATTTGGGTCCATCGTGCCCAACCATAGGGCCGTGTTCGGCCAGAAAATGTACGAGTCCGCGTCGATGATGACGTACCAGTCCATGTCCGGCTTCAGCACCCACGTCTTCTCCAAGACGTGAAAAAACTTGTATTTAAGAGTCCATGCTGCAAGCTGATTTGGAGACTCGGGGCTCTTCGCGCCTCACAGGCCGCTTATGTCTCTTTTCTCACCCCAAAGGGCCTTCTGCTCACGGTAGAACTTGAAGTCGGGGTTATTGTCGACCTCAGATACGGAAGCGGTATCAAGAGCGTCGTGTATGCGGTATTGTTAGATGTTTTGTTCGAGATCTGAGAAGTGTAAGACATTCTTGGCGACCGGAGTGTGGTTTCCATCTGTGCGGGTACTTTCTCAACTTCTTCTGAGGCACTGGTTTTGACGGAAACGACCACATTCGCACCATGAGAAAAGCCATGGCATGGATCTGCTGAGCTTGGAGGATGACTCGGGGAAAAGACAGCGCGCAGGGTTCTCCTTCTGTACGGCAGAGGTGAGAGGGTATATACTAGAGGAAGAAGGACGCCGAGGGCGGTGTACCGGAGCCAGATGAAAGGCGATCGAGACACAGGCCGCCGCATCGTCAGCCATGGACTTGCGTAACGAAATGGGACAAATCTGTTGTTTATTGTGGGAGGAGCCAATGCAATCAAAGAGTGCCGAGACAACAAGCAGAAAAGGCAGAAAGGCATCTCGGGCTCGCAGAAATCTATGGAACATAAATACAAGAAAAGAAAGGGGGAGAGTGTGTGTTCCAAGTGATTTGGAAGCCCTAACCTATTAGAATAGGCGCCTTTACCGAGCTCCTGGGTGGCATAAGACCGTAAGCGCTGGTACCGGATTGCTGGGTCGCCGGGGAAGGGCTATGTTAAGCGAGTTTTGGGCGCCCCCTATCGGATTCGCTTCGTTAACGCTTGGTCGCTTTCCCTGTCCTACCAACGGTTTCAGCAGCCACAACACCCGACATTTCCCAGCTCTTTGGCAAGGAAACAAAATTAGATTCTGTTTCATTCCGATGTTGTTCTCTGATGCCAACACATCAAGTGTATATGTCATCACTCGACGGGGGCCCCCATCAAGTTGTATGATGATGTTCTTGCTCATTGTTCATTATCAGTCGATGAGTGCAATACAATGGCGCCTCATTTGTTTTGCCAGCTTCTCATAATACCTCACGCAACTGTTTTTGCACGGACAGGAAGCACTAGCCATTTCATCAACCCACCCGAAGAGAAAATTCCAGATCAAGATGCCAACATCAACTCTGTCTATCGAGTTGGCGACATTGTCAACATCGCTTGGAGCACGTCCGAGGGGTTGGTGAATTTGATCATTAATCAAGATAATTCCAGTCTGACTGAGCTAGATTATTTGCCAAATTCAGGTGCGTGCTTCATTCTCTCCCTTACGCGCAATGAATTGGCTAACTGGACTCTAGTGGCGCTAACACAACAGTCATACAGCTGGAAGGTCACAATCGACGGCAGCGACGGCGGCTCGAAGTTCGACATAGCGAAGGACAACCAATTCAACTTCCAATTATTCAAAATAAATGGTACCAAACCCGTGGCTTTCAGTACATTCTTCAACATCACGAATTCCACAGTCGACCAATATGGCAGCGCCATTTCAACATCTAGGGCGCCTGCGACTTTAGCGGCTAGCTCGCCGCGCAGCTCAGGTACGAACGCGAGTACGACGACAGCGTTGCCGTCATTTGCAAGCTCAAGCGCGCGCGCGACATCAGAACTTCCACCTGTGCAACTTCAAGACAGTTCTTCTTCAACGACAAGGGTTCCACTTGGCGCTGTGCTCGGGGTTGGAGTCTTCATATGTGTCGTTGCTGCTCTTGTGGCGTACTTCCGTCTACGGCAGAAACCTGCACAACGAGGTTCACACCCCAGCAATGATCTGGCCCCGCAACATTCTTCACGGCCATACAACGAGCTGCACGAGTACCCACCAGGATACTGGAAGGCTGTGACTGCGTTGAACTCGTCAACAAGATCGACAGTTCAAGCAGTTGAATTGCCGTCATGACTTATGATAAACATTTCTTGGATGAACGATCAAGTGGCTTATGGAAGGAAGACAAGGCATAATTTATATTTGTCACAGAGTGAAGGAGCAAGGCATAAATGAGTAATGAGTACCGAATGATAGAAGACTGTGAAAAGTACGATATGGTTCTCCGAACTTCTCTCCCATTTTCTTTCAACTTCGCGTGATAAAGATCTTGTACATCGGTGACAGTCACGAGATGCACTCAGTGTGCTGACCATGAGAAAGATAAGAATTGGGGTATATGTCTCCAGAAAATTGATCCCGAAATATGCTAAAATAGCGGCGGCCGTGACTTCTTCATAAAAAAGGAATGGAGGGAGAAAGACCTAGTTCGTGCGGTGTGCTTCAACGACTACGAAGACAACGGCATAAAGTATCGGGAATACAGGGCATTGGGAGACTTTCAGGCTCTCCAGCGTACAGATCAAGGTAGCAAACTTGCTACAAGGCCCTATATTTCCAGGCCCTTCCCCTAAAAGCACATTTACGCCTTCGACAAGGGCTACCACACCTTTTCAGGGCTTCTTCCCTGTACTTACAAGGGAGCCTTCGCTAAAGGGGCCTATAATAGTTGCTTGTTTAGCGTCCGAGCGCTGTAGTTGCTCTACCAACAGCGCTATAACCCTAGAAGATCTACTTACCCCATGCGAATGTCTTATAGCGCATCTTTACGTAGATTTAGGGAGCACTACCTAGAGTTATAGGGCTTGTAGCGAGCTTCTGCCATAAATTCACACCCTGTAGAGCGCTGAGGGTCAAAATGCCCTGTATTCCCGATACTTTATGCCGTTGTCTTCGTACCGCTTACCCAAGTATCACGCTTCCTGATGAGATATAGACTGCCATGTATTTCAACCCATCAATAAATCAAGCCTCGGACTCCAGACTCTCTGGAGGGGAATTAATACCCTTGATCCACTCAAAGATACTACCCCTCAACTCCACCGCGGAGACCTTCAACAACTCCCCTGCCTTCTCCATCCTGAAAAAGTGCTCCGCCCGATTATCCCTCCAATTGACCCTAGTTTTATACACTCTCCCCTTCCTAACCGTCCCGTATATCTCATTCTTAAACAAAAACCACAACAGTTTAGCCGTGATGTCGAATGGTTCGGCCACACTCTTGCCATCCAGAACGAACAAGCAGAGTTTCTGATCTGAGTTTTTAGGCAGAAATGGAGCGTTCATAACATCTGCACAGACGAGGACTTTATCAAGATGGCTCTCATCCTTCGGGAGTTCGTCGCCTGCTTTCCAGTCGCGCCAAAGCGGACGGCCATCGAGATCAACTCGGGATGATACTCGCAGGAAGGGCTCTAAGGGTTCGCGCTTCCCGATGCGGTATTTTTCGTAGACCGCGTGAACAAGTTCTTGCATTGCAACGCCGGGGCTTTTCTTGTCCTTGTCCACCTTCAGGACCATCTTGAAAAGCAGACCGGCGGATGTGGAGATGAATTCGTCGCGGGGAGATAGAGGATCGATACCCGTGTTCTCCATATCCAGCATGAAAGTGCGCCGTGCCAAAGCTGCCACGAAGTCTTGCCGGACGCTGCGTTTTAGGAGGCGCTCGATAGTGCCGAGCATGTCTTCCGTTGAGCAGTTTGGAGGGTTGAAGCGTGAACGGCGTCTGACAACTTTGCGGAAATCGGCCGTTTCGATTAAGATCTCTCGGGCGTCTTCTGATGCAGCGAGGTACGTCAATTCGCGGACTTGCTCCCATGCGTGATTGATGTAGTAAGAAACGCGAAATTGAGCGTAAACCCTTGATTCCTTGCGAGCAAGACTCGGTCTTTGTTGCTCAGTCCCTGTCCACTTGTCTTCAATGTACTTGAGCACTTCTCCACTTTCAAGAACTACACATCGGCGATTTAGGGCTGCTAGAATAGATCGAGCAAGCGTCATGGCTTTTTTTGGGTTGTCGAAGTCTTCGAAGAAGGTGCGGGCATTGTCGGCAGTGAGGAAGAGGGCGCGGACACGGGACTCGATATATCGTCCGTCCCGGACAAGCCCATGGTGAGTTCTGAACCGAGCAAGAGGATCATGTGGCTCTTCGTCCTGCGTGACTGATGCTGCGTCTGATTGTGGGGGACTGAGCATCTCGTCAGGCATGAGCTCAAAGTTTTGTGCTTCCACTTCTTCCATCCAGGGCTGAACCTCCCCAGCCAGCGAGTAGATGTCTGGGTCAAAGCCGAGGGTCATTGCATCGTTCATATTTGAGGAACTCAGCATTTTGAGCTGTCGAAGGATGTTGGGCCGGTATATGTCGCGAGCCCAGTCAAGGATGTAGTCAACGATGAGGACCAACTGCATAGCCCCATCTAATCCGGTGATATTTCCACCCCAGAGATGCTGGATCCACTGTTCATTGTTAGCAATCGAGCTGTAATTAAGGGATTGGGGTAAAAGCTCACGTAGTTTGGTCTGCCATCTTCCTCGTGAACAAAAGCAGCATATACTCTCCAGTCCTCGCCACGGTTCGCCAGAAACCAGATCAGTGGTCCTCCCGGGACGTCCATTGTATTCCCGCGGGTCTTCAGCAAGTCGTATTGGAGCTTGAGAGCATGCTTGATTGGAAATGAAGTCTGGATCTCCATGTGCTCGAAATTTTCTGGTCCCTTTTCACCCTTTGCCTCGAGGAGGAGGAATGGGAAAAGAAGTGGATCCCCCCCGTTGTCAGGGTTAATGCTCACTTGCAAAACTTCTTCGATCGATCGAGGTCTGGAGTGCTCCGACTCTTCGTGGCTGTATACCTCCTGCAGGAGCTTCTCAAACATAGTAGTTCGCTGCAGGCCGTGTATCCGGTCTGGCTCCTTTTTCGGGTTTGGTGTCTGCATGTTAACTTCTCCGGGTTGACAAACTGCTTCTTGGATCCTGGAAGAAAACAATTCACTCAATCCAGGGTCAAGGCTGTGCTACCACTCAGTATTTCCACTCATCACATGCAGATTGAAGATGACTTACAAATCGTCCAAGCGGCCTGATGGGTTGCATTTGCACAACTCCCTCTTTTGTTGGCGCTCGACTAGCGAGGTCGTTCTGCTATTGCTGGAGGTGGGATTTGACTCTATCTCAGACCTCCATAATCTTTTCCGGCATCGTTTACTATTACACTTAGCAAGTAATAAATTATAATCGCTTCGTGGATCACTTACCAGGCTACTTCGAAATCAAATCTCACAAAAATCTTAGACTCGACCTCGTATCTCCAGCCAGCTTCGTTACGATTTTCCCTTCGACATTTTGCGGCATATTGAACAAGAATCTTTGCTCTGTTCCGATTTGAAAGCTGCCAAGGTTTGTCGGATGTCTCGGTGCTGGGGGTATATCCATAAGTGAAGTATGGAGTCCGACCTAAAGCCTGAATTGTTGCGAACTTGTCTTTGTGATCCGTCGGCACATTCTCATTATTCGCGGAATCTCTTGGGTTATAGATTGTTGGCTTCACGAAGATTCGAGCTTGCTTCGTCTGCCTCTTAAGCTCTCGGTAGTTAGCTTTTGACATTGCTTTCTCAAAATTCGGAGAATCTGGTTCTAAATGATAAAACAGGAGAAGGATAGGACATAGACCTGAATAGCAATGGTTGGTTATTGAAGATGTTGCGATAAATAAGAGCGTGGACAAATGCATGTAAAACACAGCCCACCACAGCCCCGCCACGGTGTGGGCGATGCACGATGTTCGTCAGGGGCTACAACATGCGAAACGAGGTTGGCCACCATGACCCAAGGCCTCGGGTCGGGGCGCTTATTTGACCCCGCCCATTTGTTCCACTGGACGATTCATACAATGAGTGTATCAAATGGTCGGGGGAGGGAAACGATGGGTGAACCAATAACTGAATCTGGTGCCGTCTTTTATTCATCGCATGCATGCGATGTTGGCATGACACGCAGATCGAAGTGAGGGGTTCTTGAGCCATCCGCAGAGGCTGTGAGTCTACCAAGATTGCGAGACGGAGAACTGTTCCACTGCTACGGAGTAGAGATTGACGGCAGGAACTTAACAGCGTTTTGATCATTGATGGGTACCGCGCGGACTATCCAGTCAGGACCTAGACTGTCATAAACCTTCGTCCCTAATTCACCTCTCCAACTCTTTTTGGTAAACACAGTCGGATACTTAATGTAATATCGAAGATAGTAAGGTGCAACGTCAGATGGTAGATTATGTCGTCACGTGTTTCAACCCGTGTTTCGCCCCTTTACTGCCACCCCCTCGGCTTCACGGTAGGCTTCACGGCAGGCTTCACTGCTAATTTTCATGTGATTCTTCTTACTCTCTTGTATTTAGCTTCAATCTCCGCTCTAGCTAGTTCTCCAGCTAATCACCTTATTTTCCTTCGCTTCTACTACACATCCCATACTTCACCTCACCTCCCCTCTACCTCCCATCAAAATTCACTCCATAATTCACCACCCACACTTGTATCTCTGGGAATCACGTGTTTATATCTTTCTGTTGCACGTCGCAAATCTTCTACTAATCCCCCTCTGCCACTATAAAACTTATTCCTCAGGGTAGTAGCATCTATCACTACAAGAATTACCACAAGGACTACGAAACAAGATTTACGATGTGCAACGAAAACGCGCGATTTCTAGTTATGACTCGGTGTCGGCGAGATGAATGTGAATCGTTGATTGGGGTTCATTACTTTCATTAAGGAGCATAACTTCTAAACCCCCTACTTCCGTGCTGGACGAGGTTAGATATCCGAGAATGATTCGTTCATTCGGTGAAGAAGGGAAGGAGGAAAGAACGCGTAGTAGCACTTGCCAGCTACCCACGCACTTTCAAGCCAAAGCTTACGATACTCAATGGGAAGATAGAGGAATGCGCATAAGGTTAATTAGCAAAGTGTTCATTTATTCGTCTAAAGCCCGGTTACTTTGTATACATACTGGGACGTTCTCGCCATGTCCTGGCCGACAAATACCATTGATTCCTTGACGTCAAAGCGCCATAAAGCAGGGAATACACCATGACCAAAACGTCCTACAGAGCAGCCAGATCCAATCAAGGAATCAGATCAAATAACCCTACCCTCATCCTCCTCCGTACCCTCAATCTGCATACCCAACGCATTCGGAACACCAATGAGAATCTTGCCTTTCGGAACCTTAACTTCCTTCACGCCAAAGTTGCCAAACACCTTCAATGTCTTGAGGTTCGGACAGCTGCGGAAGATACTACCGACGACGAAATCGTTGACCGATTGGCAAAAACTGATGTCAATTTCCTGCATCTCGAGGTATGTCTTGTCTTCAGCGAAGACGTTCTCGAACGCTTCGCGCGAGATGTGGCGGCAGGAATGGACGTTGAGGTGCTTGAGAGTCAAGCCGGAGTGAGCCATCAGGGCTTCGAAACCGGCGGATCCGAGACCGACCCTGTTGGGGTTCTCACGCGGCTCGGCGGCGTCGATGTGACGGCATTTGTGCAGGTCGATGTAGATGAGAGGGGGGTTAAGCCAGCCGGTGAAGAGATTGGCGAAGCCGTCATCGGTGAAGGTGGAGTTGTCCGTCAGCCTGAGCTTGGAGAGGTTTTGGCAGTTGTCGTGGATATCTTTCAATACATTGTTCGTGAGGTTATGGATCGTTGCAAGAGAGAGAGTGCGGAGACCGGCGCCAGTGGAATCAAGTACATCCGTGAGACTGAGGTCGCCTTCGAGGAAAGGCATTTGTTGGTAGAGTTCGAGGCTGAGGTGTGTAAGATTCGGCATCTTCGCTATATGGTGAACGCCCTTCGTCGTGACCTTTTGGTTGTGGCAGACCTTCAAGCGATGAAGATTTGGGCAGTGTGTTGCAACCATCTCAAGTTGCTCATCGCCAAAGTGACCATCTGTATTGTAGACTTTTAATGCACGGAGATGAGAGCCTTTCTCGGTCAAAAATTGGTCCCATCTCCCATCATCAATCAGATTCGAGCCATGGAGACTGAGAGTCTCCAACTCGACAGTCGTGCCAAGAAGGTGATCCATGACCTTGTTCTTGAATTGAATGGCATTTCGGAGGCGGAGATGCTTGACTGTAGGAACGATCTGAAAGATGCGGATGAAGTCATCGGAGGTGAGCTTAGCAGCATCGTAGACAGTAACAGTATCGGAGCCAGGTCTGAGGAACAAGTAGAGGGTTTCGGGAGTCATCAATCGCTTCTTGGAAAGAATGGCGGCAATCTTATCAACCAATTCATCCGAGAGATCACCGAGGCTGTCTGCATTGTGGACATTCTTCGCCAGGGTCTCAATGCAGAGAGTCATGAGATCCTTTGCACCAGGGTAGATGCCATCAAGGAGGTTGCTTTGTAGTTGTCTTCGTGCTCGTCCAGCTGCAATCTTTCTCTTCTTCTTGGCAGAACCCTCTTCCTTGCCGAGCTCCTTCGAGCACTTGGGACAGAGTAATCCACCATCTGGGCCAGCTCGGCTGTAGGCTGTAACACTAAATCTCTTCTCGCATAACTCGCAATTCTCCATCTGACCAGGCAGAGGTGCCATGCTCTCTTCGAAGATTGCTCGGGCAGCCTCATCCTCGTCCGACATATCATCATCCGAGCCATATTGTTTTCTTCGACGTTGGAATTGCTTCGAGGCTTTGATTTTCGCAATCGCTTTCTGTTCGAGGTGTGAGCGAGCAATCTTGATAAGATAAGAACGCGGGGTTTACCTCTTCTTCCTTCTTTCTCTTTGCAGCTTGCGCCTTGGTCTCCTTGCGAGCTGGAGCCACCTCGGATTCAGCCTCGGGAGAGGGGGCATCGTCATCGCCATCGCCACCGCCATTCTGCAGCGACGCTCGAGCAGCAGCACGTCTCGCATCGGCGTCTTGTCGAATCTGGTTGGCATTGATCCCTTGGGACTGCAGAGTGTCAGTTGCAACGCAGGAGTACTGTGGTTCAGCAACTCACAGCCAGGAAGTCGGTCAAGGCTGACTGTCTGTAGGGGGTCAGCCTCTGCTTCCACAACATGCCCCACATTCAACTTACGGTCCTCTGATCTGCCGAGCCGGTCGCTGAGGCGGACCAGCTGGTGGTGGCATGCTATTCGGAGGATTGGGGGGATTCCTGCACTGGTGTCAGATTGAATTGAGGGTGGGGACCAGTTGTTCCTACATGTTTGCGCGCTGCTAGTACAGCCAGCCTGCTTGGGGGAAATGATCTTGGGAAGCACAGAGGGGGATGCGAGTCAGTTGCTCGCGGTATGGCAGTCCTTGTGATGGTCTGTCCAACAACGTCGTGGTTGTCTCTTCCCGCTCGATGTAGAGTTTTCAGTGTTGAAGCGCGAAAGGGGCCGAAGAAGGGCGTTTGGCCCAAATCGATAAGGGCCGGCGCGATGATGGTCCGCGTCTTAAGTGCTTTTCAGCTAAACGAACCAATCACCGCTGCGCATTGCACGTGCACCCGCGTTCTCGCGTTGATTGATTTTTTGGCAGGCGTTGCAGCCCGTCCAAGGGATTCCCGTTCTCCTTTTCTTCCCATCAACACCACGGACGGGTCGTGAGAGTTATCGTCACGCTCTACTGTGCCTACAACAACTCACTCGACGGCTGATTCCAGCAGAAGCCCCCCCCTTTGACCTCCATTGTGGTCAGAGCAGCTTCTGCGCCCTGCACTGGCCTGCGGATCTTTTTGATTGCCCTATCGTGGCTCCCCTGTCTTGGCCCGCCCTGTCAGGCTGCAACCCCATCAAGAACCGCACCGCCTCGCATTGCATGTTGGCATTGTATCATTGTCTTCATGAAGATTGGGTTTTGAACAAACACTTCAAACCTCTTTGACTTGATTCCGGCGTCCTATCATGGCGCCCGGAGCAGCAAGCCGGCCAAGAGGTCGCCCGAGGAAGGTCGAGAGCCTTACCAGCAGTGCTGCCAGTTCGAGGCCTTCATGTAAGTTCCGGCTTCTCACCGCATGATTCAAGCTGTTGCTGCGGTCTTCCCCACGCTTGCTGCTTCTTATCATGGCAAACCATTCTGACATTCGTGGGAAACAGCTACCAGACGCTCTGCCCGCAACGACCTTCCTAAACTCAACAACAAAGGCACTTCCACTTCCATGCAATCAATCCCGAATAGCGATGATGCCTCGAGTTCTGATTTCCCAGAGATCTCGATGATTAGTCAATATACAAGTGCGAAGAAGGCCGTCAAGAGTCGGGAGTCATTTGCCTCCGTGGCTACCTCCAACGACTTTAACGAGGATAGCGGATACTCTACACCTGCAACCAGTGCTGCTGTTACTCCTGCAGAACAACAAAAATCCTCTTATGCAAAACGAGGTCGTCGACCCGCAGGAATTTCTGCAACCGAGTTCTCTACACCAGCTGTCAACGCTGTTGCCAGAGCAGCTGCTCTGCGAAACAGCAAGTTCTCATTGAACTCTACCAACAAGAAGCGCAAGGCCGTCGTCCTAGATTCTGACGGTGAGGGCGGCGACTCCGACAATACTCCCGATGCTCAGCTCGCACGCGCACTGCAAGAGCAGGAAGATGCTGCTGCCGACACCATGAGTGGCATGGATACCGACGGCGTCGTTCCTCGACGAACACCTCGCAAAGTCAAGAAGATCCTCCCAAAGATCGACTTTGCATCCGACTTTGGCGATGAATCCGACGATGGTGATTTTGAGATGACAGACTTCTCCCCTGGTCTTGCCAAGCGACCCAAGATCGAGCTTGGTGCCAGTGGTTCGAATACTATCAAGTTCTCCTCAACCAAGAAATCCAAGATCATCAAAGACTCTGATGAGAGCGATAATTTTATTGCGATCGACGATTCCGTTGAAGAAGACGATGACTCGGACGCTCCCATTCCAATGAGTGGTGGGATGTCCCGAGCCAAGTTTCCTAACATCAAGTCCAGCTCAAAGACTACTACTCCATCTTCCAGCTCCACACGCCGCCGCGGACTCGGAGCGCTCTCTGGAGTATCAACCAAGAAGGACAAACTCTCTTCTTCTTCAGCGGTAGGCCCCTCCAAACTAAACCGACAAGATACAAAGGCATCCACTGCCAGCTCTGGTCTGATCAGCGATGCCCCACTCGATCTTGACGACAGCGATCTCAGCAGCTCGGAGTTTATCTCTGATCTCTCCGACTCCGACCTCTCAAGTGGCGATGACAATGCTGCCCCGGTCCTTGGAACAACTCCTGTCCGTTCACGAAGAGGTGCTCGTCAACGAATCAACCTGTTGGAGGAAAGACACAATCGTCGTGGCAGACAAGAACGTGCTCGCCTCGAAGCACACCATCCAGAGCTCCACACCATGTGGCAAGACTTGGATAATCTCCCAAAGATTGGCTCCGTCACGATTGAGCAGCCAAAGAACATCAATCGCGAACTCAAGCCCTTCCAGCTTGAAGGTGTTGCCTGGATGCAGGCCATGGAGCAGACGGAGTGGGGTGGCGGATTGCTTGGTGATGAAATGGGCATGGGAAAGACGATCCAAGCAGTCTCCCTTATTATGTCTGACTGGCCTGCCAAACAGCCCTCTCTCGTCCTAATCCCTCCAGTCGCACTTATGCAATGGCAGCAAGAAATCAACGACTACACCGATGGCACCCTGAGAACCTTTGTCTTCCACGGCACCAATGCCCAGACCAAGGGGATTTCGGTCCAGGAGCTGATGAAGTACGATGTCATTCTCATGTCATACAACAGTCTTGAGTCAATGTTCCGCAAGCAAGAAAAGGGCTTCAAGCGCAAGAATGGTCTTCACAAGGAGAAGAGTGTCATTCATCAGATCCATTTCCATCGAGTCATTCTTGACGAGGCACACAACATCAAGCAACGCACCACTGGTTGTGCCAAAGCCTGCTTCGCGTTAAAGGCTGATCACAAGTGGTGCTTGTCTGGCACTCCATTACAGAACAGGATCGGCGAGTTCTTCTCACTTGTCCGCTTCCTCGATATCAAACCATTTGCGTGCTACTTCTGCAAGCAGTGTCCCTGCTCGACTCTCAATTGGGAGATGAACGAGGACAATCGCTGCTCTGGTTGCAACCACAGTGGCATGCAACATGTTTCTGTATTCAATCAGGAACTCCTCAACCCCATCCAAAAGTTCGGCAACAAGGGACCTGGAGCTGAGGCGTTCAAGAAGCTTCGCATCCTGACCGATCGATTCATGCTTCGTCGCGTCAAGCGCGATCATTCCTCTTCCATGGAGTTGCCAGCGAAGGAGATCTACGTCGACCGTCAATTCTTTGGTGAGGAGGAGAATGATTTCGCCGGCAGTATTATGAACAATGGCACTCGCAGATTTGAGACCTACGTCGCTCAAGGTGTTCTTCTCAACAACTATGCTAATATCTTCGGTCTTATCATGCAGATGCGTCAGGTTGCTGATCACCCTGATTTGATCCTGAAGAAGAATAGTGAGGGTGGTCAAAATGTTCTAAACTGCTGCATCTGTGATGATCCTGCCGAGGAGGCCATCCGCTCTTCTTGCCGTCATGACTTTTGTCGCGAGTGTGCCAAGAACTATTTGCACTCTTCTGGTATGCTTGCATCCCTTACTTGATATTTTCATGCTGATAATTTTTAGAAAACCCCGACTGCCCTGTCTGCCATATTCCCCTCAGCATCGACCTCGAGCAACCCGATATTGAACAAGACGAACAAATGGTCAAGAAGTCCTCAATTATCAATCGAATCAAGATGGAGAACTGGACCTCCAGCTCGAAGATCGAAGCCCTTGTTCACGACCTCCACGAGCTGCGATCCAAGAACATGTCCCACAAGTCTATCATTTTCAGTCAGTTCACCACCATGCTGCAACTTGTCGAATGGCGTCTCCGCCGTGCAGGCATAACAACCGTCATGCTCGACGGCTCCATGACTCCTGCCCAGCGCCAAGCATCCATCAACCACTTCATGACAGACGTCAACGTCGAGTGTTTCCTCGTCTCCCTAAAAGCTGGTGGCGTAGCTCTCAACCTGACAGAAGCCTCGAAGGTCTTCATCGTCGACCCGTGGTGGAACCCAGCTGCTGAATGGCAGAGCGCAGATCGATGCCATCGTATTGGCCAAGCTCGTCCCTGCTCCATCACTCGTCTCTGCATTGAGGATTCAGTCGAGTCTCGCATGGTGCTTCTGCAGGAGAAGAAAGCGAATATGATCAACTCTACCATCAACGCCGACGAGACTGCAATGGAGAGCTTGACTCCGGAGGATATGCAGTTCTTGTTCCGTGGTAATTAAGCTGGGCCTGTCGTGGTGGAATGCTTCCGGTTGTCTGCTGAGTTTTATGTTTCCTTCTTTTTGATGCTTGCGTTTATGATGTGCATATGGGGTGCCTAGTTGGTTTTTATCCGGGGCGTTTGTTCTGTGCAAGAATGTTTATTATGCTTGCCCTTTGCGATCGGGAGAATACAGATCACAGCACGAGCATAGATTGCAATACCACGAAAGTCAGACTCCAATCTCATTTTCACTGGTTCCGTTTTAGTCTCCGGAGGTTAAAAAAAACGGCGGAAACAAACGAAACCAAGATTTAGAGCGCTGCTGCTCATCACTTCCTAACCACTGCCCAAACCTCGCACTCATACAAGATATCCTTCGTCGCTAAACATGCCACGCCCACCACTGTATCAGGCGGCCTATGTCCCTCAGCCTCAGAATCCATAAACTCAATCCAAGCCTCCCCCCACCCACGCTCGACAACATCCAGTTTGTCCACCTCTGGGTTGCCCGTCACTTTCACAATGTAGTGCCGCACCTGTACAATGTCGCGTGGTGTAGCGTTTGCGGCTGCCAGGCATATTTTGATCTTTTGATAGGCGATGCGAGCTTGCTCCGGGACGGCTTTGGGGTTGGTGCTGCTGGATGCATCGATGCCGGTCAGCCCGGCCAGGGTGACGAGATCGACGGAACCCGGGATGAGAGGCGTGATGCACAGGTGGTTATAGGTGGGTGGGGGGAGGGGGACGCCTTCGGGGTTGAAAGTGCGGGGCTTGGTGTCTTCTGTCATGCTGGGTATCAGGTTTCTTGGTGTATGTGGGGCAGTGTTGATGTGGTGAAAGAGCAATTCACATGTGGATGATTTGAGGATTAGCGAGTACAGATAGATTAAAAGGAGGAGGTTTGTTATCTCTGGAGAAGGGTGGGAGTATCACTGACGTTGCTCGGAGACGCTAATGTAATACGATTGACACAATGGACTTACGAACACGTGATCTCCACAAGACAAATCCACGTCAACGACATTTCAAAAGAACTAGGTCATAACACCCTTCGAATTTCAAAAGCCTTTTCCACGAAGGATAAAAGAACCTACCCGCCGCAGTTCACACTAGCGCCGACGATATTATAGTTGCTGCACAGGAGGCGCAGTTAAGCGATGAAGCTTACTCAACCGGCAGAGCGATAGAGGGTTCTGGCACGAGGAAGTCAACCGAGGAAGTCCAGGTGATCTGATTAGGTTGTCAAGTGTGCTGGCGTGCGGATCTAAAGTACAAATTGGAGCTTTTTGAGTGTGCTATCAGAGTGGGAATTCTCTTTACGTCAGTCAGAATCTCTCTTGTTCCGTTTGTATGTAAGAACTACCGCCTTTACCCTGCGTTCACTTTCCTGGAAGAATGTCCTCCAATAGTTAGTACATTAAGATGAACTTACCCTGGGGCTAGGAATCTCAATGGATAAGACTTAGAAGGACATAAAATAGCAGACTTTTGGTAATATACCAGAACCCAACGTCTATTTCCACTCACTATTTGGAACTGACCTGAACGCAGAGCAAGGGGGCAGCTCTTAATAAGTAGTGTATAACCCATCCGTAACTCACTGTCCACCAGTCCCCAAAACATGCCGTGTGGACCTATCTAAGCTTCGACGGATAATCCGTCCAAGTGACAAATCAATCTCCCCCCCAACTAACTTTCAGGTAAGACTTCGCTTGCGAGTCAATGCATCCCAATTCGGTCAAACACTTCACTTCAACAAGTCAAGCATCCCTCTAGAATCAATAGATTCAGTGTACACAAGTACAATAAGTATCAATCGAGACAACATAAATCAACTAAACTTATGATTTCCATCTACACCAAATCTAACATCTCACAAAGAACCGGTCCCCAACCCACGCTCTCCAAAAACTCACAAATCCAACAACACCGCGTTCCTGACAATAGAGAGTTGGGTCTATATAAAAGAGCAAGTTTGGCATGTCTTGATTCTAAGACGAAGCAGGAGCGACAAGATGCGGGTTTTGGGTAGCAGGACGACGGAGGATAAGAAAGGGAGAATTCGGGCCTTGGCGGCGAGTATAGAGAGAGCAATTAGTAAGGCAGGGACTGGCGTGGGAAAGAAGGTGCCGGATCATAATAAGTCGCAGATTAAGGGGATGTCTGATGACAGTGAGAAGGGTTGGGATGCTGCAATAGGATTAAGGAGTACGGCAAAGTTACTGGTCGGTAGGAGGGAGTGGGTCTGGGAGTCAGGGGTTCTGGTGTTAGAATAAGGCTGCACTTGCTGGATGCAATTTCAAATTTTGTTGTAAATCACACTGCTTTAGCTCCTTATAATTCTTTCGGTCTTCAAAGCCTGTCCATTTCCCTAATCCTTCCGTCCTTCCGATTCCTTCCGCTATGAAGCGTGCCCCCCACCCAGCATGCATCGCCAACCTCCTCCCATTCTTTTTCTTCATATACTTCGTCATTTATTCTGTTCAGATGTGATTCAATGTGTTGATATGTCCCCGCGTTATCTGTCTGACTAGAAGAATGCGTTGGAGAGGGAATTGGCGGTGTGTGCTTACAATAATCCAAAGGCAGAGTGCTAGGAGCTAGAGATGTGCGGTGCTGAGCTGCGTCATTTGAATATTACCTCTCGATTCTATCTCATTGAAACTCAAGTGTCCGGCTCTCTGCTCTTGTCTCATGCCCTGATTCCCAAGTTTCACGTGGTTTTTAAATCAACCCAAAGGGCGACGAGTCTGAAACTTCTGTCCAAGGTAAAGCATAGGCGGCAGCATAGCTCCGCCCACGAAATTTAGATCTCTCTCCGCCGAAATTCGGTCGGGTTCGTAAGATCTTGTGTCAGTCTCGGCATCCGGAGGTAGGCATAACTCCGCCCAGAATGTCCAGATCTAACTCCGCCGAGAAATCGGTCGAAACGGACCTGCGGAAGTAAGATTGATAAGCCGAAGGCTCCATCACGGCACGTGACGCCATGTGAGGACACGGTCTGATTGGCCGAAGTCAACACCAAATCTCACATACCGCCCTACTCAGCACTAAAATTTTCATATCACAACGATCCACTTCCAGGTTCTCAATGTCCCTTGTATTATTGTACCGATGCTACGAAAATACGAATCTCGCGCTCGGCGGATGAGTCAACGCGGCTTCAACAGCTGCTGTCAGGGCGGGGCAAATGTCAGCCATTTAGCAACAAAGCAAAACATGCTGTTGCACGTACGGACTATGAAGTTGACCCGTCCTCCGGTTAAAAATGACACACATAGAACGACCGCTGCTTGCCTCTTTTCTTTCTCATGCTAATTAATATTCGGTTGAATTTCCCACGACTCTGCACGCGTTCAAGTCTTCATTCCAACTCAATCGCGGCATCATCGAAAGCTTTCTTCCACAACATATCACAATTTCATTCCGCGGAATTTCAACAGACTGAAATCATGAGCACGTTAGATGTCGAGAGGAAGGAGGTTGGGGAGCCAGCTTCAGACGCCAACACCATGGTAGAGAAGCGCGAGAACGACACCGAGAATGAATCTTTACAAACACTTGAAGCAGACGGACAACTGCCAGAGGACCAACTATCCCCAGACGACTATCCCAAAGGACTACAATTCTTCTTCATTCTTCTAGCTCTAATACTGTCCATTTTCATGGTCGCGCTGGACTTGGTATACCTTCCTTAATCCTCCAATTCCAAGACACCTGCTGATTATCCCTCCAGACAATTGTCGCAACCGCGATCCCAAAGATCACAGATGACTTCCACAGCGTCTCCCAGATCGGGTGGTACGGCTCAGCCTTCTTCCTAACAGTTGCATCTTTCACCTCGCCCTGGGGAAAGGCTTTCAAGTACTTCCCTCTGAAATGGACCTACCTACTGGCCGTCTTCATCTTCGAACTAGGAAGTCTCATATGTGCCGTTGCTCCGAGTAGTACGGCCCTGATCGTTGGACGTGCCATCGCCGGTTTGGGCGCTGCTGGAGTTGCATCTGGAGCATTCATTCTCGTCGCGTTTATTGCCCCCCCAGACAAACGACCAGCTTATCTAGGACTTATCGGTGCCTCCTACGGGATCTCAGCGGTTATTGGGCCGTTACTTGGTGGGGTGTTTACTGAGAAAGTATCCTGGAGATGGTGCTTCTATATGTAAGAAGGATCCCGTTCAATGGTGAGAACACAAGCTAACGGAAAATAGTAATCTCCCAGTTGGCGGTCTCGCCGCTGCTATTCTTGTCATCTTCTTCAATCTGCCAGCGCATGTCAAGCCCGCAAAGGCGACACTCAAGGAAAAATTCCTTCAGATGGACCCGATCGGCATCATACTCATCATGGCCGCTGTCGTCTGTTATGTTCTCGCTCTGCAATGGGGTGGAGTAAACATGCCATGGAGCTCCTCGAAAGTCATCGGTCTATTCGTCGGCTTCGGTCTCCTTCTAATCTGCTTCGGGATTGACCAATACCTCCTCGGCGAGCGTGCGATGCTTCCAAAACGGCTACTAAAGAACCGCTACATTTGGCAAGGCATGGCCTACGCTTTCACCATCGCGGGCTCGTACTTCCTCGTCCTCTACTTCCTCCCCATCTACTTCCAAGTTATCGACAACGTCTCACCCATCCAATCTGGCGTGCGCAATCTCCCCCTCATCCTCGCTATCACCCTCGCCACTATTGTCTCGGGCATCGGCATTACCGTCACAGGTCGCCCCATGCCATTTATGATCATCGGCGGCGTCCTCGGTTCCATCGGCATCGGTCTCCTCTACACTCTTACTATCGGCTCCTCCTCCGCTGCCTGGATAGGATACCAAGTCCTGGTCGGCCTGGGACTTGGCCTCGGCTTCCAGGTCCCTGTCTCAGCTGTCCAGGCTACGCTCCCGCAAATCGACATCCCCACCGGAAGCGCTATGATCATCTTTGTCCAGACTATCGGCGGTGCATTCCTCGTCTCCGCAGGCACATCTGCTTTCCAAGCAAAACTAACTTCTTCCCTCCAAGCATCGGACACGAATATCAACCCGATCACCGTCATTGGCACAGGAGCGACGGATATCAGGAATGTGTTCTCGCCAACGGATTTGCCGTTTATTTTGAGAGCGTATGTGAAGGGTATTCAGACTGCGTTTATTGTGGCGGTCACATTGGCTTGTGCGTGTACCCTGCTGGCTTTTGCGACGAAGTGGCAGAAGCTTCAAGGGCCGGACGCGGGAGGGGATGTTGAGGGGGCGATGGCGGATGGAGAGAACGCTGAGGCGAAGGCAGCGCAGGATGCTAATAAAGCTTGAGTTTATCTACTGGTGTTTATGACGCTTTTTATAATGTATGGGCGGCTATACAGCCGTGGGATGCATTTGTTTATTAGACGGACTGGGATTGTTTCCCCTGCTCTAGAGATCTAGAAGCTGGGAGGATGGTTTTGTTTTGAGACGGAGTTAATGTGTATAGAGTCTAGCCCAGGCTTGGCAATAATACCTGAGGTAACCTGTCGATTCTGGAATCGATTCTAAGCGAGAGTCGCGGACCCCCCTGTCTAACCCCTTTAACTACAATTCTTATTATACTTATTACCTTTAATGGAAAAAGCAAGTACAGCATTATAATTATGAACATTGCTTTAATAGTTTAGATATTTTTATAATTTTTTTAAGGACTTTAAAAAAGTCGGCTTTTTTGGTGTTCCTTACCCCTCGCTAGCTACCTTATCCAACCCCTCTCGTAAAGTAAAGTAAGTACCTTTACATATAAATTTACTATGTAAGGTACTTAGCAGGTTTCTCGCTTAGCATCAATACCGGATCAGTACGGATTAATCCTACCAATACTAATTGATACGAGGGGTATTGAAACTGGTATTGATACCTCAGGTATCATTGCCAAGCCTGGTCTAGCCTTGTACGGAAAGCCGTAAGGATCAAGCTTGCTAATACTACTTAAATGTCCCTTGCCCAATGTGCCCTCCTTAATAATGAAAAACAACTCTTAACTAGAATGAACAACGAAGCTAAAGTTCGCCGATCAACCAAATCAGTCGTACTGTGGATGGCGAAGGTAATGAGCTATAAGGATATCGAGGAGGCACGAATAAAGCGTGCAGCGAAAGACGCCACAAGGGGCAAGGGCAAACGTGGTCGGAAGCGTAAGAGTATTGAATTAGAGGCAAACAAGCCAGAGCCAGATGAGCCAGAACCAAAGCCACAAGTGGTACGGATAATCGAAGCTCCAGGGCCATGGAGAGCACCAGTGGCGCGGATGTACTAAAGCGCAGGGTACCTAAATAGCTGTACCCTGAAGTCGAAATCGGTGTCGTGCTTCCTCTCTCTGCGTGATAAGAAAACATTCCTGTATGTTAAGGATAATAATAACGCTACACTTTATTCGGGATAGTCTAGGAATATACATAAACCAGACTCAGCTATCCTGCTCTGTCAGGCTCACGTGGTATTAGCCTCTTAAATCAGGTATACCAAAAGTAAGCCTGGTACTGTAGCAGCCATCACCGATGAGGGTAGAAGATGCAGTATATTCCGACGTGATCCTCACCCTTCAACTCATCTTGAAAATAATTGCCTGAAAGTATCTAGTAAGAAACTCGTCTCTGCCGCCCATTCCTGCACAAGCAGTGCCACCCAGGCTTCTCCAAACAGCAATTTCCATCTACTCATCGTCGTTGATATCGATGACCGTCTGCTTCCATTTGCGAGCCGGGACATGACGCTGGAACAAAATGTCAATCTCACGGAAGGACCTGTGCTTCATCTCTGGAATCCAGATCCAAGCCATGAGTGTGCAGACAAAGGCGGTGCCAGCCCAGACGTAGCCGCTCTTGCCGCCCAGGTTCCACTTATCAGTGTTGAGCATGTAGCTGGCAAGGAAGATGCAAGGAATATTGACCAAGTAGTAGGCACCTCGTCCGATACCGGTTGTCAGTGGCCTGAGACGAACGGAAGATGTCTCGCCGATGATGACCCATGAGGCAGGGGCGGGTCCCAAGCAGAACAGGACGGAGACGATCAAGCCAAGTGATGCTTGCGCATTGCTAGCCGCCTTACTAACGCCAACTGAAGCCGCAATACCGAGCGCGATCAAGAATGCACAGCTGATGAATTGACCATAGACATAGATGGTGCGCCGGCCGAGGTATGTGGTGAGGACCCAAGAGAGCATGACCATGATCCACTGGAGGGCAGAAGTGATGAGACCAAGTGCAAATGCGGTGTTGTCTGCCATGCCGGCCTCTGAGCTGGTGTTAGTCTGCTATGAGGTTGCAGGAAATGGTTGGACTCACGTTTGAAAAAGTAAACAGCTTGGTTAGCGATCAGATTGCCCGTCAGATTCTGAGATGCGTACACACCGCACACAATCAATGTGCGGTAGCGATCGGTACCTTTCCACAGTTCAACGAGACTGGGCTTCTTCTCGCTCTTCTCAAGCTCGATCGTGCGACGCATCATTGCGACTGCGTCAGCGGGATTATCATTTGCACTCGCGCGCCCAAGGCGTTTGACAGCCTTCTCTGCCTCCTCCAGACGGCCCTTTCGTACGAGCCACCAGGGTGATTCAGGCGCAATGAAGAGTAGGATAGCGAGAGGAGTAGGAAACATCCACTGGAGTGCAATGGGAATTCTGGTATGACTGTTAGTACAGTGCTCCTCGATGGCATCTATGGGAGCGGACGAACCTGTACGCTGTGGAGTCACGCTTGGATTGGTAGTGGTAAGTGATACCACCGACAATGATCGACCCAATAGCCCAGAACATCTGCAACATCTGCGTCGCTGGAGCTCTCAATCTCAGTGGCACAATTTCGGCACAGTAGGCGGGTGCATTGGCGATAAAAATGCCCCACGGGATGCCTTCCAGGATCTGGGCTGCGAAAAACATCCCCTGGCTGTTGCCGAAATAGAAGATGAAGATGAAGGCGTTCAAGAACATGAGACCGCCAATGGTTGTCCACCGATATCCAATCCAACTGGTAATGGGACCTGCGATGAAGACACCGATGAAGGCACCGACTGGTCCGCTACACTGGAATGCTGACTGCCATGAAGCTTCGATAATCCAATCTTGTTTTTTGTCGCTGAATACACCGAAATCCTTGGCGAATTGAGCTGTGGCTATGAACTGTCCCATCAAGAAAACACAGTATGACTCCATGATCTACGCAGCGTTGGACAAATGATCTGCCTATCATGGGCAAGAGCTTACAATGGTGCATGACATGACGAATGCCCACCAGGTGGCAGCGGGATAGGCCTTGACAGCCTGGAGCACAGTCATATCATGTTCGATCTTCTCGGCATCGATGGCGCCCGTTCTGTCGTAGTCGACCTTCTCGTCGACATCGTAGACAGCTCCGCCCGTGGAGGCGGGCTGCGCCTCGATCTCCGACGCTGAGGTCGGCTTCTCTGTGGTGACGTTATTCATGTTGACGATTTCTGAGAGAAACGTGAGAACGAAAGAGAGGCAGGCACGACTGGGTTTTTAAAGCTTTATCCCTGCAACAACACGCTCATGATGGTAATCCCGATCTTAGCTCAATTGAGTGAAGCTTGCTCCGGACCTTGACCTCCACAACCCAACATCACCACTCAATCACAAGTAGGGTCATTTTCCCGGGCACCCTGGTAGCAGCATCGCATCCGCAACGTCGCATTTGCCTCGCCATCGCTTCGATCAAGCTTTTTTATTAGCTATAGCGGATATCGGTGCATCTTCTCCCGAGTCGCCCCAGGGCCTGCGTGTAACGATGTAATTTTAATTATGGTGGGCTCTTGTCGAGCGGGGTAATCTGATACGGGTCGGAAGTAGATGCACCGGTCCCATAGACTTTCTATTCTCAATTCGTGTGATATTGTACCTCTTGAAGTCAAACATCAAATTACATTTGCAGTAATCTATGGAAGTGACTAAAAAATATCTCCGCCAATCTGTAAGGGCTCTAGCTATAGAGAAAGGCAAATTTTAACCTCTCAAAAGGCAGCAATCAGGAAATTTTGAATTCATTTAAAAGAAACCTGATTTTGTGTAAGAGTTATTATGAGAGACAAAGGAATAGCGAAAAATGGACTGCGAGACATTGGTCAAGGTGGCCCACCCCTGATCAAGAAATATCAAGGAGACCCACTAGGTATTCCGAGTCTCTTGCTCCTATTGGTGGATAATGCTGATGCTAGCATTCCGGGCTGGGATCAAGTCCCAACTTTTGGATAATAACCGAGGACCTTTTCCACGTATTGTAATAATAGGTCGGGCTATTGTTAGCGCGAATATGGAGAACATGGGGCATCCAGTGCGGGGTTGTTAGCGCCTTGGCTCGGCGGCTCCACGGCCATACCATACTGAAGTTCATGCGATTAGCTCGCTTGAAGAAGAATGGAGTGGAACCTGGCACCATTTAGCTAGATGAAACGGCGATTACACTGTTCATGGTCTGGGGCGTGTTCTCGTTCTTACCGATGGTCCAATGCACGTGTAGCATTTTAGTATTCCCACTCAGGAATGGGTCAAGCTTCTACTATGCCCCGGCTTGTGGCCTCTAAGTGGAGGAATTGGGTCCCTGCGTCCGGGTGGCACGGTTCTAAGTCACTCATCATTGGATCCTACTGACCACAGCCTGACAAGTTCCGAATATGGACAGAGGTCTCTCAAGCGCACCTATACAAAACCCGCCAAGCTTATGTGGCTTGCAAAATCCTCAATCTGCCCCTTGTGGTACTACAGTGTAACCTCGATATAAGGATACCGAAATTGTCCCCAAAAACTAAGGATAATGCGAGGTATCCTTATATCGAGAATCACGTGCAAATATATAAAAATAGAAATATCACCAGAATTTGAAGATATATAAATAGCCTCTTTACCCTAACGCCTCACAATGCCCCAATCACCCGTCATTATACCGTAGAAATTGACGAGAGTGGGTTTGGCGCTAGCAGTATCTGGAAGGTCACGTGTAGTTGTGTGCAGATTATAATATCGCACCATTAACCGTAGCAACCTTCCTACTTCCTAATTAATTATTAAACTAATATAACTTATACGAGTACATAGTAGCTTGACGTTCTGACTAGAGCACGCGTCTCAATTAATTTTTTCACGCGAATCGCTTCATGATCGTGTGCAGTCACATGATCTCGATGCAGCATTCTCGTCAATTTCTACGGTATCTCACGTTCTATAAAATTTAGGGTAGCTCCTTTCGCACTAGCGCAGAATTTTTGGTTCTGAAAAAGTTTCTGGGAAGCTTTTTTTTTAGTAACCTTCTTCTCTTAGCAAAGCTAAGAAGTACGAAGGCAATTACGATGTAATTTCACCTTAAATTGTTGATGTCGCATAGAACCGAGGCTCCACCCACAAATCCTGATTGGACTTCCATCTCTCGTGCTGTGTAACTTCAAGATGGCCTTCTCAGCGACTGCCACGTCGAGGAAATAATCCACGCTTATGGAGCCGCCCTTTCGCAAATTTTCGATCCGATTTCCAACCCTCATACATCCAGGCGTATCCCCACTCGATATGATCGGACAATTGAGTCGCAACGTCGGAAATAATTCGATATAACAGCAGTAAATGCGGTATTTCTTGGGTACCACAGGCGTCGAACATGACTGATTATCCACTGGTGAAACAACTTCCTTGTGCGAACGTAGTGCGGATCGTTGGTAGCGAAAACTCGCTATGTCCCAATGCAGCGTCAAGCGTTTGCAAAGGCTGTTTCTTAGTCCAGGTCAGGACTCTCTCAGGTCTTCCCTTTGCTTGGCAGCCGCCTTCGTCTCTAACATCAGCCTTCGACGCAGTACTGTAGTAGAGAGTGTCAAGTAGCGCATTGGAGTTCGCACAAAAGCGACTGCAAATCTCCGCTGACAAAGAAAACATGGAAGCCGTCGTGGGAAGTTGAGAAGCGACTGCCATCATTCATCACGACGAATGGGCCTCCTATTGGGATGATACCGTATGGAGCGGAGAAGTATCTGTGGGGAAACGTGCCAGCTTTTGATGTGCTTGATCACAAGCGGAATGAAGGAGTCGACCTTCCAGAGGATCTTCACCTTCTCTTTGCCGGTAAACACTCAACCCCGCAATCACTAGCAATCACTAACTCTGCGAAGCATCTGGTGACATCAGGAATGTTGTGAAGTCTTTATCAGGATTACCGGAATTGTACGGTGGGGAATGTGGAATTGTTATCAATGACAGAGACTTCGATATCGTAGCACGGAATGCAATCCTGCTGCTAACGGCATTACACTTCGAGCCCAGTGAGGCTACACACATAATGCTCCATATTTGGTACTCTGCTCTCATACCCGAACGCGTGTTCCGCTCCCTCCAGGATCAAATACTACCGCTGATCCATAATGTCTGTGCAAAGATTCGAGGGAGGCCATTGACGTCCTTACAATCGAAAACATGGACATATGGTACGCGGTCGTTGAGACTAGTTCTACAAAGAGCAATGTGGGATCGTCTTCCCTCATACCTTATGGTCCCCGATGATCTGTCTATAGTCCAAGCTCGGGAGGTGATGGTTTCGACTACATTGGCCCCAGAAAGGAAAGACTACCTTGAACGCGCGCTCTATACTCGACCGCCCTCCTGGCGTGTCTGCAATACGAAGTTCCGCAAGGATGGTGTCCTGTTGCCATTTGGGTCATCTCGTAGAGATTTTGATACGCCTAATCCGTAAGTCTTCCATAAAGCATACGCTATGCACCGGCCGGTTGAACCATTTGTAGGACGTTCTATCAAGCGAAGGGTGTGTGGCCGATGAAGGACTCTGCAGATCCTCTCGAAGGCTGGCCGATAGAAGAAGTGATTCAAAAGGCACCGCTTGCGAAGCACGATATCTATGGAAGTCTCTTCATGTACATCCAAGACATTCTACTTGCTTTTTGCCGTCAAATCGGGAGACACAAGGCCTTCTTCGAACTTTTCCATGTCGATGCGCTAGAACTACCGGACATGGTCAAACAACGTAGTACAGCAACGATGTTTTTCGATAGGATCGAGGTACGACTAATCATTCTAAGGTTTCTTGAAGAGAACACCTTAACCTCTCCTTGGTTATTAATAATGTGTAGGTTTCAAACATAGGAGACCGTGGCTACCTTGGACCCCAGGCAACCCTTTCTACATTTGGTCCATTGCTCAAACGCAAGTCTCAGAACCCGCATGCCACTCTTTTAACACTGTTCTTGAATGCCATTCAGGAAGTTTCTAGTCCTATAGACCAGGTATCCTCTTTCAAGTCTGAGATGGACCAGCTGAGCAAATACCTTCCAGCGAGTCCGGCAATAATCCAGAATAGCGACACGAATAGCGCAGATTTTTTAAGACACAACGACGCACGTTTCCTGTTCCGCGATTTCGACAAGCTTTTTCAACGCTTTCATCTTGAGTGTCACTTTGAGGAGATAGGCAAAGCTGCAGGGCTCAAGGTTAAGCCAAACAATACTATTGTCGAACCATGGCCCATGCGGCTTAAAAAGAATGCTACACAAGATGAATTTAATAATCTCTTGGCCTCTGGTCATAACGGATCGGAAAGATATGTCGAGTGGGAGAGTCTGACTTGATCGACGGAAATTTGACGCGATAACTATAGTTACATCATGTGTCAGGTAAACAGCACGTAAACCATCAAAATGGTCTTTTCCTTTGATATCCTCAAGTTGACCTGAATCCTACCCCTGCCCGAAAAACTCCACCGACTAACTTACGCAGCGATTACAAAGGTCTGGAGGTAAAGCGGAGGGGAAGGTGGTGGATGATAACGATAGTGATGAAGATTATGAGAGGGATGATTATGGATATGGCTCGGACTACACAGCTTGTTCTCTGGAATGTGGTTATTGAGGGCGTTGTGATTATTGAGGTCAATGCTTGGTCAACGCTTGGTTGATTATATTTTATTCACTAGCTATATTTTTTAAGGGAGAGGGTGGGGTAAGTCGCGTCAGGGAGCCGAATCTTGCCCATTCCCAGCGCAAGCGCCTTGAGACCCAATTCGGCCCCTCAAGCACGATCTCCCAGATGGGCAAACCCAGAAATCACACAAAATGCAATGCAACGAACCACCTGTAAGCTTACTTCGAAACTATTTTTAGATTCGGAGTACTACAATTGCGACTACATCGGTTTGAAACAATACACCTCGAAGTGGTTGGATCTAAAGTAGGATACCGGTAGCCTTGTATTTTTGTAACCTCTGTAGCCATTCAAATAAGACAAATTCGAGAGCAGGCCACTCTGGCTTGCTTGCGCGCGCGGCAGTAAGTTATCGACCGTTTCGTGTATCGTAATCGAGATAATCGTATTTGGTACTCAAGGTAGTCGAGACTGTTTGCTGGCCAATCTTGTAGTGGAACTCTTGATCAAACCACTTGATTACGTCCTCGCGTATAGCCTTTGGATTTGCTTGCTTCCATCGCCGTACGGCACGTCGATCGGCCTCTGTCATTGATCTGCGCCTCTTTCTAGGCTGTTGGGGAGCCATATAATCGGTGGGGGGGTAATAGGCTGTAAAGGCTCTAGAGCAGTGAGATTAATGCTTAGAATGCAGGTTTACTAGTGCGTGAAGGCCTGATAAAAGCGGTAAATTGGCACATCACGTGCACGATTATAAGGATAGTGGCAGATGGACTTGAATCCACATAGGTTCGCTCTTTTACCTTCCTTGATTGCAAGGAGTAAGAGCCATGCATTGTGAGGTTTAGGTTACAGCGGAGTTGCAAGGTCACGTGCTTCAACAAATAGGAGAGAAAATATCGTAAGCGAGCTTAGCGAGACGTCCCAAAAAAAGGGGGGTGATACTAGAAGTAAGCAGTTCCTTTTTTTAACCGCGTATTGGGGGAAAGACCCTCACAATTAGTTCTATTATGTGATTTCCAAGTACGCTACCCCGGAAATATATCATTGCCTTTGGTACCTCTCAGTTTTCCCTGAGCATTTAAATGACCCGGGCGGGGCTGCAGCTGCTATGGTACAGCGAATTTCACGTGGGAATGTTTTCGTAGCATTTTCTATTTCCGTCTCTGAACCTGCGCTGTTGCTGCTTTAGTCTGAGCTATGGGTGAGCAAACTTAAGCCGCGGGTGAGTATTCCTGAGCACGGCCAGAGCACCCTTCTAATCTTTTCCTGTTCCTAAACACCAGTCACTCTTTTCTAAGGTTTGGGGGCAACGTTTGAGTTAGCAGTAGTGCATTGTTTTATTCTTATCATTCATCGTATTGCCGCAGAAACTCCAATGCGGCACTCAGTTCACTCTTGATTATCTTTACATGCTCAGCACTCCTCGGCTTGATCTGCACCTCAAACGGCAATGGTGCTTGCAGGATCCCAGGATTGTATGCCAACGGATCCAAATGGCGGACCTTCCCGGTTGTTGCATCCACCGGCTCCGCGAACTCAAATGCCCAAACAAGCTTCGCAGCAATGCGCCACATGTTGCGCTCTGCGAGGTGGATGCCAGGGCAAATCCGCCGCCCAGCGCCGTAGTTGTAGTGGTCTCTGTTGGCCCAATCTGCGTTACCGGCGTAGTCACTTGCAAGTTTGTCATGCCCGAGATAGCGGTCGGGATTGAAGGATTCGGCGTCGGGGTAGATACTGTCACTGTGGTGGAGGGCCCAAGTTGGGATGAAAAGGGTGGTATCTTTGGGGATGAGCATGCCTTCGTAGATATCATCTGTGTCAAGGGAGGTCAGTAGGGTTGAACTGACAAAGGGACGTGGGAACACAAACCTTCTCGGACTCGGTGGGGCAATGCCGTCACAGCACTGCGAGGGATTAGAATGAATTAGTACAGTACAAACTGTGGGGGACCTACACAGGGCGCCATCTCATGCCTTCCTTGACGATGCAATTAACGTAAGGTATTTGCGCAAAGTCAGACCAGACCGGTGATCGCTCAGTTCCGCAAACAGCATCGATCTCAGCACGCGCTTTTTTCTGTACGTCTGGATACAACGCAAAAGCAAGTATCAAGGTCAGAAGTTGCGCTGCTGTCGTGTCGGCACCCCCTTCGATGAGTTCACCCATCAAGTTATTAAAACCATGCTGCGACAACGGCCATCCCAACTTCTCATATTGATCCAGGAGATTATCGATGATGCAATTTCTGCGCACACCTGTTGCTCTCCGCGCCTCAACTCGCTGCCGAGCTGTTGTCCAGACTTTATCCATTGTTTTCCCAGCATCGATAGCTCGACGCTTCCAGAAAGCAGACCATGCGGGCAGGTATTGAAGGAATGGGAACTCGTCGATGGGTGGATTCGCGCCTGGTTCCATTGCAGCCGTCCACTGCACCCGTTAGCATTATAATTCCAGGCTGTAAAACAACACTGAGAGAAGTACTTTTCCCATCACATCGTATACACCCTGCAAAGATTTAGTTGGCGTCTTCATATTTAGGTTGGGAACAATCCGCTTACGTATGCCCAGAACGATTCAAACGTGGCCGCCCGATATCCGTACGTCAGCGACGAGGCCACTGAAGCCGTGTACCGTCGGATGTGATCATAGAATCCTTCGGGGGAATCCAGGAGATTGTTCATAAGAACAGTTGCTCTATTGCACGTCCTTTAGTTTCACTAACATTTATTTTGAAAGGCTTGGCTTACTCTGCTTCTTGGACTTTAAAATGCTTTTGGTCCAATTGGTTCGGTGAAAAGTTGTGGGAGATGATCTTGCGCTTCTCTCGCCAGATTGGTGCCATCTGCTCAAGGGCAAGATGATCCCCTTTTGTGAGTAGTTTACCAACATAACTTCCAGGTCGGTCAGAGTATATGGATCCTTTCTCAACCAGAAGCTTATGAATTGCTTTTCGATCGCAAAGAACAACGACGTTGGCTGATCCTAGCTTCAGAGTAAAGACAGAACCGTACTGTTTGGACCATTCGCGAAATCTGCGCAGCGGTAAGTCAAAGTCATGCTTGGCAAATCGATGCACTCTGGGTACTGGGACTAACTGCTTGTAGAGACCTGTGGATGGTATCTGATGTGCATTGCCAAGAATAGGAATGGTTGGTGGCCCAGGTGGCATTCGCGAGTCTCGCTTTCCAAGATTCAGTGCATAAAACAGCCCTAAAGCAGCAACCCCAAACAAGGCATACACGGTGATTGGAATGTCCATGTCAAATATCAGAAAGAAGAGAATCTTCAATGGGGATGAGAGTGACCAGATTCTGAATTGGAAATAGAATATATGATATAGGGGAAAGAGACAGAAATTAAACCCAGGTTCATTTCATAGACAGATGTGGGCTGACTGGGGGAAAATGCGGAGAAGAGAGATACCCCGGATGTCACTCAAACCGGACTAAATTCGCGATAACTCATGCATTGAAGATTTGAAATCGGATCGCGAGTAAACTTTACGGACAAATTTCCAGTCATCTCGGGTAAGCAATCACGATTCCGGTTCACTAACACTTGGTTGGTGACAAGGTGTTGCGACGCAGGGAGCTGGTATTTGTTGATGAGGATGTATATAGAAGATCCGAAAGAAGATTGATGCAGAAATTACAGATGTTCATTGTGAAGCCAGCGGTGCTGACATAAGAACTCGTGACCTTCATAACCCCTCTCGCCTTCTATTCAGCGATCTTTCTTCGCGTTCACTCATCTCCTCCATCCCTACCCTTCACGGAGCGACTCCAAGAGTCAATCCTCCGTCGACCGCGAGAACTTGTCCTGTCATCCATTGTGAGTCGGGAAGGCAGAGAAACACAGTGACTCCAGCAATATCTCCTGCTCGTCCAATCCTGGGCCATGGTGTTGACTTTTGCATCAACGCGAGGATGTCTGCATCCTCAATATTCTGACGCGCCATACCCGTTGCAACAACGCCCGGAGCAACACAGTTAATATTGATTGAATCCTTTGCATGGTCTAGTGCCCCAGCGCGTGTCATGTGGTTGACGGATGCTTTGGTCGCTGAATATGCAACCTCGCCTGGAAAGGCGACCACAGCGGCACACGACGAAATGTTGACAATACGTCCTCGACTGCCCCAGATCGGATCAAATTCTTGCTTTAGAAACTGGCGGATGGCGAGGCGCATTGCTCTAGCAGTGCCAAGAGTGTTGATTGCAGACATCTTCGCCCAAAGCTCGTCGTCTTCGTTCGCGAAGTCTCGGAACGGCGCCCAATATCCAGCGCAATTGATCAGGATATCAAGGCGATGAAACTGGGATATTGTTCGAGAAAAGGTGCCTTCGACCTCTGACACTGCTGAAATGTCGACTTTTTCGAAGACTGCTATGCCACCGCTTGCCGTGATGAGATCTACTGTTGTGGTAGAAATATCGTTTTCGTAGCCAGAAGGATTGGCCTCCGCTCTCAAATCACAGCAGATGATTTTCGCACCTTTCTCAGCAAGTCTCAAGGCGATTGCTCGACCCATTCCAGACGAAGCTCCAGTCACCACTGCGACTTTGTCCTTCAAGGGTTGGAAGGACATGATTTGGAAGGACAAAGTTGATAGCTCAAAGATTCGAAGTACGAAGATCTGTGAATGTGGATTTTTCTTGGTATGTCTAACTGAGGTGGCCAGTTTGGCGACCTTCCAGGGCCCTCGTTATCCCGTGGACGGATTGATTTAGAAAAATCTGTCCGTCGATGGCGGATACATTACTTTTGCCAGGCAGGCCTTCCATTGAGCACAGCTGAAACCGATATTCCGTGTTGCCAGTTCTTGTGCAGGCAGTGAGCTGTACCTACCAGCAACGTCAGACAGAAGTTAATTCTTTTGCATCAACTTCCTCGTCGCATCCATCAATTATGGTCAAGGGAAAAGTTTTCACGGTTTCAGGAGCAGCATCTGGCATTGGTCAAGCTACGGCTATCAGACTTGCTGAGCTGGGAGCGAGAGCAATTGCTATCAGCGACATCAACTTGGTTGGGCTCGAAGCAACGAAGGATACCTGTGCATTTTGCCAAACCCATGTAGAAGTTAGTTTCTGCTAAAACATGGCAGGTGCGAAACTCGGAGCGCAGGTCGCAAGTCGCATTGTTGACGTGAGAAAAGCTGGAGATGTGACAAGTTGGATCAAAGACACTGTCACTGAGTTTGGACAGCTGGATGGTGCTGCCAATGTGGCAGGTGTTGCCGCTGCTGAAAACGGAGGCAGTACCGTCGAAACTGTGGTATGCAATTCAGTCGTCTAGTGCGGTTGAATCTCCAGCTCATGATCTATTTACCTCCAGGTCCAGAAGGATTGGGACTTCACTTTGGCTGTCAATCTTGGAGGTGTGCTGAATTGCATGCGAGCCCAGCTCGCCCACATCACCAAGCCACGAGGGTCAATCGTCAATGTTGCTAGCACCTCTGGACTTTTCGGGATGCCTGGGAACGCCGCGTATGCGACAAGCAAATTTGGAGTCCTAGGTCTGACGGAATCGGCAGCTGGTGAGGTTGGGTGGGAAGGAGTGCGTGTTAATGCTGTATTACCGTGGGTTTTACCACGCAAGTTCAGTGTCTTTTATGCTGATTTTAAAAGCGGCCCAATCGACACCGCCATCGTCCGTAACGGCGAAGCAAAAGGATTATGGAACCAAAAGATGCTAGGAGATGAGACTCTGCTGGGTAGAACTGGAAGAGCTGATGAGGTAGCCAACGTCATTTGTTTCTTGCTCAGTGAGGATGCCTCTTTTGTCACGGGAGGTAGGTGGCCTCTCCAGATTATGTGCCAACGAAACTGATGTTGTAGCTCGCTGGACTGTTGATGGAGGTTATGCTGCAGCGAGGACGAGAAGACCGCCACCAAACCCTGCACTTTGACACATCTAGCAGGTAGACATTGTTATCACTGAATATATCCAATATCTTGTCTGATCGTGCCTCGCGAGAGCATGCATGATGGATTTCCACTTTCTTGTTGGCCACTACAATAAAAATCATGTCTAATTGCAAAATTTCTACCTGTTCAAGTGATCTGCCCAATTTTCTAAATTATCAGGCGATCCCCGCCACGGTGCAATAATCTGCACCTTTCCGGAGGGGGCCCCGGTATCCATGCCGGACCAATTCACGGATATTCTCTCCGGCCCATCTAAGATAGTCAGTATTTGCGAGATTCAAATGCCTGGATTATGGGTCAACCATTCACACTCTGTATCTTTCCCATACGCCGTTTAGTACCCGCAAACTCATTCAATCATGCCATCAGCACCACCCTTTTTCGTCGTTGCGCGAGTCGTTGGAAGAGATGGAGCATTTGAACTTGTGAGGCCCTGGCTCCTCTCTGACTCAATGAGCTGAATTCTGATGCAATCTTTCAAAGTGGAAACAACGCCTCGTCCGCCTCTGCGAAGTGTCTGCCACAGAGCCTCTCGGAAATACATACTACTGGGGTCAAGATCTCGACGGTGAGCCAGACACTCTTTGGGGGTTAGAAGGCTACTCGCACGCGGTCGGTTTCTTCATCGGACATCCCTCCAGCCAGGTTTTCAAGGAGGAGATGGCCCTTGTTGATTCGGATAAGTTGCTCAGAAATGAACAAGGCCTCGCGAGCAAGGATTATGATTTGAAACACTATGACCAAGTTGGAGGGTATCTAACGAGGGAGGATGATGAAGGGAAGGATGGGGAGAATAGTTTTGTTGTTGTGATGTACTTTTGGGTAAAGGGTGGGAGGAGGGACGATGCAATTAGCAAGCTTGGGAATCTTGCTAATGCCACAAAAGGGGATGCAGATCTCGGGTTAGAGGCGATGATTCAGAGTTGCGCCGTATTCAAGGGAGTTTGGGATCAAAACTTGGTTACGCTGTGGGTCAGGTCAGTATCATCCGCATATCTTTTCTAAGACGTGAACGACTTGCATGTTCTCCTTTATAGCTTTATTAACAGTCGCTGGTTCGCCTAGAACCAAGACAGAGAAAGAATTCGATGAATTCAAAGTCTGGGATAGATATAAGAGTGTTGTAGATGTAGAACTGAAAAGTGGTGGTGATCTGGTGGAAAAGACCGAGGTTCATCGGAGCAAGGCTTTCAATGGGCATATTGATAAATGAGGGAATGTTCGACGTTTTTCTGAGGTTTCTATGACTTGAAATCATCTTTGTAGTGACAACCAATTCAAAATGCGTTATCTATGCCTCATAACCCCATTCATTATATCATGATTCATGTTCCATGACCCTCTAATAATAGGTGGTCTTTCATATTGCTACATATATTGCGAATGCATTAGTTGAAGTGGTTGGCCAAAGTCGTTCAAGTCAAAAGGATTGCATTTATTTGCATTTACACACCACAACAACCAGTTGCGTACTAAATAATCAGAAGGTACTCTAATGGAATTAGATTCAAACGACTTCAGCAAAACACTTAAAAACTTAAACAATCTTCTCAAACTACTTAATGTCAAACCCCTCAAACCCAGAAGCAAGAAGGTCGTTGCACTTCTGAACATAGCTTGGGAGTCCTCCCAAATAATTCAACATCTCTTTGGTCTTCCCCGGAATATTCGTCCCCATATACTCACTCTCCGTCAGGGGCAACAAGCTCATATTACCAATCATATTAACATGCTCTCTCCACGCCTTCTCGCTCCCCACATCCGGGTTCAAGAATGTATGGCCCTTCTCCCTCATGAAATCCATACTGGAAACAACCCATTCTCCTTGGAGCTCAGCGCACGTAGGGCCATTGCAGAAAGTGGTGGGGCCTTGGGGGCCGTAAGTGAAAAACATATTGGGAAAACCAGACGTCATGACACCGAGGGAGGTCCAGGTTCCATGTGCCCATTTTTCACGTAGGGTTTGCCCCTTTAGACCCTTGATGTCGATTGCGAGGAGGCCGCCTGTGACCGAGTCGAAGCCGGTTGCGAGGACCAGGATGTCGAGCTCGTGGAAAGTGTTGTCTTCCCTAATGATGCCTTGGGGAACGACATATTTGATTGCATTCTCACGGGTGTTGATCAGAACGACATTGTCCTGATTGTAGACTTCATAGTATCTCTGCTCGAGCGTCGCACGCTTGGTTCCGAAGAAGTACGGAGGTACTTCTGGTGCAAGGATCTCAGCGACCTCGGGTTTCTTGATGCGAGGGAGCACTTTACTGCGCCAGAAGGCGTAGGCATACTTGTTGGCTTCCTTATTCATGATGACGTCTTGGTAGGTAGCTAGCCAGAACAAGAGCCCTCCCTGTTCCCATAATTCTTCGAAGAACTTCGTGCGTTCCTCATCTGAGACTTCCAGAGCGGATTGGGGATTGAACTGGCGGTCGATTCCCGCGAAGTTGTTCTTACGGCTCTCGAATATCTGCGGGTATTTACTCTTGTCTTGATCTTTGCTATTCAACTTGGTCTGTCGCATGGGTATAGCAAAGGTTGGGCTCCGCTGGAAAACCGTCAAATGGCTGACATCCGGTGCGATTTCTTGGATGGTTTGAAGGCCACTAGATGCGTTTCCCACAACCGCAACCCTCTTGTTCTTGTAGTCAATCCCACCGTGGGGCCACGCCGAAGTGTGGAACTTCGGCCCTGCGAATGTGTCCAAACCTTCGAATTTGGGGATGTATGGTTCGGAGAATGAGCCTGTGCAGAGAATGAAAAATCGCGATACAAAGACAGATCCGTCATTGGTATGAACATGCCACTGATTGTTGATATCATCGAAATTGGCAGTGGTAACAGTGGTATTGAATCTGATGTCCTTCTTCAGGTGAAGTTTTGACTCGACGTGCTGGAAGTACTCTTGGATTTCGTTCTGCCCAGGATATTTGACACTCCATGACCAGTCTCCCCACTAGAATGAATCAGTCTCTAGTTTCAGCAGTGGAAGAAAGGGTACATACAAGGTCTTTATCCGAGAATTCATACAGCGGTACCTTGCTATCCACGCGAGCTCCTGGATAGCGGTTCCAGTACCAAACACCGCCAATATCGGCTGCGTTGTCGAGAACTATTGATTTGTAGCCCCTCTCTCGTAATGTCCTTAGGACATGGCATCCACCAAAGCCTGCTCCAACAACAATGGCATCATACTGCTGTTGTTCAACTGATCCCATGATGATTGGTGGTGTAAGAAAACAAATCTATCGTGCTCTTCCAACAGAGGGTGGAGTGAGTTCCTGGGGACAGTCTGCAATTGATATAGACAAACTGCTTTTGCATTGCTTTCGAGGCAAATTGGTCACTGAAACAGTCCGTGAGTGTGACTTCAGACCCCGCTCTCCTCGCAATGTTTACTTGATGTCACTGAGGGCGGATAAATTGTGCCGAGCCTCCCCTTAGAATGCTCCGGCTGCAGTAAGAATCGGTACAATACGAACCGCAGAATCACCCGTAGTTGAGTGGCACTTGGGACCACTCTAATTGCCTTCAGTAGTGTCTTATGGGTGAACGGACGGATTTCTTTCTCTCTATAAAGTTTCCTTCTCTCCTTGACATTGACGCGACTCCTCACAAGTGCGGCACTTCAAACGAACCTCTGCAAAGTAGCACCTGCTTTATTGTTCAGACTACCTAGAAATTCTAGCTCAAAACACCCTCAACATGAACAAAAATGGCTTTGTCAAGGAAGCTGTGAGTCGAACTTCCTGGATTGCCATGCATTAAATAAATGATAACCAGAATCTCCAACAGTCGGCATACACAAGCATTGACAAGACATATGAATGGTTAAGCATGTCCAAAAACAAGGTGCGTGTACTTGAGTCCCTATGATTTGACCTCGCCGAGATCCTCATTGCCCCTCAGGATCACAATCCCGAGTGGAAAGTCGAGGAACAAGAAATCCTCGACCAGCTCTACAAAGGCTGGCTTCAATACTGGAACCACGAGTCGGTCAACGACGCGGTGAACGGCATGGCCGGCGCTCGTCGCTTTTACGACTTCGATCAAATGCTGTCGTATGACATGTTTGGCAACACTCCGCGGGGACATTTCGGCGAGCATTTCGATGCCATCTTTCCTTATTGGGGTGACGGACAGATGGATTTCAAGGACATTGAGATCACATGTCTCTCGAAAGACTCGGCCTTCTCTACCATGTAATTCTCAGCCTCAGATTTCGAAACTATATCCTAACGAAAGTATGAATGCAGTTCCTAAATGCTGATGTTGATGCGTAGGATCCAACACACATGGGGCACAGCGGGTGGCACGCCCTTTGACACAACTTTCCGACGAACCGGTATCGCCAAGAAGAGAGATGGCAAATGGAAATGGATTCATGAGCATTTGTCATATCCCGCAGATATGAAGACCGGAAAGGCGGATTTCACGTGCGGACTTGATCCAACAAAGGCATTCAAGCTTCAGTAAGGACCGCAAACATCCCGCTCATTCCTAATGTCAAACCGAATCGAACAAGATGGTGCATGGGGTCGTTGTATTTAGTCTCGATGTAGTTGAGCTTGAAGAAAACTGTTTATGTCGTATGCCATGTCCAGATCCATTTCCGTGGTAAGTCCTGTGTCGAATATAAAGTCTTCGAAATTTTCATCCATATTGTCAAATCCAGCAAGTTGATCAAAGTCGACTCTTTTTGTTTGTTCGATTTGTGTCTCATGTAAAGCAGAAGGGTCAGGTTCGACGGAAATGCCAAGAATCTCGGTCTGAATCCACAAATTGTTTGCTTCATCTGAGCTCAGTGCCTGTACATCTGTATTGACTTCCTCTGAATCGGTCATGTTTGCAACAGCTGCAATCTGCTTCCCCTTGCTGCTTTCAGCCCTTGAATGGTATGGCTGAGGAGACTTCTTGCGCGCGTGAATAAGATCAAGTGCTTTCCTCAATATCTCCAGGTTGCCTTGCAGGGTGGTCGATGTTTTCCAATGTTCGACGAATTGCATGTAGTTGAGGCGTAAAACCTCAAATTTAGACTCAGTCAGGTCCTTATTGGCTCCGGGAGACCCAAAAAATTTATACACGAGCTGCACCGCGGCGGCAAGCCAAATTGTGCTCGCTAGGAAAGGATTGACATATTGAACATGGTGACTCGAACTACGACTGACGATCATGAGTATATCATCTGCAGCTTCCGCGTATCGACTCAGACCATCCGGATCTGGTTCAGATGGATTGATCGGCTCAGCAGGTGGCGTGGGTATATTCTCAGCTGAAGATGCCTTCACCTGACAATGCTCTCGCCGACCGCCCCCAAAGACAGCGTGGTGATACATCATGAATTTCGTTAACTGCATCATGACATAGATACTGTATATTGAGCTTTGGAGCATTAGAAGGGAGGAGTTGGAATCGGTGACTGGAAAACTGAGTTTCTCGTGATGATACTCTAGATGCGAAGGTAAGGCCATGGAAAAGCAATGCAACGCGTTTTCCAAGACACCGAGGCTTTCGGATATTTCCTCGCAAGTCTTTCCAGCATTCGATCTGACAGCCCTCATACTGGATCTTTGTTGAGGCAATGCAGATACTGGAACATGTCTCGTTCTTGGGTGGGAAAGCTGTTGCGCTTGCCTCATCATCGAATTGACAACAATAAACCAGGCTTTTGCTGATTTGTTCCCGCATTGTTGAAGGTCCCTCCACCGAGTCATGGCATCTGGGCCTAGGTAGCAGCTTTGTCGAAATTCGTCGCGGAACCAGAACTCGTCGTCGATGGGAAGCTTCGTTTCATTCTGAGACCAGTCAATCGCTGTAGGGCAACGACGTACCGTACTGTATGCAGATTAGAAGATGGCCTTGACAGAGTCAGAGAAGCCCCGACTTTTCCTTCTCATAGTGTGTCTTCAAGACAGCCTGAAAGAGAAGCACGAGGAACTCCTGCCCAGGATTGAAAATCAAGAGCCACGTAGAACTCACCTGGCAAAGGTGTCCATCTCCCAGATAGCCCACCAAATCCTCCTCTTTTCTTCGTCCAAACACCATGATTGCCCTGTCTTGCCCGTAAAGAGTATGTCTTTATCACTTTCATCTGAGTCCACCAGGTGAAGATCAAGTTCGTAAGCAACTCGAACACATGTGCCTAGGGATCTCCAAGCAAGCCCGCGGGCACCCCTTATCAACTGTTGGAAAGTTGAAAGTGCCAGAGCTTGCAACAGCACCAGTGTAGGCCTGCTATCTCCACATTCCCGAAATGCCTGGTCTATATGGAGCTGGGAGAGTGCCCTGAATCGCTCGACTTGCGATGCTGCACAGGGCTGGCCATGGTTAGTTGAGCTTATGTCCTGATCGTTGGTCGCTTCGACGAATCGAGTAGAGAACGAAAACATGGCTGCCAAAAGAGCTGTAAGTTGTGCCTGAGAGGTGATCGAAGCAAGTTTGGGCCGAAATTGGGAAGGGCGGAATAGCGAGAACGATGTCATGTGGGTAAAATAAGAATCTATGCTACAGAGGGGAGGTAGTGAGTTAGAGTTAGGCTAGAACAAAGGAGGTTAGAGGCTTTCACGTACAGGGCATTCAAGGTCTCTGGTGAAATGTACAGTGTTTTGCATGCAAGCGTGATCATATCCGAATCAGCCGATTTTCCCACGATCTCGGCTGGATTTGGGAAAGTTTCCCTATTTCCGTCCCCACAGATGTCGAAGGTAGGCTCGTGTGAAGGATGAACAATAGAGGACAGATCATGCATGTCTAAAGACTCGGGTTGAGGGATAGCGGCAGCCAGAGAACTTCTGGTAGGCGCACAGTCGAAGTTGCATCCTGACAGGAGGCCGGTTTCTTGGCCATATTGCCCACTCATTGTCTGCGAACCCACAGCATGGTTGGTGTCAGATAACTTGACCAAACCGGCACAGTCATTATCCCGGCCATCTTCAGCCTCGCCGGTGGTGCTTCGAGCCTCTCCAGTGCGAGCACGTTTCCGATCTCCTTGCTTTGAACCTTTGTTTACATGAATCAGCAGCGCAGATGAGCGTGGGCAACCAGAACACACCAAGTTTCGGGCCCGGCTTTAGCGGACCTTCACGATAGAAGCAAGTCTGGCGTGACTTCAGACACAATGAACACACAGGGCGCTCTCGACCACTGTTCAAGGCTTTTGTTTAGCGTGTGTGACTTAATGCTGCATTTGGAACATGGATACTGTTTGGTTGCCATAGTGAATCACGATCATGGTGCTGACTGACCATTTGATTTTGCGCCTATGAGTCGAAACAATGAGCGGGAATTCGACGGAGGGGAGGTAGAATTGGATATGATAGTACGGACCTTCGGCAAGCTTCACAGGATAAGCTGGTTGAGTGTGTCGTTGATTCATCAGATGCTGTCGGAGATGGAGACATGGCTCCACCGTGTTTGGATTGGATGCGTCGTCTTCGGAGTGCGGCGAGGGGTACAAATACCAACAGCTTCGTGTGAGTCGCTTGAGGTTGCTCAAGCTTTTAATTAGCAAAAATTGAGATGGTGATTGAGGTCGTGAAAGGGGTTCGGTAGTTGATGTAGGCGTTATCGATTAGAAGTAAGACCTTGCTTGTACTTGCGTGCACATGACCGTCTTCCTGAGACGCTAAGCTGCGCCGTAAAAGTGCGGGGAAGTAACCTAGTTCTAAGACATGGAAGCCCCATGGGGTTAGGATCAGAGTATGGGGTTGAATCAGAGGGACATTGAGGCCACTGACGGGGGACTTACTTTTCTCCCATTCGTGTTCGTGGTCCTCGGGTTTACCGCCATGCAACTTTTCCCTGTGCATCCCTGAAATTGATGCGAAATTGTACCGAGTACGGGCTGATTTAGCGACGCTAGAGAAGAAACTCCAAGAATGTGAAAATTGACGAAATCGCAAAATCAATAAAACACCAGGAATTAAATAACTACTAATATGCTATAGAATTCCAGTTAATAATATCGATATATATATACCAATAAATGATTCTGATACTGTATTCTATAATTAGTATATATATCCGTTCCGCTGCGGCCAGCTTGGGGGTGTTCGGTTCCGGAAAAACTAATATTCCGGAGGAACACCAAAACCATACTTCTGTGTTTACATGTAAATAAACCACTTAAACACTCAATTGCACCACAACCACAATGCCTGAAGATACTGTATTCGATTCTACCGATAAAGGGACCCTCCGGCCTAATGAGGATCCACTGCGCAAGCAGGGGAGTACCTTTAAGCCTATGTAATTACCCCAATTCGACTGGGAAATCAACCTACCTGAACACACCTCTCCCGATGACCCCATTACCTTATTTACTATGTACTATACACCTGAAATCATCAATTTGACAGTTGCGAAGACGAACGAGTATCGACGAGAGCCTCAGGACGATTCGTGCCCTCGTATAAGAGCAAAAGAGTAGTACCCGACTTGCAGTGGAGAGATTTACATCTACTTTGCGATCCGTATATATATGACCTTATATATATGTAATGAGATCGCAGATTACTAGAATACGAAAGACTTTACTCCCGATCACCCAATTGCAAGCTATATGAGTAGGGACAGGTTCCAGGAGCTTCATATGCGCATGTGATTCCATGGAAATCAGGAACAAGGCCCATATGAGAAGGTAACCTCCATTTTCCCTACCCTTTTCCTGAAACTAGCTAATAAACTACCGAGTAGGTTGAAGCCTTAAGTATACACATTCAGTCGATTAATATGAGCGTTTGGAAGCCTGGAAGGGACTTGGCAGTGGACGAGATAATCGTACGATTTGAAGGTCGATCAAAGGAAACAACTACTGTTCCAAACAAGCCTACACCTACTGGATATAAGGTATGGGGGGCAGCCCAGAGGGGGTTCTTACTCGTATAGAACTGGCATATTCCTGGTCAAAGAAATGGCCCTGTGGGAGTACGTACTCCCAGGGAGCTTGGTGGGACAATTAAGGCTGGAAATGGTGGAAATAAGACACAAGCAGTAGTCCTGTACTTGATTAAAAGGTTACCTAAACCTCCTGAAGGTTCTGGATATTACATTTACCTTGATAATCTCTTTGTTTCTACTCGCTTCGTCTAATACGCTCGTACCCAGGGAGTTGCAATTACTGGGACTTGCAGGACAACTGGGGGGGGGGTTATTAAGGAGCTTCTTGACCTTCAAAAATCGGATAAAAAGGATGCAATGCCCTGGGGTGAAACGTATTCCAGGTATATACCTAATAGAGAAGTGTATCATGTGGGGTAGAAGGATCAAGCTTTTGTTTTAATGATGTCTTCCTTTATATCAAGTAACGAGCGTATTTTACGGCGAAGGAAGAGGCCTAAGGAGACTTCTTCTAAAGCAAAGACTGTACGAATATCCTTTGGTAATCAGGCTATAAAGACACTCTCGATTCCTGCAATTGCGGATGGATATAACTATCACATGGGAGCAGTTAACGAGTTTGATCACCTGACTGCCCAGAACGCTGGTTTACGGCACGTAGAGCGAGGAGGGCACCAAGCACTAGAGTACTGGCTACTTCGTACGGTTCTAATTAATTGCTATTTACTTGCTTTATATAGTAATATACCAGAACCTAGGGAAGTAAGCTTTAGGAGCCAGCAGGACTTCAGGAGGCAGCTTATTTGTACACTAGTTACTAAGGGTAGAAGCAGTAGTGAGATCTGTCCAAAGAGAAGAATATCACGAATTAGCCAGGGAGCTAATCGTATACCTGTGAGCTTACATAAGCTCGTAAATCTCAGTAGAAGGGGTATATGTGTATGTTGTAAAGGACTGAGATTCAAGGATCGGCCAAGAAAGCGGATTGCACTAGCTCAAATCGCATCGAACCAAGGCAGGGAAAGCTCTACGCACGAGTCTGTTTACGGCTGTAAACAATGCGATATTCATCTATATAAGGATCGTGGTTGTTTTGATGTATTTCATAGATAAAGATAGAATTGATCAATTTGAGGGGGAAATCTAGTCCTCTGATTGGCTAGAATTAAGCGAAAAGCAGTGTGCACGGACCACCCCAAGCTGGCCGCAGCGGAACGGATAGTTGTAAATATTAGGTTGGGTTCTGTTTTACATAATCCTTACATATATCTTTAGTCCGGACCTGTTACAGTACCTATAATATTGCTTTATTTTTCTTATTACCTCTTTATTCTAAGTATCTGCTTTAATTTGTATATCAAAATACCTTGCCTAAAGAAGGATCTTGAGCAATTTAAAGAATATATTCTTGATTTATTTAGTCAAAACATTATATATAATAAGATTATTAGTAGACTATAAAACAAGTACAACTTCTATACTACTATAAGAACTCTTCAAAAGTGACTTACAGAATAGAGAACTGAATCGAAATACTCTAATTTTACTCTATCTCTGGAGCTATAGGCTCTTATAGTATTCTTCTTTTTAATAACTTGTACTATAGATATAAATATACTCTATAATCTCTGATTACTTGAATATAATATTTCCAATTTATATCTACTTCAGAATATACGAAAAGTAATAGAACTATAATATAGAATACTTATTTTAGAAGTAGAAGCTAAGAAGAAGCAATTATAAAAGATATTAAAGGAATATATAATTAATTAAAGCTATTAGAGGACTACCCGGAGTTATAGTAGAAGCTTTCTCTATATCTATATAAACTCTTTACCAGATAATAAAGCCTTTTCTAGAAACCGAATTTAGTTAGTTTTATATAATATTAATATCTTATTAATTAAATACCGGTATAAAGAAATATAGTTATCTAGAGAGAAATACCAAATTAAAGGGCCTGATTTTATCTAATTAATTAATAGCTACTATAAAGTAAGTATAATTATATTCTACCTTTAAAAATCATTATCTTAATAACTACTAATCTATTTCCTTAGCTATAATTTTATAGAATCGAGATATATACCAGTATTAATACCTACTTATACTTTATTTCTTGAATTTATATTAGAGTTATAAATAGATATACTATAAGTATAATATTTGTAAACTATTATTCCCTTTTATATTTACTTAAGCTAGAGGCAGTATATAATTTACTAGTATAGGTTGTAATATTAATAAATTTACTTCTCTATATCCCCCTTTCTTTATTTTATTTAAAATTAACCTAATTAATTATTACTTAAGTTACTATTCTCGTTTAATATCTTGATTTTACTAGTAAACTTCAAGTAATACTGCTTTTTATTCGGTCTGATAAAGGAATAGAAATACCTATAGTTACAGATATTTATTATATTCTATACTAAATATCAAGTATTAAAACAGGATTTAACTCCTATAAATTTTCAGAAATATACTAGTTCGGAACTAGTATAGCAAATTAATGAATTGAGGCTTAATAGGCCCAATTAGTAAAGGTATTTTCAAGTCCTTAAAGTATAGATATTATTTATTAAGTTATATAAATCTTAGGGTATATTAAATAAGTAGAAAATCTTTTTCAAGAAGCTCTATTCTCAATAACTATATTTCTATTAATTGCTTTCTAATTATATAGCTATACTTATAATATATCTTCTAATTATTAGGGAATAAATTACTAAGTTTATTAGAATATGAAATATTTATATAATTAAGAAATAGCCTAATTATTTATATATTATTTACAAATAACCCTTCTAAAACTACTTCTTTTTAAAGAAGGAAGTTAAATACTATAGTATTCTAGTCAATATTAATAAACTTTATAAACTGCAAAAAGAATATAAAGAATAGAATATAAATATATATCTTCTAAAGAATATATTTCAGTTCTACTAGAAATATCTAGTAAAAGCTGGATTTACTCTCCCTATTACGGAGTCTTTATATAATACTAGTAAAGATATAGCTTACCTACTAGTATATCTTATATTATAAGACAAGATTATATACTATATATTAACTATAAGTAATTTAATACTAAAACTAGGTCTTTTACTACTTTCTATTAGTATATATAATTAGGTACTATATCCAGAAGTTACTATAGGCCTTATAAAAGCTAGAGTAAAGAACTATAATAATTAGAATAGTATATAATTTGTAAATAAGGGCAGAGATATACTAGCCTCTAATCGAGATTTTGTTTATTTTCTAGACTCTAATAAAGAGAATAAGGATCTTGAGATTATAAATAAGCTAAGAATAGAGGGAATATTCTTTCGAAGAATTTCTAGTATTACAAACTAGCTGGTTAATAGTATAGATATTTGCTAGTATATAGATAATAGATATATATCTGAGAGAGAAAATAATAGTAAAGAAAACTTAGTATTATCTCTCTTTAATATTTGCCGATTTATCCGGCTAAAAGGAAATAGATAAGAAATATAGTAAACTATTTCTATAACTTAAAATCTTATACTAGAGTTAATAGTTATTTAATAATTAATTTCTAAATATAATATAATACTATATAGTTAGTAATATTTATTTAGTCTAATACTACTTAAAAAGTAAATCTCAGAAGTTATAATATAAAAAAAGTTATATATCTTGCCTTATCTTATATCTACTATATTTCTATTAAAAGTTATTATTTATTAACTAATTAGTTTAGAAATTCAACTTGAAATAAGTAAGTTAGATATATAAATACTTTATTAAATAAATATAGGAGCTATTAATCTTATATTTCTAGAAATATTAAGAAGTATTTAGTATAGTCTATTATATATAACTAGCTGTTCTAAATCTTTAATATTCTTAATTTTAAATTCCAATCTTTATATATATAGAATACTATTTTGGAATCTA